CGCTTTGCATTTTTCGTTGCCGCAACTCTCGCTCGCTAGTTAAGCATTCTTCGCATTTCTGGTCTCTCGCCTTCCTGGTAGTGGAGTCATAAATCCTTCGCAATTTTCCAGGCCGGAACACTCGCTTGCTTGGCGGTTGGGGGTATGTAACCCCCTTGCATTTTGCCACCGCTGCAACTCTCGCCCGCTGTGCCTTGGAGGTTACGACCTACCCCCTTCACATTTTTCGTCCCTGTGCCTCTTGCTAGGCCGTGGGGGTTATAATAACCCCTTCGCATTTTTGCCCCTGCGCCTCTTGCTTGTTAGGCTGTGGGGGTTATGAACCCCTTGCATTTTCCACCGCTGCAACTCGGTTAAGACCCATTCGCATTTTTCGTGGGGGTAATAATAACCCCTTCGCATTGTTCGTCCCTGCGCCTCTTGCTTGTTAGGCCGTGGGGGTTATCAACGCTTCGCATTTTTCGTTGCCGCAACCTTCGGTAGGTAAGCATATTTCGCATTTCTGGTCGATGAAACTGTCGCCTGCCTGGCCGTGGGGTCATAAATCCTTAGTATTTCCTTACATCAGAACTCTCGCCTGCTCGGCCGTGGGGTAAAATCCCCTTCCATTTTTACTCCCCTGAAACTCGCCCTTCTCATTCCCATTCGCACAAGGCTGGTCAGGCCATGGGAGTAAATCCCCTCGCATTTCCCTTCCGGACATGACTGGCTGCTCAGGCCAGAGGGGCGAAGCCCTCTTATCCTGTTCGCACAAAGGCTGGTCAGGCCTAGAGGGTAATCGATCCCTTCGCATTTCCCTTCCGGACATGACTGGCTGGTCAGGCCAGAGGGGCGAAGCCCTCTTATCCTGTTCGCACAAAGGCTGGTCAGGCCTAGAGGGTAAATCGATCCCCTCGCATTTCCCTTCCGGACATGACTGGCTGGTCAGGCCAAAGGGACGAAGCCCTTCTCATATCCTGTTCGCACAAAGGCTGGTCAGGCCTAGAGGGTAAATCGATCCCCTCGCACTTCCCTTCCGGACATGACTGGCTGGTCAGGCCAGAGGGGCGAAGCCCTTCTCATATCCTGTTCGCACAAAGGCTGGTCAGGCCTAGAGGGTAAATCGATCCCCTCGCACTTCCCTTCCGGACATGACTGGCTGGTCAGGCCAGAGGGGCGAAGCCCTTCTCATATCCTGTTCGCACAAAGGCTGGTCAGGCCTAGAGGGTAAATCGATCCCCTCGCATTTCCCTTCCGGACATGACTGGCTGGTCAGGCCAGAGGGGCGAAGCCCTTCGTACTCTTTTGGTTGGTCAGGCCATGGGGTCAAACCCCCTTCCATTTCCCAGAGGGGCCTTGCCAGCCAAAACCCCTAAGCATGATGGCTGGTCAGGCCAGAGGGGCCTGACCAGCCAAAACCCCTAAGTATAACCCCGTGTGGTGCCCCTCGCCTAGTAAGCCCCAAAGACATTCTCTAGGTCCCAACTTGCCTGAACGGTGCACACGCTAGTTCGGATGTCCAACAAGCCATTGGTCTTCGGGTTATGTAGGTATCTGAATCCCTTGATTTTCCGTCGCAAAGGAGTTTGAGCCCTTGGCCCTTGATTGCGTAGGGGTCTTGAGCCCTTGGTCTTCGGTCGCTAGGAGTCTGGTATTCGATGATGAAGGCCAGCAAATGCCGAGCTCGGAAGCCATGGAACGCCTCCTTGTAAGCTCTTATGTTATGAACTGCATACAAGAAATGAACAGAGCACCTAGTAAGATGGCGTGTCGGAAGGTTTGGAGGAGAGGTAGGAATGACATCATGGGGGACGTCCATCGGCGTGAGCACTGCGCTACGGTGTTTATCTTGCATAGTATTGATAGATAAAGCAAGCTTTGAGCTTGCTTAAACAAAGCAGCTTTAATTTTATCTTGCTTAACAGTCGCAAATACAGGTAGGCATGCGGGGCCTCACCTTGTAAACCTTAAAACAAGAGCTGCAACCAGCTTGACGTGATAAAGGTACACGTATCTGCTCGAAGACCTACAGACATTTGAGAGGAGGAAGTAAGCTTAAGCATGTAACATCGACAATGGGCAGAATTGGAAGTCACATACGCCCAAGCCAGCTTACCATAAGGTTACCAGTAGATGTCATTGCAACACTTTCCTTGAAGGCGGGGGGTAACGTCACCTGTGGCGCGAGTAGCAGTAGTGGCCCCGTAAGTAAGTGCAAGCAAAGGGCATAAACGGTGCCCCTGTTACTCTGCCAGCCCTTATGCCTCTAACGTGTAAACACGCCTTACCTGCCTGCAAACGTTCGGGCGGTCACAGGAAAGCAGCCACCTCCAGGCAAGAATAATGCTAATGTTTCTGTGACATTGTCTACACTGTAACTGTAGAGCATAGGGACTGAGCATAAATGTATGTTGTCTTGAAGTTTAAGAAAAGTCAAGGCGTATCGGCTTGTCCGCCAGTCTCGTACGTACGGAAGGGAAAGGGAAGTAGCGCAATTCGCGCAAGGGAGGACGCCCTGAGGAAAACCGCTGATTGTATTACACTCGATCAAAGGCCTACCAACGGTTGTACCTTGGCGTAAGTCGCTGGTGGTTGAAGCCTTCATTGGAGGCTCGCTCATGTTCCGCTCAGCGAAGGCATCATTCGTTTTTACTCAAGATGCCAGGTATCTCTCCCAGGACCCGAGACAGAGCTAGGATACAACTGCTTGGAAATAGGAGATCGTGCAGAGACACCTCAGTAACGTCGTAAGACACACGTTACATGGGCGAAACGTGGAAACGACCATACAACGTTATCGTGTATAACATACCGGTATGAACCAACAACCTAAATTATGTAAGGGCGCATGCCGCATTACCGGTTGAAAAATCAAGAGCATAGAGGTCTGGGTTAGCCTCCTGCTCAGCAGCCAACACTCGACCGCCCATTTGCGTATCCTCTGGAGTGCCTTTGCATTCACTGAACAATCCCCGCCTCCAAGACAAATGTCCATTCGCGTTCAACCATCAACCTCGCCGCAGATGCTACTCGAGCCGCTCTTCCTCCTTCTCCTAGGCTGCTCCTAGGCTACATTGTTTCACTTACGCCCTCCTCCTCCTCCCGCCCCACCCTCTCCTCCACCTCCTCCTCGTCAAGTTCCTCTTTGTTACCCCCTCGTCCTCCTCCTGTCCTGCTGCTCCCTCTCCCATCTCCTTTCTCCCCTGCTTCTCAGTAACTGTCGGCCGCGGGTCTGAGGGCAGCTCCCAGCACCTGCTCCTCACGACAAGCAGTCGCTCCAGGATGTGTGGATGCGGAACATGGATGCTGCTCGGGGGGAGGACACAGCTGAGCTCCTCACTGGAGGCACCGCCTGAGGGTGCAGAGGAGGAGTTGGAGCCGGTATAAAGCCATCCCGGTTGCATGGAGTTGCTCTAGCTGCCAAGCGCGCCTGTACCCCTGGCCTTCGAATCCCGCAGCCTCCTCATGCCCCCACCATATATATATTCCCCGCTTGTGTCGTTATGTCCCCGCCCGTTCCCTTCCTTGCTTTCTTGTGACCTCACAGGGTGGGCCCCCGACTTCTCACCTCAGCCTCCTGTGCTCTACAGTCCACCAGCTGGGCTTTTCAGGGCAGTGCCGCGCGGGTGGTCTAGAGCGCCACCTTGCCCACCGTGCTGAGCCCACATGATGCTTTGAGGTAGTGCTTCATGCATCGGACAGGTGTCAATGCGTCATCGCCCGCCTCTATCTTCCCGCGGCGATCCAGAACGATGAGCACCAAGGTTCGTTTGTAAACACAGGCAAGGGCACATTGCCACGAGCGGCTTCGTCAAGAGCTTGGTTGGGCGCGCCCCCATGAACCTTAAAGCCATGGCTGACTCCTGGCGATCTTGGTGCACTTATACCATGAGCAGAGAAGTGTACTGTCATAAAGATAGCAGCAGTCGCACGGTAGTTATGCTAGAGGCTGCCACACCCATTACTAGGGCTATGACCACGACCATATGGAGCATTACAATGCATTAATAGAACAAACTCCTAGCCGAAATGATGTTAAAACGCTGAATAGGATAGGTGTAGCTAGAGGTTCGGAAACCGTTTGAAGAAGACTTAGCCCTAGCTATCATTTGTTCCTCTTTTCGGAATAAATAGCAACGCCAGAACAGAATGCAGAGTAGAGAACAAGTGAAATTCTCATGCTGCTTTTGCACGTACGACACGGCAGTTGGCATGCGGAGTGGTGACGCGATGGACAGCCTAGGTGGTACGGTTAGCTGGCGCCGGTAGCTCCGGGTAGGATAGCGGGCGTTTGACAGCCAATGCATGAGCCGCCGGGCGACTTGCAGTCGTATGGCGCTACCGGTATGCGCATGCTCAGCAGCGCTGAGGCTGCTGGTCTCCCACTGGGTCCCGCATAGGCACTCGTGTCAGGCTTTCCCTGGCGCCGCAAGCGGAAACACATCACATGTTTATAGGGTCATGTAGTGTGTGCTTTCATCCTGTAACACCTAGCTAGTAATCGGTGCATGTACGTGTGGCCTTCAGGCTTTGCATGTTCGGAGTCCATGGGTCGGTGGACGGGAACATCCCCACATACGGTGGCCTCCTTTGGGGCAACGCAACGTGGCTGGAGACGCTCCCCATGAAGGCCGGAAGCGCATGCGGACATCACACGGGTGCCGGCTTCCCAAGCAAGGGGAGAGGAGGAAGCTACACCAACTTTAAATGGCAGCGCCTTCCATAAGGGTTGTCAGCTGGTGCCGTCATTCCAATGGTCAAATTACGTTCCTTTCCCCAGCAAGGAGCTCCGTGTCTTGTTGTCATGCATACAATACAGCGTATAGTGCGTAGAGGAGCCTAGCGGCTCTTCACCGGGCAATTTGGCGAAGTTCACAGCTGTGTACGACCCATGCGGTGGGTGGGCTGTTCCGAGGACTTATATGGAAGTTTATATGGAATTGAGGTTATACGGAAGTTTCTTTCCCCCCTTCCCGGTGCAGGCCGAGGATCGGCGTTGCGCTACTGAAACGTAGCCAGCAGGGCCGTCGGGCATGTTTACAAGGTCAAGCTATGGCACAAAGGATCACGGTAAGATCGACGTGGCCCGGAACACATCCGGCTAAAGGCGCTCAAGAGGTAATGTTCACAAAAAGGCGCATCAGCCACGGCTGATTGGCTGTGCTAATCACTGGTACACGGCACAACGGTGCAACTCGCGTGCAAAGACTTCAGGCGGCTGCCTGCATAACCGCGTGTCAAGCTCACAACAAACACTAAGCGCATACATCCTATGGAAGCACCCCACGCCACTCCTACAGGTTGACCCAGGGTGAGGACTTGCGTACCGCACTTAGAAGGCATAAGACACAACGGGAGCTACTGTCAAGATGCCGTACAACAACCCCACCGTACTTTCTTGGTAGAAAGCCAGAACAGGAAAGCCCACTCCGACGCATTTAAACAAAAGGTGTAGAGCCAAAAGGATCACGTACAAAATTTACCATAGTCATTTATGGTTCCTAATCTTTGCATTTTAGGTCACAAGGTAATAAAGCGCCGGAAAGGAGTTTCTGACGTTCTGTAAATCATTGTTCAGTGACCACCGATACGAATTGCGTGCAACACAAAAGGGCTGCAATCAAGGCCCAAAACAGCACAAACGAACTAGCACGGCAACGTATATCCAGGCTTCAAGGCCTCTTGGATCCTTCCCGTACAGCCCGTATTATCGTACGGAAACGCCGTGCAAAATATAATACCGGTAGGTCGGTCAACAGGCACAAGCCACGCAACAACCATCCCTTTAGAGTCTTGTACTTTAGGTCGCACACGTAATACTGCCTGTTGACACAACCTGCGTGTTCTTAACGTGCAGGGTATAACGGAGGGAGACGAACCATTATTCTTCGTTAGCCCACATTTCGGTCAAGCTCACTCACCCGTTTTCGACACCAAAAGTATCAGCCACCAAACCACATCAACCCAACGTCACACAAACGGCAATCCTACCAGCTACCCACAAAACCACCCGATGCCAAGAGACTGCGGTACACGTCGCCTCACAAAGCCACTCAACACCCACAACAGGTTGCCCCACAGCACCCACAGCACACGCGCCTTTCTCCACCCGTCCAGCATTACATGATTTACATCCCACACACCAACACAAACCTTACACCTCGCCCACTTGTTACACCACAGTCGCAGCCTTCACCTCGCCCTTGCCGCCCTCCTCCCCGGCGTTGAGCGAGTAGGTGGAGGTCGCGTGCGTCAGCACCTTCATCGCATCCTCCAAATCCTTCTCCAGCCCCTCCACTCGGGCCTTGATGCGGGCCAGCTCCTCCGCCTCCAGCACCGCAATGGACTTGAAGACCTCGGGCTGCAGGTGGGGGCGGTTGGGGGGCGGTTGGCGCGGTAGGGGCGGTGAGACAGAATCGGTGGAAAGGCCGAAGTAAAGCGAAGGAACAGCGGTTTCGTATATGATTGATAAATTCTGCCTTGTAATTTCTGCCCCTATTAATTCTCCACCATAGTTCACTGTGCACAGGATCGCCGTACCTTGGATTCATCCAGGACCCGGCGGAACGACTTGCCGTACAGCGGTGCCGTAATGAGGTCGTACGCGAGCAGCAGCAGGTACAGCAGCAGGTAGCTGCAGATGCCAGCAATGATGCCGTACGCGATCGAGTAGGTGAGCGGAATGACGGCAATGGTGATGAAGGCGGGGATGGCCTGGTGGTAATCCCGCCAGTCAATGTCAAGCAGGTTCTCAATCATGAGGGCGCCCACGAGGATGAGCGCGGGCCCGGTGGCGTAGGGCGGGATGGCCGAGATGATGGGGGTGAAGAACATGGCGATGAAGAAGTAGAAGCCTGCATGGACGGGTGGATGGTTTTAACTTTTGTGTTGGATGGGACACATCCATAATATCATGGGGTACGACGTTGAGTAAGGCCAGAAAACCAAAGACATCTGATCAGGAGAGCGTGGAGAGCAAATGTTGCGGTTGAATGCCAGCTGTTGGTATATGTTGTCAGCCATCTATCACCAATTGCAATCGAGGAAACCAACCCAGGACTCACCAATCATAATGGCGGTGATGCCGGTTCGGCCACCCTCGCGAATGCCTGGAGTGCAGGAATTAGGGATTAGTGCCGGACCAAAAGGAACGAAAGCTTAGGAAACCTGTCTTAGAAACGTCTACACAACGCTAGCCTGCAGACACCCTCACACTCCCCGTGCCTCCTCGGATTAACAAAGCTCACTTCGTGACCCTCCCTGCAAAAACACACACCCGTTTCCCTCCCTGTTTATTCCTTTTCACCTCCCCGTCCCAGCAGTCCCTCCAAACTTAGTACACACCTGTGGCCGACTCGATGTAGGTTGTCAGCGGCGGAATGCCCAGCAGAGCTCCGATCCAAATGGAGGTGGCGTCCACGCAAAAGGCCCAGGTCATGCGCGGAAAGGACTTGGTGACCGGGTCGATGAAGCCCGGCACGCGCTTGTTGATGTAGTTGGCCATGGAGAAGAAGGTGCCGGTGCAGTCCAGCAGGTCGAGGTAGAGGAACGAGATGAGGGCGGCCCACAGCTCGGGCTTGCCAAAGCTGTGTTGCATGCGTGGAGGTGGAGGGCGGGAGGGGGAGAGGAGGGGAAAGGCGGATGTTAACACCGCGGCGGTGGAGTGCGGGGCGACAAGAGGAGGGCCCTGGGATGGGTACTTACAGCAAGAATATGCCACGTCCGCTTCTTGAACCAGCAACACAGATAAACAGCAATTGCCACACGCCCCACTCACGCGTTGAAATCCAGCTCCAGGTCGGTGATCGAGGTGTCGGGGCGCTGCACCACCTTCTTGAAGTAGTGGTAGCGCTCCTCGCCGCCTGGGGGGTGGGGAGGGGGGCGGGCAGGGAAGGTTGGACGGATACGGACAAACAAGTTTGTAGGAAGCGGCGGGGAACACGGCGACGCGTAGGGAAGTTGATAACTATATCTCACGGTTCGTACCGAGCCGCCGTGCGGCGGCGAGGACAGCGACTAGAGAGCAAAGCCAGCCTTATCATAACCATGCTTTACTAGGGAAACACACGGGCGGTCACGTATGCCCGGTTGTCGTACCGCACCTGCAATCTGGCTCGACTTGCCCAGGTACGAGGCCGCATGGTCGGGGATCCAGGACACAAAGGTGACAAAAAGGATTGCCGTCATGATGGCGCCCCGGAAGCCGCGAGCCATGAGCAGCACCATCATGATGCCGCCCATGATGCCGAGCCACAGAGAGGCGCTGCGCATCTTCATCTGGTTGGCTGCGAATGGGAAAAAAGAAATTCCAAAGTGTGGTATGATAAAGATACAAGTGCGATACAAGTGCTGCGAATGGGAGGGAGGGAGGGAGGTGAGGAGTAAGGGAGGTGGTGGTGAGGGTGGTACCCGTATAGTTAATCAACTCCTCAACGCGTTGTTTTGATCCCCTTTCTCCACCACTGCCTAGTCGTCCTAGTTGCTCTGTTCCTCAATCCTCTCCGACCATCAAGCACACGTTAGCACCCATGCACCCCACCCAACCCCGCCCTGCGCTCACCGCACGCATAGTTGGGTGAGGGCGGCCCCAGGTTGGGTCCCGACAGCAGCTTGCCCTGCCCGTCCACCACACACACGCCCGAGGTGTCCTGGATGGTGTACATGGGCGCGCGGTCCTGGATGCGGCAGCCGCCCAGCGTCACCAGCGTGGCCGACTCAAAGGCAATCAGACCGATGCCGTTCTCAGTCTGGGGAGGCGGCAGGGGAGGAAAAAATTTAATAAGTGAAACAACGAGTCCCAATCCCATGGGAGGGTGACGCGAGGGGGAGGAGGACGTGAGGGGAACCCAAGGGGACGTGTCGTTTGTGGTATGGGCAGGGGATATGGGGTGTGCATGTATCTGCTACAGCTCTGTGGGGGCACTGCACATTAGGCGACATAACGCGGCATGCATTGCAATAGGCAGACCGTACGTACGCAACCCGCAAAAGTGAAAGCCCCAGGCGCCATGTGACGTTCCTCTCCCACCTGGAGGCCGATGAACGCCAGGAAGAGGCCGATGCCGCCAGAGGTAGCCTGAGGGTTGTGCGCGAGGGCGGGGAAAGGGCAGTATGGCATGTCGGTGGGCTGCAACGGACTAAAGCAAGTCACCCCCGCTGGCCTAAGAGCACAATAGGAGAGGTAATAAGCCCGGTGCGAGGCGGAGTATGTTGCCTTGACCACCCGTGAGTGTGCCGTTCGAAGTCGTGGCTGCTATGTGCGGAAAGAAAGGGATAGTGTCACATATTCGTCACAGAATTATCCCCCGAGTACAAAGCAGCGTGCCCGCCTCCACCGCCCTTACCAGCATGATACACTTTGGCACGATGCGTGTGATCTTGCCACGCAGACCCGTGACAGAGATGGCAAAGAAGATCCAGCCCTGAGGGGTGGGAAGAGAAAGTCAAGAGACAGGATGCTGAACCAAAGCAAAACCACCGCCAAACCACCAAAGCAGGGTCGACGGGTGTGGTAGCCAAGGCGGCAACAATATTAACGGCCACCGCTCAACAACCCCGCCACTGCAGCCTCAGGTGCTGCTCACCTCAATGAACGCCGCGGCCAGGGCATCTCGGTAGGAGATCTGCGATACAAGAGAAAATAAAACCGCAATTACGCTGTGAAGCCACAAAGGTCAACCACCAAGCCAGCCACCTCCGCATCAAGCGCGCACAATGACCCACGGGTCTCCTGCGGCCAACCCAACCCCGGGTTTCCACCACTGTTATCCAGCTAGTCCCGCCATGCCACCGTGGTCTTTCACTTTCACCCACCGGCCCCCACCCACCATGCCTCCGGAGCCGAAGAAGCCCACCACGGTGTAGGTGAAGAAGGCATTGATGCCCATGCCGGGCGCCAGACCGAACGGCAGGTTGCCCACGACCCCCATCAGCACACACGCCACGAAACTGGACACAGCGGTTGCAGTGACCATGGAGCGCTTGGCACGCTCCTGAGAGAGAGGCGGGGTTGAGAGGGTGCGGGGTAGGATCGGGTGCGCAGAGAGTGAAGGGATTGCAGTTGCTGTGCATGGCTTGAGGGGTGCATGCAAGGGGTACATGCAAGGGCTACATGCCAGTTAGGTAGTTGCTACCAGTCAGGTGGTTGCTTGGTGGCTGCTGAAAAAGGGATGACAGGTACGCCAACCTAGTAGTTCACAGGGTATGCCCGCCTTTACCATAATCCGTAAATGCTGCAGAACATGTATGTAGCTAGAGAACATACAAAAAACAGGGGAAGGACAACCAAACGCGCTATCGCCCACGGCTCACCCGACAAGCCAGGTAGCCAGGGTCGAAGCCGGACCCCGAGCCAAACATGCAGAAAGGCTGGCCCTTGTTGAACTCGCAATCATCGACGGTGCAGGGGCCGCCCGTGTCGGCCACAATTGAACCGTTAACCGCCAGGATGTATGCCATCGTAAGGAAAGTGACAGTCCCAGCCCGAAGCTCAGTCGTGAAAGTGGTCTTCCGCTCCTTCAGGCTAAAGAAACGGCCAACCTGCAGATGAAGAAGGATTTAAGGAAACGGGCAACAAATAAGGTTAGAAGGATAGCGGTAACAAGAGACAAGCGCTGCCTCTTTCCATTTCGATAAGCAACAACTGGCCCTGCAGCTCGGTAATAGTGGTGAGCTGTTTATGCGGCGGTTAACGCGTAGTCAATTGCTGCCTCATGTGATGTCGACTAGGGCTTCCGTCGCCATACGAATCCCGCGTGCAGACGAAATCAGAAAACTAAGACTAAAATATAACATTTAAGAAGGCCTAAGACCCCTTCTCCTGCTCCCCTTATGCGGCGGCGAGGCGGCCATCCCCTCTGCGAAAAAGGTCCAGAAACCGGTTGAAAACCACTCACCGCACTGTTCTCAACCGCATGGTTTAGTCGGTCAAAGATGCCGACTTTCTCGGTTGCCGGCTCCTCGCTGGCCATCTTAAACAGCTCTGAAGGCGCCAAGCCTTAGGTGCTGCCCTTCCTGTCTAATCCAATAAGCTTGGCGCAACCGATTATTGTGCGGCACAGGATGGCCTGAAATGCTGCAGGGAGTAATTAGCTGGTACGGTACGGGCAGGACCCTCACGTGCGCCGAAACGACTTTTAGTTGTCCAGGAACCATGTAAAACCTTAGACGTACTTCTCAGCAGCTCGGCTATAACCAAGCATGTGCGGTGCTGAAGCGTGTAAACCGGCTAGGGCTTTGTTGCTATCTAATTGTCCTACCTGGCGTGCATTGGACCAGGCTTACGTCAAACGCGCCCACTGAAATTCAGGTGCATCTCTGTTATCTTTCGCTGCCCGATAATTAGTGCGTTTGACTTATCAAGACTGTAGTTCGGGGCAAAGGCTTTGCTTCGCCGTTTGGCTGCTTGCTGGGAACTTTTGCTCCTCTACCGTGCATACTTGGCTTAAGCTTGCTGTCTAAATCTGTCATAAGAAAACAAGTGTTGTGGACGGGCTTACAAATGGCGGGCGGGGATTTTCGGTTACGCACGCACCTGAGGCGTGTATCAAGTAACCCACTCAGCAAAGCTTCACTCACTGGATTCAAAAGGCCGCGGCAGTGTATATGCAGTGTGCCTCCCTGCATGCATCGTGAGCAACTGGCGGCTTTGCAACATCCAACGAACTGCCGCGCCTTCAACTCCTGCTGGTTCAGGAGCCTCCTGCTTGCCATCACGGCATGGCAGGGGCCTAGCTGATGGCTCATGCCCGCAGGTCCTTAGCATGTGGAGGCCGCGAGTTACATGGCCCGTTGCCTGTTGTGGAAGCCTGTATGCCCTCATGTGCTGTAACGACCCGACACCGCCCGCGGTCGCGTCCACCCGCACTGTAATTACTCGGCCGGTCATACTCCTGACCGCCCAAAGCCGTCAACTGTCACCTATCTAGCTTGGGCAACTCAGTGTCCCGCTGCCTGCAGCTTCTGCCGTGGCTGGGCGGGTCGGGTTGGCTCAGATGTTGTAAGCCATGATGACGCCTTATCACACAGTCAGTCAGTTGTTTCCACTTTACCCCCTACCTCAGCATAGCCTCCGATTGACGAGCCAGGCATGCACGCCCACCGGGTAGGGCCGCTGGCACGAAATGACCACTGTCCTCAGGTGTACCGGCTGCTGACCCGCAGCGCCGCAAGCAGCGCCACTTCAAAAACCAACTCCTAACCGCGCCTTACCCTCACAGCCTCAAACCTGGGGGCCTCGAACACTCGCAGCTTCTATGTGACACGCATGCCGTACCACAACGCGCGTACACTATGAATATATGTGGTTATGTACAAAACCAATCTACTTGATCATGAAATAGATGTACGCCACGTCATCTCGGAAATCCGCCATGGGGTCCTCATCCGCCGCCGCCTCGTGCCTGCCTCCCCCCGCCTCCCGCAGCCCCTCCAGCACCCGCGCCTGGTACCGCGCAGCCGGCTGGTACTCCAGCAGCTGAGGCTGCTTGGGGGGCTGCTGCTGTTGTTCCTGTCCCTGCTGCCCCTGCCCCTGTTGCATCAGCCGCCGCAGCTCGTCTCCCTCCCCAGGCTTGGGCGCCAGGTCGGAGAGGTTGATGTCCTGCAGCACCTCGGCCCCCGGTACGGCAGTGGTGGCGGAGTACTCCAGGGCGGGCAGCAGCACACGCTTGACCTGGGTGGGTGGGCGGGTGGCGCACAGGGGTTGGAACGGCGGAGGGGCTGGAAGGGAGCAGGTGGCGGGGGGAAGGACACGGGTGTAGCTAACGGGACAACTACGATGCAACTACCGTGTCTTCCTCTTCGCATCCGCACACCCACCCGCACCCCCACCCGCACCCCCCGCACACACACACCCGCACTTACTACTCCGGTCCTTAGGTCCGGTCGCGTTACGACATTGCTATTACTGCTTTACACTGATTCCGATACTACTCGATAGCTCTATTACAACATAGCCAACGGACTTCACTTCACCTGTGGCGTTTTCGGTGGGAGGACTTCATCTTTCGGCAATCACAGTACGTTTCGCCTCGCGGCCAGTTATTGTAACACACCCGCACCTGGAAGTCGTGCCAGTAGACGCTGCTGGCTCCCGCCTCCACCGCCGCCGCCTGCGTGTACAGGTCGCGCCGGTCCGCGGGCGGCGAGTGCGACACGGAGAGCCACACGCCCGGGGTGGCCATGCGCGCCCACACGTTGCTGATGGCGCGAGCGGCGCGGTCCATACCGTCCCGGGCGGTGAGCAGGCAGTCGATCAGACCCTGGGGGCGATACGGATACCGGTAAGGAGGGGCCTTGCGAGGAGTGACGTGTTAGGGCCGACAAGTGACACGCGACACTGCTGCTGGAGTCGGGTCCCGGGCTTCAGGATGGGATGGGAACAAGATGGGATGGGATGGCGGGGAATGAGTGGTGCTGCCAGGCCCCCACAGCCCTTCCAAGTACAGCGCTCGCTCCACAACACTCCTCGGCCTTCAGCGCACCCGCAACTCAGCGAAAGCGCCCCATCGTGCTGCACCACCAGAACCCCGCCCTGCACCCCTGCCCCCCCTCCCCTGCACTCGCACCTTGTCCACCACGATGCCGAACCGCAGCCCCTGCGCATCCACCTCGGGCCACTCCGGCTCCGACACATCCCGCTGCACCACCACCAGGCCGTGTCGGGGGGGCTGCTCCGCGCGGCGGCGGTGGGCCTCAGCAGCGGCGGCTGAGGAGTCGACCACCACGATGGTGGTGTAGCCCCTGGGAAGGGAAGAGGGCCACATGAAGGGAAGATGAACGGGATATTCCCGCGGTGCAACATGGTAGGTGGAGCTGGTGAAGGGGTACGCTTAGGTAGGATTGGGACAGGGAGGCGCATGTGCGCGAAGCACATCAGAAGCCAGTCAGCAGCGATGGGACAGGCGCCATACCTGTCGTACAAGTCCTCCGCAAAGGTGGAGAGACCGGGTCCAAGAAGCAAGATGGATGGCAAGGGCGGTTCCAACTGCCTTATGTAGTGCAACACAAACTTTCGAAGCGTGGAATATTGGCAAAGCCTGCATGTGACCGGGTCCCAGCAGGAAGCGGGATGTGAGTATGAAACCCTACTATGAAGCACTTTCCGAATTCCTCAAATAGTTATAGAGGCATATGGTAACGTTTTGTGCACAGTCCCTGGATTGCCATTCTTGGTTGGAATGCACAGCCTGACCCACCAGTCGATGTCTTCCCCGGTTGTTGATGTACTGTAGAATGTTTCCCAGTGGTCAGGCGTTGCGTATGCCATTCCCTTTCAGTTCTTTCTTACGATACGTGAAAAGCCTGCGAACCCGCAATAATGGTGTGTAAGGCCCTTGGGCGATTCCCCGCTAGGCCCGCGCCGCTCATGCATGTCAATTTGTTGCAAATGCACCTAATATTATTTGCTTCGGATCAGCTGCGCGCTGCTTAGCTTGCCCTGCTTTGCTACCAAGATAACTTCATACTGTGTTAACCACAACCCTTGCACGACTGGGGCCATCACCATCAGGGACAGGTCTCCTAGAGACAATACTACTGATCAGGCCCTAGGGTTTGGAAAAGGAGCAAGAGGTTGTCCGTTTCGCCGCCGGAGCCAAGCGGACGTTGACGCTCAACGGCCGTTCTGCTAGACCTAGGCGATTGAAGTCGCTCACGCTCATTTACCCTTTACTCTTAGCAATACATCAAGACCATCATATAGCCGTAGGCTCCTCCTTCACTCTTACAGCACCCAAATGGCGGAGGATAAGAAAGGGGCTCATCCCCACGTTTCGCCCGCGCTCAAGGGCTTCGCTGGCTCAATTGGTGGTGTTGCTGAGGCCGTCTGCCTCCAACCTATGGATGTGATTAAGACGCGTCTGCAGCTCGACAAGGTCGGCAAGTACACAGGCATCATCCAGTGCGGCCGCACGATAGCCAACGAGGAGGGCGTTGCCGCTCTGTGGAAGGGCCTAACGCCTTTCGCTACTCACTTGACGCTCAAGTACGCGCTGCGCATGGGCTCCAACAGCGTCTACCAGACTTTGTTGCGCGATGAGAAGGGCAAGCTCACAGATGGTCGTCGCATGCTCGCCGGGTTCCTGGCGGGCATCACCGAGGCCCTCATTATCGTGACGCCCTTTGAGGTGGTCAAGATTCGGCTGCAGCAGCAGAAGGGTCTGGCCAAGGAGAACTTCAAGTACAAGGGTCCCATCCACTGTGCTACGACCGTGCTACGTGAGGAGGGCATCCGCGGCATGTGGGCTGGCGCCACACCAACCATCATGCGCAACGGCACCAACCAGATGTGCCTCTTCTGGGCTAAGAACAACGCCGACGCATGGCTCTGGGGCAAGCATGAGGGCGATGGCAAGATCCTGACGCCATGGCAGTCCATGACATCAGGCTTCCTCGCAGCCTTCATCGGCCCTATCGCCACCGGCCCCTTCGATGTCGCCAAGACGCGCCTCATGGCTCAGTCGGGAGCCGCCGACGGGGTCCGCTACAAGGGCTTCTTCGACGCGCTCGTCCGCATCCCGGCCGAGGAGGGTGTAATGGCCATGTGGAAGGGCCTGCTGCCGCGGCTACTGCGCATTCCGCCGGGCCAGGCCATTGTGTGGGCTGTCAGCGATCAGATCACCGGGTACTTTGAGCAGCAGGCGATGGTGAAGTCCGGGCAGCTGGCGGCTTGAGCGACATGGCTGAAGGCTGTTGGGTGGTGACAGGACCTAGGGTGGGTGACGTGACGACCTGTGAGCGTTTGGAGGGTGTACGAGAGAAGATTATGTTGTGACATGAGTGGCGTGAGAGAGGGGGGTGGGGGCGGGGGTGGTTCGGTCAGGTTGCTGGTGGAGAGGAGGCTTGGCGGGAAAGGGCTGGTGTTAGCTCGTGAAGGGGAAGGTGTTGGGTCTTAAAGTGTATGTAGTGTACCTAGCCGGTGTGCATGCAAGGGGATGTGTGTCCTTATTGTTTATGGTATCGACAGTCGTCTGGGCTCTTGCTGGAAGGCGAGACCTATACGAAGGGCTTATCGTATAGCTGTGCCTAAACCTCAGGGGAAATTCATGAGCCCCTGTGACTTCTCCTCCTGTTTCCCTGGTTTTATCCTGGTATTTCGACGAGTTTGGTTTCGCGCCGCAGGTCCAGCCCGGCTGCAGCTCGGGCTGATAGGTGGTGGTCGTGATTTGGTCCCCGCCAGAGGATTGGCATGAGGCCTGCGTGCGGCATGGTTAGTAAAGCATAACTGCCAAGAGGGGCAGGTCTTCGGCCCCATCCTCGTTTATTTGGATACGTTTAAAAGCTGCATGCCCTGACTGGGTCTTGGGACAGCTGTATGGAGTGTCGCTGTAGACGCGCGGGCAGCATACATGCCCGTATGCATGGTTGGTCGGTGCCCGCATCTGCAACCAGACGTACGGCGTTATCGTTACTAGAGGCCTGTCGCGCTGAGGGATAGGCAGGATGTAGTTGAGAAGGGCATGGTTCGACAATCGCATATTCTTTGTTCCTTGTTGCAAAGGACCACAGGCTGGAGAGGCAACTCCTGGTTCCTGCTGCGCCATGTAACAGTATTGCCGCTGCCCATTATTTAACTCAACGAACTCAGCTGTTACAGCCCTTAATGCAGCGCCATCGCAAAAATAGCAGCGCGACAAATAGCTTACGGTTGTGGTCGGCTAGCCTGCAGTCATCGTTGGTCTACAATTATACCTGGCAAGTTTTTTCACGTACAACACGCAGCTACTAGATCATTTGACAAGCTGGAAGTATAGGCCTTCAAGCAAGACAGACCGTCGACCAGCGCCAAATCCTTCGCTATGCTTGCACCTCAGAGAACCTAACCTCGGGGAAGCATGGGAGTACCCTTATTATTAAAGCCACCTGGACTCTTTCTACATCACCACCGGCGCAGCTGCTGTAGCCAACAGCGCGGGTATCCATGGACTACGCTCCCATGCCAGGCAGGCAACGGCGCAGGGCCTGGACCCAGCAGCGATGGAGGTAGTTTATCTGATAAGTTGCAGCGCGTCCGTCGGCGGCTTGGTCTGCCTTCGGACGGCAGCGCTCCCGGTGCCCCAGGTCCTAGGGTCCCCAAGACCAGGGGCGAGCTCGGAGAGTTGGGCGTGGGCGAGTGGGGCGCCCAGAGCTGGTACGAGGACTGGGACCCCTCGGTGCGCTACTCGCCCCCGCAAGTGGACCGCATTGCGGACGAGGGGGTTGAGAGGTTCCGCAAGGTCACCCGGAATGCGGGCCCACGTGACAAGTGGATCACGCCGGTAAGCCAGCTATCCAGCTCACTGGACACAGACCTCGTACGCATGGGACCTACATACACCTACATACACACGCACAGGGTTTCTCCCTGTTATATACACGGAAACCCGGCTTGGCGTACAAGATAGTATGACATGCATGCAATCACCGTTCAGTTGTACGGTACCTCCCCCCTCTTGCAACACCCAGTGTGCCCCCACGTCCGCACGCCAGCGCCCTACTCATCCATCTCCCATCCTGCCTGCCGCCCAGGGATTGATTTGTCGGAGTCCTCAAAAGGGTGCATTTACCCCATGAACACCATGATGTCAGGCTTGCATGCCTGCCACCCTCCCTCCACAATCCTCGTTCCTCGTTCCCGCTGTCCCTTAGCAACGAGCCATGAAAACGCAAAACCAACTCAACGCCCCTTGCGTGCGCTACGCTTCCCACCCAGCCCTATACCGCATCCTGCGTCCCTCCCTCAAGCCCCCCCACCTTTCCTCTGCCCCTGCCGCACGAGCCCACGTACGTTTAATAGCACTCTCGTTGCTCCCCCCTATCTCACCTGCTCCCCAAACGGCACACAAGCCCCATCCACCAGTTTCCTCCTTGTTTGCCCCCCTTCTGGCCCCTCAGCTTCTGGACTGGGATGCCGTACGAGAGGGTCTCGATCCAGATCAGGAGCGCTCCGAGCAGATGCTCACCGGGGAAGCCCTGGTCAACAAGGAGGAGTCACAGATTGCCGTACGGTACGTGGCTCGGCTGATCGGCATTCCACTAGTCACGGGCTTCGTGGTCAGCCGCGCACTGGCAGACCCCATCCTCAACTTCACACTTCGTAACAATCCGCAAGCCTTCGAGCTGTCAGATCTGCAAAAGGTGGAGGGGGCCAAGGCGGTGCATGTGGAGGAAACGCGCATGCGGTTAGACATGGCCATCGGTCGCGCGCCCCCCCTGTCAGAGCTCCAGATGTTCGAACACTTGGCGGAGTTCGCGGCTGAGGTCCAGGAGGAGGAGCGGCACCACAATGAGACCATCCTCATCAACGCCGTCTCTGACTCCATCTCCTTCCTGACCTTTGTGGGCATCCTGTCGCAGCCCACAAAGGGCCGTGATGCGATGTTCAACACACTGTCGCGGCTGTTTTACGGGCTGAGTGATATCGCCAAGGCGGTTATGATCATCCTGGTCGCGGACACGCTGCTGGGGTACCACTCGGAGGAGGGCTGGCACGGGCTGATTGAGCTGGTGCTGGGGCACTACGGCATTGAGCCCAGCGAGTCGGGCGTGGTGATCTTCGTGGGTGTGGTGCCGGTGGTGATTGACGTGCTGTTCAAGTACTGGATCTTCATTGGGCTGAACCGCATTTCACCAGGAGCTGTGGTCACCATTAAGCAGGTGGACCGGCACTAAGGCAGGCGAGGGCGGCGCGGTGCGACAGCTAGCGCCCGGCAGCTGTGAGGTGAATTGTGAGTAGGGTAGAGGAGGTGCTCCAGGAAAGAGGAGGAAGGGAAGGAGCGTCGTGTTCGTGCGAGTACGGTAAGCTGGAGGCGTATGAGTGAGCATGGAGAGATGGCGCAGGCTATACCACCCACGCAGCTGTGCCTAAGGGACCCGTGGGTTGGTTGGTACGCTGGGGAGCTTTCATGCAACCTTGCAAATGACGAAATGAGTGATCCAGGTGAGGGGCTTTTGATAGACTAGATAAGTGCTACATGTGCAACTACGGGTCGCCTGCGCAAAGGGTGCAGGGGCGCACTGTACTACCTCCGGCGGGGGCAAATGGCGACACTGAGTTTGTGAGCTTTGCTTGTGGGTTTAGAAGCGAGTGGATTTAGAGACTTGAGGGTCTGGTTTGTCAAGGTACCGGTACATGCCCGTGCCGTCCCGGCCAGTAGCGTTGCTGATGGTGGCTGGTGCGCTTGGGCGGCCGGTTTCGTCCCAAGAGAGGAGAGGAAGAGAGGAGTGCAACCTGGGTGGGTCGCCAAGTGTGGCGGCTCAACGACGTGTAGAGAGTTAGCCTAGAGTGTTAGCCACACATGTGTTATGAACACAGGCCAACTGCTGCCTAAGGTTATCCCGGCAATATACAAGTTACAGTGCGGGCGTGTACGACCATTGCTGTGATGACGTACAAGAAAGCCTTCCGTATGCATTGCCACGGATTCCCAAGCTGAAGTACGACAGCTGCAGGAGCAGAGTGCTGACGTCACCCGGCGCACCAAACCGGTACCGTACGTCACGGGGCTCGGTCCCCGCTGACGCCTCACTTCCTGAAGAACCGCACTGGGACAGCGCCTACCCGCAGCGAAAGGACATCTGCAAGCAGCAAACACCAGCACGAGCGAAGAATACCTGCGCTAGTAGGCTTAATAAATGCACTTAGGAGGCACAAAACCACATGATACTAAACGGGACTAACGCCACATGGTACCGCAGTGGTCGGGTGCCCAGTGGCAACCTATACATAGGAACACACACGTACTTATGCCGACACAAGGCGTCGGCGGCCTTGCTTAGTCGTTTCCTGAGCTGCATGCTACCGACGATGGCCCCGCAAGGGGGCCACCACACCTGCCGCAAACACATGCGGCCGTAGCCAGAGCTGAAACGTCCGCAGCACTGCGCAATGGATCGCGCATACCGTAACTCTATCCCTGCGACATCTGTCGGGCTTCAATAATCTAATGTCTCCTCTCCATCTCCCGCCGCATGAACACCTGGGGAGACGCCAGCATCAAGGCGGTCCTCTTCTGACCCTCTGACACGCTCCGCGGAGTAACGCGATTGAGCGCCGAGAACACATCCATCCATTACTACTGCTGCTCTGCTTTCCACTTACACGCCCTGCTTAGCGCCTCCAGACACCCGTGCTACGACTCCTACCTTCATGCGTTGGCATGCATGCTGTCGCAGGCGGGGTGGGTGCCCTCCTGCCTCCCGAGCGCTCTCAAGCACCATCCAGTACATGATAAGACGACAATGAACTCAAAAGCTATATCACAGCCTCTACAACACCGGTATGTCCTAACGACCGAAACCTGATGACAATGCAGTGCGATTGCACCCAAGAAAGGACCGTGCATGAATGCGCAAATTGCCTGGCTATCTAACCTAATCACGACAGAATCCAACCAAATAAGAATATCTAGTATATGTATCTGAGCACCACTGAAGGGATACAGCGTAGAACTGCTCACCACGACACGCACGACACCACGCCCCATGCGTCCTCCCGCCCTCAGGTCACACGCCCCTCTCACACTCGCACTGCCGTCCTGCCGCCGAATCAGCCCGAGGGCACTCCTCCGCTCAATCCGCGCGGCCACTCACATGACCTGACCGGACCATGTCCCACCAGCCTGCCGCTGCCGGCCGCCTCAATACTCCGGGTCGCTGCCGTAGCCGCCCTCCGCTGCTGCTGCCGCTGCCGCGCCGCCTCCCTCCTGCTGCGCACGCTTCTCCACCACCCGTTGCAGCGCCTCCTCCATCTGCCGCCGCGCGTCCGTCTGGCCGGCCGCCTCGGGGGAGCGAGCATGCATGAAGATGGCACCTGCAAGGGAGATGTACGGCAGCAGGGGGTAGCAGGGGGCAGATGGTGGCGTGTGAGGGTGGGAGAGGGAGCGAAGAGCGCAAGGTGAGCAAGGGAGCAGAGATAGGGCACCGGCAAGTGAACATTGACGCAGCTTTAGCTTCAGTGCTTGGATATGAATGTTGCATGCCTGGAAGAGGGTGGCGTGTGGGACGCGAACATGCAATGGAGCTAGCTTCCCACAAGACCAGCATCATTACCAGCGCTTGCATGCATGCACGCATACGGCGAGCGGGCGGGGCGACAGGACTCACCCAGTTCCTTCAGCGCGGCCGCTCGCGCCTGCAGCTCCTGCCGGGACACCTTTTCCTCGAACAATACCGCCCTGCACACCTGCGGGCGAGGTGGGCAGGCAATTCGTGACATTGGAAGTGGCCTTCGGTACTCAGGGCATTGCCAAGCCATTGGGCTGGGGAGGCAGTGAGCGGGGGAGGTGGCGAGGGGGGTTGATGCACCCGACCCATTTCAAACCGCCGTGTCTTCGCCCGCGACCCACTGGTAGCCTGCTGCAGGACATACCGGCCACGGCTGACGGCACGCTGAAGAGGAGGTTAAACTCGGGCACATAGCCACCATGCCACCACCTAACAACTACCGTACCACCCAGCCCTGCATAACGACTCAACCCATCCCATCTCCCATACCTTTTTGAGTGTGTTCTGGATGTCCAGCACGTTCGCCGCCCACATGGCCTCCAGCATGAGGGGCAGCGCGGCCTCCTCCAGCCGCTGCCGCTCCAGCAGCTGCTCCATGCTGGGGCCGGAGGGGGAGGAGGGGCCGGAGGTGGGGCCGGGGGCGGGCGGCGGCGTGGAGGCGGCGGCGGCGGTGGGCGCGGGGGCTGCGGCAGCGGGTGTAGAAGGCGGGGCTGAGCTGGTTGGGGCGGTGGGCACCTGAGGAGGGACAAAGGATAATGGAAGGAGGACCAGGGTCGAGAGGGGAGGGATCGGAGAGGAGAAGCCCTCAAGGGCAGAGCGGGCGGGGAAGAGGCCAGCTATGGCGGGAGCGAGCCTGGATGGAGTGATGAGATCGCATGCAGCAGCAGCAAGTGCACACGCAAGCGCGTACTGCAACATGGAACAAGGCAGCCCTGCCCAACACCAGTGGCGCAAACCCGGTGCATGAGAGCCCCACCTGTGCATCTGTACCGGCGGTTGGGGCAGTGGCTGCGCCGGCGGCGGTGTCCCCGTTAGCGGCGCCCGCGGAGGAGGAGGCGCCGGGTGCCTTACCACCAGCCTCTGCAGCGGTCGACGCCGCTGCTGCCGCCTGCTGGCGCTCCTGCTCCTTCTGCCACGCCTCGATCTTTTGCTGCGCCGCAAAGACCTTCATGGCCGCTGTGGCAGCTTGGAACTGCGACCTGTTGCGATGGACCCGTGGGTCGCAGTGCAGGGCGTTGTTAGCTCTGTTAGCCACGGCGCACCTCCCAGCATGCAAACGTGCAGCACCAAACACACACGGACCGATACCCCTGGAACCCCCGCCAGCCTTTCCCGCTGCCCCAACCGCTCTCACTTTACGCTGTCCCCCTGCGCTCGGAACTTTGCTGCCATGCCGCCGAAGAAGCCGCCCGCCGCAATGTCTGCCTGCGTGTCGTACACCTTGCCGATGGTGTGCAGCATGGTCTCCCCGAAGGAGGCGCGAACCAGCCGCTCAGCCTCCTCGTGCATGGACAGCTGGGGTGGAGGGTCGAGGGGGTGCAGGAAGGGGTGCGAAGGTGGAGGGCGAGGCACATAGCTTAACGGGGATGAGGTGGTATTAAGGGGTAAGAACGAGGTGATCGGGGTGTTAATGCGTAGGAGCCCGGTGAGCGGTGCGGTTGCTTGGAGGCTACCCGGGGCTGTAGGATGAAGGAGGAGGAGGCAGCCGGCAGGGACACGTCCTGGCACGACATGCCCGCCCTCCTGCTTTCCTCCCGCTACCCAACAGCCCTCACATGCCGTCCGAAACCCCTCGTCAGAGTAACGCCCCGCCCTGCCACCACCCCACTAAGCAGCTGCGCAACAGCAACCCAAATGCCCGCCCACCAGCCCCACCTTGAACCCCTCCACATCCCCCTGCGTGTAGCGCTTCAGAATGGCCCTCAGGTTGACACTCAGCTGCTGCACGCGACCCAGCTGCTCGCGAGCCGCCTCGGGGCCCGTGATTTCGCCACCGTTCCTAAAGGGGGGGAGGAGGCAAGCAGAAGGGCATGTGGGGGTTGGAAGCGGCAAAGCCACAGGGCAATAGGTACATACAACGTGCAGGTGCTGTAATATGAAGGGGATACGTGGATAGGAGATCCGCACGTGAGCCTAGCAGCCTTCCGAGTAGGACTAGCAGACGGGGGCAGGTGAGGATGAGGTAGCGCAGGCGTCTGCAACCCTGTAGGGTTGACCCATCCCGACCGCTCACCCCACCCCTGGCCGCCTGGCCCCCCCGCCCCTCAGCACCCCGCCTGGCCCCTGTGGCGGCCTGCGCCCCATGTACAACTTCAAAGCCCCGAACACGTGCTGAGCCCCCCGCCCCACCTGGCCGCCGCCGCAATGAGCAGCTCGCCCACCAGGTGCTCGAACAGGTCGCTGCCGAACAGCGCGCCGAAGAAGGCGCCGCTGTCCATGAACGACACGTCCAGCCCCTCGCTGCCGTGCGCGTCGTAGCGCTCGCGCAGCTGCTCGTTGCACAGCACCTGGAGGGGGGGGGGCGGGGTTGGGTGGGCAGCCAGGTGAAGAGGGAGTGATGGGGGAGTGAAAGGCAGGCAGGGGCGAAGGAGAGGGGCACCGGAGGAAGGAGGAACAACTAAGGAACTTTATGAGCAGGGCGGTGAGGAGAAGGCATGGAGGGAGGACTCCGCGTCTGGGTTGACCCAACCCCAACCTCTCTAGCAGGCCGACTCCTATCGAAGCTACCTTGGACGCCGTCTCCCGCTTTGTACGCCCGACCCAGTTCCCAGCAGGGCTGCACCCGCCCTCCGGCTGGCCCCCTGCCGGACCGCACCGCCCGCTCCACCGGTGCCCCCTGCCGCCCCCGGTCCCCCACCTCACCTGGTACGCCTCCCCCAGCTTCTGGAAGCGGTCATGTGCGGTGGCGTCCCCCGGGTTCTTGTCCGGGTGGTACTTGCGAGCGAGCAGGTAGTACTGCTTCTTGATCTGGTCGGCGGAGGCGTCGCGGGGAACCTGCGTAGGGGGGGTGGGTAGAGCGGGGGCGCGAATGGGAGCGGCAGCCTGGGGCAGGCAGGCAGGCGGGCGCGGCAAGGGTACATCGTCCTGCGTCCATGCTCCCGCATGCAGCGCCCCTCTCGCTGCGTCCACCCTCCTCTCTCCAACGTTGCTGCTTTGCAACAGGGCCGCTCGCCCCCTCGCCTCCGCCTACCTGCAGGATCGCGTAGTAGTCCTCCCCGGCGCCCGGTCTGCTGCCGCCCGCCCCGCCCTTGCTGCCGCGCCCTTTGGTGGCCTCTATCGGCACAATCATGTCCTTGTCCACCCACTCCCTCCGCTCCTGAGCAGCGGGAGCAGCCCGGCATGACGGCCCCCACAATCAGTCGGCCAGACCGCGCCAGCCAGCAAGTAGGGCAGCCGACAAGCCATGCGCCAGGGGTGCGAGGAAGCGGCAGAGGGAAAGAGGAGGGAGGAGTACGACAAGGAGAGTCAAAATAGACAGAAGGGCGTAGGTGGAGGGGAGGTGCAATGGCGCTTGACCCAGGTCGGGTGCAGGGCTGCTGGCATGCGACCCAGATCGATGTCAACCCCTCTCCCTCCACTCCAGTTGTGATGTGGGGAGCCAAGGGAGCACGCAAGCAACGGGTGCTACAGGCAGATGCCCGATATGCTGGTGTATCTGAGGTTGTCAAGGGGTGGAGAGGTGGGCAAGTCCTGACAGCCAGCCGGCTCTAGCCCCAATCCGTAACGGATTGTGACCTTGGCAGTCTCAGGCGGCAAGGTGAATCCGTGTCAGGGAACCCCATCAGCACCCCTGGCGTACCTCGTCCCATACTTTGCCACCGTAGGACTGGGAGACTGCCTCCGGCGTGTTGATGACTCCACGGACCATCTGTACGGCGCCCACGCTAACGCCAGTCACCGGGAGCACTACCGCCCCTACCACGCCTGTAGGTTGTTTGATTTAAAGTGGCAGAACGTTGGCCGCTTTCCTAGACCTTGGGGGCGTCAAGGAAGCACCCAGTTGCCGGTGGTATGATAGTTTGACCTCAGGCACGGCGAGGCTCTTTCATGTGCGTAAAGCAACAGGCCGCATGAACCACGCCTTGTCCCGCGGTCTGTGATGTATGTGCTTACCTGTTGCCAGGCCTTTCGCAAAGCCGGTCACACCCTCGCGATGTGCGCCAACGATGGGCGCTGCTACTAGCCCCGCAGCTCCACCTATTACGCCCTTCGCAATACTCTTTAAACCACTCGCTAGGCCTGCTCTGGCATCTCGTGGACGCCGAAGTGAGAAGACGTCCGAAAAGTTAACCTGAGGTTCGTTCGAAGCGCTAGGGTCGGCATCTTGCCCGCTAGGTTCCCCTGATGTCTGAGCATTCATTTGTCAATACAATCGGGGTGTTGAAAGTTGGCGAAGTTGCGGGGACAGCTACACAACTAAGCAGTAGCACACGTCTCAGCCGAATAATTTAGAGCAGTACAAAAAGATCACAAGGTCCGCACTCCCGATTAGACCTGGTCCAACTTGGGTATACAAAATAATTACGCCGTACGGTACTTGTAGTGGTATAGCCCCTTGACAATTTCATCACTGTCTCACAGCACTATTGCTTTGTCTTGGAGCCTTGACATGTAGTAGCTTAAAACTTCGTTAAAAGTGCGTTTGTCCCGATAATGCTTCTCCCTTGAGTTTGGAGGGTGGACTAGCTGATTAGGACCACCATGGACGACGGTGAATCAATTAGCGTTAGGTTTAGACACACTGCTGGAGACCTCGGGCCGTTTACGTTTACAGAAGCGTCTAGCGTGCAGGCGCTAAAGGACAAGGTGTTTGCAGAGTGGCCCAAAGGTGCATATTACCTTATTACTACCGTAGCACTAAAGAAGCGCAGTCCTGACCCGTTGTCCGCGCCATGCTTGTAGATGGCCTATGGTCAAAGGAACCCCCTGGGCAGTCCGCTGACGTTCGGCTTATTCTGTCGGGGAAATTCCTGGACAGCGCGAAGCAGCTTAGAGGTATGTTCGGGTACGGACTCGACGTGCACAAGATTTGACATGGCCTCAGCCGTTGCGTTCGTTGAGCTGCGCAGAGTACAAGCGAGATATGGGGGAGGTCAAGCCCGACACCGTGGTGACCATGCTCGTGCACATCAGGCCGCAACCACCTCCAACTAAGCAGCAAGGTAGGACCTCCGCGACCCACTTCGGGCAGCCTGCTTACTGCACCCTTGTTTACCGCCCCGGGGATTGTTGGCTACCGAAGCGCTATCTTCCCCCTCCTCGGATGCTACTTAACCCGTCGCCCTTATAATATTGTGTCCAGGGATACAAACGCCGCAAAAGCAGGAGCAGAAGCAGGGTTGCGGGTGTACGATTTCATAAGGCGCACCAGCGCGACGCGTGGACTGGCAGCCGCAGCTACGTGGCCCTAGGGACCTGCAGGTTACGCCCCGCATGCCGCTAGCAGGCAGCGGAGCAAGCAGCACGGGGGTAGCCCGGGACTCGGCAACTAGGAGGGCGAGCTTCACTGATGCAGGGTTCAGCCCTTTGCAGCACGGACTGGGCAGATACATTTAAGACATGACTGACGCGTGGCGCAGCATGCACAGCTTGATACGACCGCGCTACGCATGTTTACACCGCCTTGGAGAAGGTGGGGATTAGCAGACTTGTGGACGCGGACCAAGGACCTATTAGGTGGAGCGTGTGGGCAGACAATTCAGGCTGTGCCTGTGGGCACCAGCTCGAGTGCTCAACCCTCCTTAACCCCAATTAGAGTATTCATTGTGGGCCTCGCCACAGGTGTGAGGTCGTGAACCGGTGGACGAGCTAGTTGACGTGCACCTGGCACCTGGGGGTTGTCTAGATCGTCTGGGAGCATAGACCGCATGCATGGTAGGTGGCTACTGTACCCCAGAGTAGCCGATGGGAAGGGTGGTTGACAAGCAGAAATTGTCGTGAGGTACGGAGGTGCTACATAGGCCATGTGCCATGGGCTACCGCTGATGAGAGAGTTACTAGTTCAGTCGGATGGGGGTTCCTGCCTCCAGGGCCTGAACCCTAGCTAAGGGTGGTTGTGCGTGATGTTACCGTTTATGAGTTTGGACTGTTGGGGCCACCGACGGTTCTTTATCTTAGTTAAAAACAACTTGTTCTGCTTGAAGCACTCCCTACTATTTGCTGACCGAGGGCATGCCATGGGTAAGAGAGGTTGAGAGGGTTTGCTTCCCTGCTTCGGCTGGCACCCAAGACTAGAACATTTGGAGGAAGTTTTTTATTCAGGCATATAGCTGTTTCTATAGGGTTCTTGCCCAATCTATTGACCGCCTTGATCAGCTTAGAGATGGATGCACGGCACCGACGGCCGGCGGACGTAAAAACCCTGCAACGTTATGTAACAAATCCTGGATGCATATATCATACTTTATTATCTCTATCCTCTGGACGCATCGCACACTTTCTTGGCTATTAAGTTCGCAGAGAGCTTTTGTGCTGATTGCCCGGTCTTCGGCGCCGGCTAGTGAGCCCTAGCAAACGTAAAAGCCCGAACAAACATTAGCAATGTCAGCGCTGGTTGCTCAGCGAGCTGTGGTATTGGGGCAGGCTTCTAGACGCCCGGCTTGTCAGAGGTAAGAGGGCTGCGCAGGGTTGGAATGTGCGCGCGCACCCTATCACCCTGATCAACTGTGCGTTGCAGGCATCATCCATTTACCCCTTGCAAGCAGTCGCCTCTTGCCGCGCGGTCATGGCGGCGAGTCGCTTGCCAGTCAGCAGAGAACTCGCGTGTTGAGGTATGCAATCGCAGTGCGACGGCGTCCCCCGCTTAGCAGCGCCGGCGGAGCTTCACATAGAATTTGTTTACTTGATGTAGGTTGCGACTGCTGATGCGCCCGTTAGCAACGGTGTCGTCCAGAATGGAGCAGAGCCCCAGCAAGCGATGCAAGCAAGCAACGGGACAGCGGCCGCTGCTGTGGCAGCAACTCCCGCGCCTCCAGCTCAAGTGGTAAGTATTGTTCCTAAAGCGGCTGTCAAAAGGCCACCTTACACGGATACGAAACCCTTAACTAACTTCTACATGACTACTCAACTCCTTCCTCGGTTCCCCTCCAGGGCGTCAAGATTCAGCCTGCGCTTATAGCTGTGGGCCTGGGTCTAGCCCTTCGCTTCCTGGTGCCCATTCCAGCGGGCATCACGGCACAGGTAGGGGGCTTCGGCTGCCACTAACGAACCTAGCAGAGCGCAGCTGATGGCAACCCATGCGGCTTAGGTCCCCAGCAAACCAACCGCTATGGATCTGCATACGGAAGGCCACTTCCCTTCCCGCTTCACCGATAATAGCGACAGCCAGGCTTGGATTACGGCCTGCCTGACCCCCTAAATCCTTCATAGCTGCGCCTGCCAAGTTAGCGAAGTGCACGTTTTCCCTTACCCCTTCATACACTTCCTTTCTCACAGCCCGCCTTTCACCCCCTGCACCACCTCGTCCCCACTCCTCCCTCCTCCCCACGCCACCCTAACATGGGCACCCAGCCCTCTGTGCCGTCCTCAATCGCATTATACCCCTACTGTCCCCCTGCCCATGCAACCCATGGAGGAGCGTTGCCACATGCTCCATTCCCCCTCCTCTCGACCCCATCCCTCCCTCCTGCCCCCCCACCTACTGCCCCCCCAGGCCTGGAGCCTGCTGTCCATCTTCGTGTCCACCATCCTGGGTCTGGTTCTGGACCCGCTGCCGGTGGGCGCCTGGGCCTTCATGGCGGTCACGGTGGCGGTGGCAACAAAGACACTCACCTTTGCGGAGGCCTTCGCGGCCACCACCAACGAGATCATCTGGCTCATCGTGGTGTCGTTCTTCTTCGCAAAGGTGGGCGGGACGGGGAGTGGGAGTGGAAGGAATGAAGCGACCTGTTAGGTGGGTGGGTGGGAAAAGAAGAAGACCCAATGGGTGGATGGGAGGTGGGCCGGGTTTGGGTTTGGGGGGTTGTGGTTTACGTCCGGTTGGCTTCCTGAGGCGATGTGGGTCGGGGCCTCGAATGCCATCCCAAGCTGAACCCTAACCACCACCACCACCCCGCTCATCTCCCCCGCACCAACACCCGCACCCACAGGGCTTTGAGAAGACGGGTCTGGGCGAGCGCATCGCCACCCTCTTCGTCCGCGCGCTGGGCCACTCCACGCTGGGCCTCTCCTTCGGCCTCAACGTGGCGGAGGCGCTCATGGCGCCCGCCATGCCCTCCACCTCGGCCCGCGCGGGCGGCATCTTCGTGCCCATCATCAAGAGCCTGGCCGCCACCGCCGGCAGCCACCCGGGCGACGACAGCCGCCACAAGATGGGCGCCTACCTCATCAACTCGCAGTTCCAGACCGGCATCCACTCCACCTCCTTCTTCCTGACGGCCAGCGCGCAGAACCTGCTGTGTCTGAAGCTGGCGGGCGAGCTGGGCGCGGTGGTGCCCAACCAGTTCATGACCTGGGCGGCGGGCGCCTTCGTGCCGGCGGCGGTGGGCATGGTGCTGACGCCGCTGGTGCTGTACAAGATGCAGCCGCCGACCATCAAGGACACCCCGGATGCGCCCGCAGCGGCAGCGGAGCGGCTCAAGGTGAGGAGGAGGCGGTTACCCCCTCCCTGCCCGACTCGGTTAACCATGTAACCAACCTAAATTGGTGCTGCTGTACAGAAGAACACATCACACTTGGACCAAGCGCAAGCCGTCTCCCCTAAACTGCCCACCTCACGGCGCCTCCTAGAAACATGGCACCCTCCCACTCTCTCCCCCACTCCGTTGTCTCACTGTCCGTGTCCTCCTCACTCCCCACTTCTTCCCCCTCCTCCCCCTACCATCCCCCCTCTCCCCCCCTTCCCCCCTCAGGCCATGGGCCCCATGTCCCGCGACGAGACCATCATGGCCGCCACCATGGGCGCCGCGCTGGTGATGTGGATGTTCGGCGAGCAGCTGGGCATCACCCCCGTGCTGGCGGCCATGCTGGGGCTGTGCGGGCTGCTGTGCACCGGGGTACTCACCTGGCGCGAGTGCCTCAGCTACACGCCGGCGTGGGACACACTGTGCTGGTTCGCGGTGCTGATCGGCATGAGCGGGCAGCTCAACAGCATGGGCGTGATCAGCGTGTTTGCGCAGGCGATGGGCAAGCTGCTGACGAGTGAGTGCGGGGGTGGGGAGGGGGAGGGGGAGGGGGCCGGCAGGATGGGGGGAGCGGAACTGGGAACTGGCTGCCAGCATGGAAGGAGGAAGGGGGATGAAAGAGAGTGGTGGGACGCTATGCCGCAGCAAAAATGAGTGATGTCCCGGAATACAGTATTTAAGGAGCGCACAAATCCCCCGTCCCCAATCAAGCATCTGCTTGCCCCCATCCACGCAAACGCATTGGTATCCATCCCGGTATTTCCCTTGCCCAGCCCCGTATGCTGCTCAGACACTCCCCCGCCCCGTGTCTTGCGGCTATCACTGAATCCCCTCCCCCCTCTCCCCTCCTCCCCTCCCCCTTCGCCCCTTCCCCCTCCGCAGGCCTCAACATGGGCTGGATGCCGCTGTTCGGCCTGCTGCACGTGGCCTTCTACGGCATCCACTACATGTTCGCCTCGCAGACGGCGCACGTGGGCGCACTGTACAGCGCCTTCTGCGCCATGATGTTGGCTGCGGGTGAGGCGGGGCAGGGAGAGAGGGAGAGCAGGGAGGGCTGGGCCGGCAACAGCAGGAGCAGCGGCGGGGCAGGCGCAGCAGCAGCGGCTGATGCTTTAAATACGGCAGCTGTGGGGTGCAGCAGCGCGCACGGGGGGCCGCTGGGTTGTGCATGGGTAGCCTTCCCCTCCCTCCTGTCTTGGCGCCTCCCCTCCCCTTCCCCGCCTCCCTTCCCATCCAACCTCCCCCTTCCCCCCCTCCCCTCCCGTCCAGGTGTCCCCCCCGTGCTGGCCGCCATGTCTCTCGCCTACTCCATCAACCTCTTCGGCTCCATCTCGCACTACGCCAGCGGGCAGGCGGCCGTGTTCTACGGCTCCGGCTACCTGCGGCTGAACGAGGTGTTCGGCATGGGCGCGGTGTGCGGCTGGGGCGGCCTGGCCATCTGGGCCGTTGTGGGCATGCCCATCTGGAAGATGCTGGGCTGGTGGTAATGTAGCAGCGGGTTAGGGGAGGAGCAGCACAGCAGGGGGAGGGGGAGGAGGCTGGAAAGGTGCTAGGGCTGCGGTGAAGAGGAAATGGTTGAGAAGGTGTAGGCTTTCTTTGGAAGCTGATGGAGGCTTTAGGGGTGGAGCGTGTTGAGAAACCTGTGAGCTGGAACGCCGGTGTGGCTGTCTTAGCGGGAGTACTTCGGTGGTTGCGGGGGGTTGCTGGCAGCGCTGCCTGCCGGTGGTTGGCAGGGTTGCTGCAGCGGTGATGAAACAACCTAGTCTGCAGCTGTATTACACTACTCGTATGTGGGCTGCTGGGGCCTGAGCTCCTCCTCCTCTTGTTTGCAAGAGGAGGGACGGGGACAGGCCGCGAAGACGCCTCTCGAAAAGAGACCTCTTTTGATGTGATAGCGGGGCCCAGATTGGCCGCTGGATTCCCCTTCTGGTGGTTTGTGAAGTCGTCTAGTGAGCAGGAGAGGAGCTGGAGCGGTGAGAGCGCGAGAGGGGTGTTTGGTGTGCTGTTTGAGACCCAGGCCCCTCAAACAGCAAGCGCGTCAAGAGCGGGGATGCGAGTGCATGCGTGCGTGCGGCTTTGTGTGGAAGCTTAAGCGTTGTGAGCAACTCAAGCGCGATGACCGGGTCGTTCGGTTTTTTTCAACTCGAACAACCGGATCTGGGTATCATGCGTTCGTTGCCGCTTGTATGCGAGGATGTGTGGCGTGTGTGTGCGTGGCCTTGTGTCCGCAAGTTGGCTTATCTGTATGTGTGTATGTCTGGCATTAGGCGTGTGCAATCATGGTGTGTACGGTACTCGGTCAAAGCGGCTTCCGCGCACTCGCTGCCTGGGGTCGGCTTTGTTAATAAGGTCGGCCTCTAGGTTGCGTTTGCCGTCTTAGTCGTCACGGTAAAAATCTCTTGGCTCTTTCCGCCACGTAACCTTGCTGAATGTGGTCGTTTAGGCCGTATTATCAAAGTGTGTGTTCGTACGGTGTGGGAAATGCCGTACGTTAAGGTCAAAACACGTATGCTGCACATTGCCGCTTGTATCGTTTCGCAGCTCAGTCGCTTATGAATTAAGACAAACGTTACACGCTTCAGGTGCTTCTGTACGGCACTCGTGTGCGTCTATAGTTGTACGGCAGGGCTTGCATGTGCCTATGTATGTGGGCACACACACATGCATCCGGCCTGGGTCTGATGTTGGGAATGTGGTTGTCTTGCCGAAAGTACGGCACATGTGAGGTACGGCGTGCGTGGCGAGCGTGACAATGTCTTTGCCGAGGCCACCCGCCCTACTCGCTAGCCTCGTGCGCAGCAACGCGCCATGCTTGGGGCACAGGTACCGGTAGGGCGGCCTCGTCCTCGCTTTGAGCGGTCTGGGGTATGCCCCTTGTTACATGTTCTCTGTTTATGAATGCGACAACCCGGAAGTCGTGCGGTTCTTGACCGTGTTGGCTGCGTATGGAGGGCCGCGGGCAGGTGCATGTGGGCAGATCGCAGATGTCACCGCCTGCCTTGGTAGTGGGTGGTAGGCATTGGTGGTAGTTTCGCCGTGAAACAAGGCATGGGTTAGGGGTTGATAGCTGTGTAAGGTGTGCCTTCCCAGCTTCCACACGCGTGTCTACCGTGTTACCGAGGTCAGCCAATGCAAGTGACAAGGACTCTATCCCCGTAGCTCGATTCCGAGAAAACGTATACGAAGTATGCGGTTTCGGAGGAGCGAAGCGAAGGGAAGCATAGACGGTCTCCGTGGTCACGCTCCAGGGAACGCAATATTCGTGCTCGTCCCGTCCATAGACCCAAGGGTCGGTAATCGCGATGTTAAGCAGCCCGCTATGCGCAGCAAACTAATATTCAGTATATTTAGGCTAAGAGCGAAGTCATATAGTAATAATGGAAAAAAGAGGAGAACCGATTAATCAAGAGAAGACATAATATGAATAAAGGTAGTCTCCAAGATTAGGGAGCAGAACGTGATCGAACGACGTTAAAGCAGGTTTTTAAAAGGCGCTAGATCCGTTGTCGCGGTTCAAGGAAATGTGGTTGTCCGTGCATGGAGACGCGATGTTGGCTAGCAGTCGTGTAGGATTTGGCTCGGTTGAGGAGGTATGCAGTAGCCGTCTTTGCTTGGGTTTCGGGAATAGCGGTGCCCGAACTTAATGCGGGTACCACGTCCTTGAACGGGTCACCTTTCAGTGTAGACGTAGATCACGTTGCTCTTCAAGACGGCAAGTAATCTCCCCATGCCTTTCCAATCCCCGCGCGGCGCCTGCTCCATCCTGTCATCGCACGTTCCTCGAGTAAAATGGCTGTTACCCGCGCTGGGCATGGATACTCCTGCCCTTCACCGTGCAATGTGTTCGTGTCCGTGCCCTTCACCGTGCAGTGCCTGTCTCGCGGCGTAAGTTCTTCCCAGTGCAGGATGCCCTTCCCCGCGCTGTACCTACCTGTCTCCCCGTGCCCTCCCCATGCGACTTGTCTTTACCCGCGCGGCGCGCGCTTGTGTCCCCTGCCCTTCCCCGGCGGCGGCTGCCTCCCAATGCCATAAACCATACAGCTGCCCTTCCCTGTGTGCGTGTTTCCCGTGCAGCGAAATTGCGGGCCTCATGCGGTCTGCCGTGGGCCTCGGTGCCATTCCATGTGCAGTGCCTGCCCCAAAATGCCCTCGGCTGTCCTTATCCGCGAGCCCCTGGCCCTTACATCCAATGCCTTCACTCCTGCATGCACATGTGTCAGCTTTCGGGCAGGGCGTGGCCGCTGGTCGCATGGCCGAGTGTAACTGAGTAGGGCGGGGTTTTATGCACGCACGCATTGGTGTCGGTACTCGGGCAGGACAGGGATGCATGCGTACATCACCGCGATAAACGGCGGGCACAATGGGTGTGCGTACCCGCATGGCAGCCGGTAGTCGGGCATGGTGAGTATGCATCCATGTATCGGTGCCAGTTTACGGGGCGGGGGGTTATGGATTCAGATTCGGAGTTGAGCGGATGCGCGGATGGGTGCGATGGATGGGAGAAGGGTGATCTTGCACGCACGGGGGCCTGTTCCTGGCAGAACGACTGGATGTCTGCATGCATGAGCGCCGAAAGCTAAGAGAGGCGGGGATGCATGTGCATGTGGGTGCCAGTAACTAGCAGGGCAGGGATGCCTACATGCATGGGCGGCATTCGTTGAGCAAGGCGATGGCTGCACGCGCGGGGAGCCATTACTTAGGTATTGTGGCGGTGCATGCCCCAGCGCATGAGCGTGTCATGCACACTGTTGGTAATCCAAGGAGGGAACCGGGTGAAAAGGCAGCTACATGATGAGGAACGTTGACATCGGGGTTGGGGGCTGGAAGCAGGGAAGGGAAGAACGGGCCCTGGAGACTGCAGAGGAGGACACAGACAGCAGATACGGTACACATGGGGATCTGTCCTGTGCTTCTGTGGCCTGTTGTGTCGCTAGGCTTCGCACATCCAGGCTTTGAGGACGGGGTGTTGGCCTGTGCAGCAGCGGTGGCAATAGCGCTATCTTGCGCTAGCGGCGGGCGGATGGGGCCTCGGGCATCCGTCTCAGATCCGGAGGTCATGCCTGATCGCATGCACGCTTGATGTTGGCCAGTGCGGGGACTGCATGGGCGCGCCGGCCTTTGGGCGGGACTTGTGGGCGCCGGTGGTTCAGCAGCGCGAGTATGCCTGCACATGCAGGCGCTGGTAGTTGGACAGTGCGTGGAAGGATGCCTCCCTCTGCCCTAACCCGTGCGGCGCCCCTGCAGCTCACCTGCGTCGCCCCGTGCTTTGCTTGCCTTCCAATGCCCTTCCCCGTGCGTCTGCCCTTCCCCGTGCGGCCCTGCCTCTCCCCGTCATTGCCCGTTCCTTGAATTAACTGAACGGATGAGCCTGCCGCTACAATGGTGGTTTAATGGCGGCTGCCTACCCCTGTCCTTCCATGCCAGACGTCTGCCTGCCCTTGCCCTTCCCTTGTATTGACTGCCCCTCTCTGCCATCTTCTCTGTGCGGCCACCCTTCCCCGGGCAGCACCTGCCTCTCACTGCTCTTCCCCGTGTGGCACCGTGAGTGCGGCCTCCCTACCCTTCCTCGTAAAGTTTCTGCCTCCAAGTCCCCTCACGGGCTTCGGGTAGCTGACTTGCACAGGGGGTGTCTGCGTGCGCGCATTGGTGTTGGTACATGGCATGCATGCGTTCACCAGCGCGGTAGTTGGGCATGGTTAGTGTGCGTACAAGCATGGACGCCGGTACTTGGGCATGGCGGGTATGTATGCATGTATCGCATGGGCCGGGTGGGCATGCATTCAGGCGTCGGCGCGGCAGTGATGCTCGCGCTCATGGGAGCTGGTTCGTGGCAGGACGAGAGGATGTCTGCACGCTTGAGCACAGACAGCTGGAAGGGGAGGGTATGCATGCGCATGTGGGTGCCGGTAACTGGCACGGCATGTATGGCCATCACTCGGCTTTGCAGCATACACAGATGTTTCTAGCCATGAATTATCGCAGGCTTTTTTGTTGCCAAATAAGATGCTGTCACAATTGCTTTACTTGCTTGGGCTTCAGGAGTAGCGGAGCCCGAGCGTGTTGCGAGCGTGTAGGCCACATCCCGTCGTTAAGCGTTGAACAGGTCTTCACCTTTAGTGTGTACCTTTTCTTTGGCTTCCACAAGCCGTTTGTGCTTCCTACCCGTCTAGCAGCCTTGGCGACAATCGCTGCCATTCCTTTTGTGCTTTGAGCATCCTTCTGCATCCTCACGCCCTACATGCATGCGTGCAACCGCATCTCCACGACATCACCTCCCTCCCGCGAGCTACGGGCAGCTCCCGCCGAAGGCGGGCCTTACTAGTTTGTTGCCAGAGACTCCAGTGAGGTACAGTCAGGACCCGTGGGTCCTAGCGACTCAGAACCTGCCTGCGCGTTCAAGAAATGCCCATTCAAGAAATGGCAACAGCAGCTGGATTGGGCCAAGGGAACAGCATTGTGAGTGACTGGGGGTTAGGGTTTGGGGGCGTGAAGCTCGACGGCAACTCGGCAAACGCTCGCCACTTTGGGGCAGATTCCAGATGAGGCTCCGGTAAGTTGGCTGTACCAACCTATCCGTATAGGTGCAATAACAAAGCATGCTTTGTTGTTGCTTGACCGGTGCTGTACAACACGCCTTTAACCTTAGCAACATGTTGTCGCAGGACACAAAAGGACACCTCGTACAAGACAAGCACAACCCAGACTTCACATTTGTACTACTTGACGATTTTCGTTGCGTTCCCTGAAAAAGTAGCAGATAGAACACTGCCGATCGTCCTGAGCTTCACGCTTTTATAGGGGTACGGCAAAACCCTTGCCTTGCCGAGAGAACAGACATTGTGACTTGTTTACCTTGCAGAAATGCACACCTATTAAAAGCGCTCTTTGGATCTAGGCTATACTGGGACAAACGCTAGCAGACTTTTCGATCGTGTTTGAACTTTATCGCTCTGCTTTTCTCAGCGTTGACCGCCTTTGGTTGGCTCAGATCATACATTTCTAGTCCTTCGGTAAATCCAGTTGCTTGTGTTGCATTGAATTTCCTTGGCAGCACACGGCGGGGGAAATCGCGTCACTGGCGCGGCTAATCGCCGTATGCGATTCCAGCATCAATGTGGAGTAACAGGGCGCAGACTAGGACTGACAGCTTGGAGCCAGGTCCGTCCTGCTGCCCTGCGATGAGTTGGATGCGACGATATACCGACGCGACTGGGCCCGCAGGAACAAGCGGTCGCTATCCGGAGCGTATGATTGATCAGATTCCATCAAACTATCCATGTGCAAAGTTAAAGCTTGACCAGTTCTTCCTACAATGGCTATCGGAGCACCAAGACCTGGTGAGGGTTACGTGCCACTATCTCAACCAATCGCTTACCTGCCTCTCACCACGCAACGACAAACGCTGAGGGTGCACCTGGGGCCTGTATGGCGCAGGTCTCAAGCCTAGTCGACGACATACAGGCGGGTCGACCCATACATGCCCCGTCCCAGCCGGTGGGCCCCTCGCCGCTGTCGCCCTCAACCTCCCACATGATCTTCTCCTCCACGGTGGGTCCCACGGCGCACCTCGTTGCCGTACTCCTGGTGGCTGTCGTACTCCTTGAGTGCTGCTCCCTTGTTGCCGCCCTTTGCACCTGCGGGGATGTGTGGGATGCAGCCCCTTGGCTGCAACAGTAGTGTGCTATGTGCTACATGGGAGCTGTTGGGAACTGTGAGCTGATGATCTATGACAGGACCATTCCCCACATAGCAAGTCCACACGCTAACACTTGACCCCACCCCACCCCTGTTGCGCCCCTGCTCCCTCCCCCCTCCGCAGCCCCCCCTGTCTCCCTCCAAAACCCGGTCACCCGGCACGCCGCTGTCGCCCGCCCGGAGATCCGCCTCCAACCTGGGGGGGAGCGGACCCAAGCGGGTGAGGTCCGCTGAGCCGAGCTGAGGGGAGGGCAGGGCAGGGGGAGAGGGGACACATGCCCGTCCTAATGCCATAGTGGAGCGGGTTGGGAAAGAGCTAGGGAGGGAGCTGGGGTGGGGTGGCCCTAGACGCCCGGCATGTGGGCAGTCAGCTCTTTCGTTTGGGCAGCCGGTTGAGGGGGACGTGGGGAGGAGGGAGAGGTGGGGGCATGGCACGGCTTGGTGGGCGCGTGGGGAGGAGGGAGCGAGGTGGGAAGTGGAGGGAATGGGCGGATTCGGCGGTGTGGCGCGAGGGTGCAGGGTGCGCATGCAGGGCTAGGCCAGGGGCTTGCGTGGGTGGGGGGGGGGCGCTGCTGCCCTCGCACTGCTGAGGGAAGTGCACGTGGGGGCAGGAAGGTAGCTGGGAAGGCAATTCGGGGCATGGGGCCAATGAGGGGCATGCGGTATGCCGAAAATGAAAGCCGGGTGGTCGGGTCGAGGAAAGGAGGAGGCGTGGGCCGCCGGGTTTCCAGGGTTGACAGCCCTCCTGCATCCCCCCCTCTTCCGCTCTTCCCTCCCCACCGGAGCGGTAACCACGTGGCCTTACCGTTCCACTGGTCACCACTCCCGTGACGCCCCGCGGCTCCGACTCAGGAGATCCAGCTCTCTAAACCCCATGCCGTCGCTTCCTCTCCCCTCCCCTCCCTCTTCCCTCCCATCCCCCTTCCAGGGCCCCCTGGTGTCCATCCCCCAGTTCTACTTCCCGCCCGCCCCGCCCGCCCCCTCCGCCGCCGCCACGGGGCTGCTCCCCCCCGGCGCCCCGCTGGCCCCCGCGCACCGCGACTTCCTCACCCGCCTGGATCCGCACTTCGAGACGTGCGGGGGGCCGGGGGGGATGCCGCAGAAGGCGTTTGTCAAGATGATGCAAGAGGTGGGCGCGGGGTGATGAGGGGGGGCGGGGGGGGGAGGAGGGAACACTAACCGTGTGACGAGGCTCCACCAATGGGTTGCATGGGCGGGGTGGGGAGCGGGAGATGAGGAGGCGGCAGCGGGTTGGACAGCCACCGGCCGCAGCGGAACACTGGTGTGGCGGCAGCAAGGACCTCCTGCTGGTGCTCTTGGTCACGTGGCGCTCTTGGAGCCTCGGTTGAGGATGTTGGGTCCCATTACCGTACTGGACCCCACTACGAGCCACACGCTTCCAATGCGACACATGCGCTGCCCCGCATGGCTAGTCCGGGTCTGCCTACCTGGCCGCGCCCCCCTCCCCTCCCCTCTGTTCACCCCGCCCCCCTCTGTCCGCCCCTGTACGCTGCCAGGTGTGCGAGCTGCCCTCCATGGTGGCCTACGCGCTGTTCAAGCGGCTGAGCGGGTGCGAGGCGGGCGAGGAGGAGGGCGGCGCGGTGCCGCGGGAGGCGCTGCTCAAATTCTGGACGGGGCGGGGGCTGGTGGGGGCGCCGGCGGCCAAGAGGGCGTTCGAGTGCCTGAGGCCGGATGGGCGAGATGTGAGGCGGGGGGAGGGGGAGGGAGATGTGAGGCGGGGGGAGGGGGAGGGAGATGTGAGGCAGAGGGAAGGGGGGGCGTGGGTGGGTGGTTTGGGGGCTTGACATCTTGGAAGTTCCTCACTGCATGTACCCCCAAACTCTGCTGCCCCCTGATCTCAGCTGCTTCTGTTCTCTCTCCCTGCCCCGCACCTTGCCCCTCCCTCCCCTGACATCACGCTACTCCAGCCGCCGCACCACACAGCACATTCGATTACAAAACTTAGCACCCCACACACTCCCTCCCCCCACTCCCTCCCCCCCCTCCCCCCCCTCCTTCCGCAGTACCTGCTGTTCTCCGACCTGTGGCCGCTGATGGAGTGCGTGCTGCGCTACCACCCGGGGCTGGAGTTCCTGGCGGACACGGCGGAGTTCCAGCGCAAGTACGCGGAGACGGTCATCCACCGCATCTTCTACACGCTGAACAAGTGAGGGAGGAGGGGGAGGGATGGGGGAGGGGGGAGGGTGCTGGGAGAAACCCGCAAGTGTATGTGGGGGGAGGGAGAGGTGGAAACGTGGGGTGGGGCAAACACATTGCGATAGCAAACCCAGTCCAGGCACGAGGAGGGCGTGTAGGGCGGAGGCATGTGAGAGAGGGTGGGCAGGCAGGTCGAGAGGGAGGGAGGGGAAGGAGGTCTAGTCCGCAGTTGCGTTACACGCCTCGGGGGCACCACCCACATCCCTTTACCGCAATCAGTGGACCCTGTCTGCACCCCTCCCTCTTCTCCCCTCCCCTCCCCCTCCCCCCCTTCAGGTGCGGCAGCGGGCGGCTGACGTTCCGCGAGTTCCGCGGCGGGGAGCTGATGGATGCGCTTTACGCACTGGACCGGGAGAACGACATCAACAAGGTGGGGGGGGGGCAGAGGGGGGGGGAAGGGGGGTGGGGGGGGTAGCTGGTGGTGCGGGTGAGGGGAGACGAGCTCAAAACGAGGTGGCATGCACCTGGATGCGTGCGGCACAGTTGCTACTGCGCACACACGAATGCATGCTCCCACCTGCACACCCATGCATGCCCCCCCTCATGCCCGCACCCACTTGCGCCCCCCCCCCCACCCCCCTGCAGATCCTCAAGTTCTTCTCCTACGAGCACTTTTACGTCATCTACTGCAAGTTCTGGGAGCTGGACCAGGACCACGACTTCCTGCTCGACAAGAACGACCTGGCGCACTACTCCAACTGCGCGCTGTCGTACGTCATCGTGGACCGCATCTTTGAAGAGGTGTGTTGAGAAACATGTGTGGGTGGGTGCGTGCAGGATGCGTGGGTGTGTGAAAATGGCTGCAAGGTGTGTGTAATACAATTCTGCCGTACGGGCTAACAGCTAGGAGTTTGTACCTGAATGCGCGGAGAGGAGGAGGGTTTGTTTCTGTGTTCCATTGTGTTTTGTTCTCCAGGGCTTTGTTGGGACAGGTTGGCAGATTTGCAACTGCTATGGCTGCAATGATGATTCCTCCTCGAGCCCTGCCCTAAGCTCCCACCCCACACCTAAAATCCAGCCTAATGCAGAATCGGCTCAGTTTATCTAATCCCTATTAACCCCCACACCTCCCCCCCCTCCCTTCCCCGCAGGCCCCGCGCAAGTTCAAGGCCGGCACCCCCCCCGGCAAGATGTGCTACGAGGACTTTGTGTGGTTCATCCTGAGCGAGGAGGACAAGACTACCGACACGGCGCTTACCTACTGGTTCAGGTGCGGGGGTGGGTGGGGGGGTGGGTTAGGTAAAACGGCCGCAAAGCGAACACTGGCCTTGGAGAGGGGAGTATAGGCTGCCATACCCCCCGGCCGCTAACCGTCCCTTGTTTCATGGAACCCTGCCGCATCCTATCCCCATTGCTTTGCCCTAACCTGTGGATTCCTATGGTTTGGGCTGGCCTCCGACCCCTCCATGTTGAAGCCTCGACATACAGTTCGTATATTTTTAACTATCCCACCCCCCAACCAGGTGTGTCGACCTGGACGGTGACGGAGTGATCCGGCCCCGTGAGATGCTGCACTTCTACGAGGAGCAGCTGCGGCGGCTGGAGGGTTGGAACCAGGAGGTGGTGCAGTTCGAGGACCTGCTGTGTCAGCTGCACGACATGCTGGCTCCCGCGGTGGAGGGGCAGTTCACGCTGCGGTGGGGAGGGGAGGGCGGGGTGGGGCTGGAAGTGGGGAGGAGGGTGTTGGTGGTGGTGGGCTGTTGTTGTAGTTGGAAGCGTGTTTTTTACTGCAAGAAAGGATCACTCCTCATTTCGTCCACTCTTCAGTCATGCTGTTGTTGATCCGAAGCCTGCCTTTCTGTTTCCCTCTTCCTGCCACCAACCTGCCCCACCTTCCCTGTCCCGTCCCAACAACTCCCCATGGCTCCACATCTCCATAACTGGGCTCATGCGCCTTTTGCCCGGCCTCACTTCCCTCCTAGATCCCTCCGACCACCTCCCTCCCCTGCTGTCGGGATATGGGATTGGGACTCGTTGTTTCACTTATATAAGTTTTTCCCCTCCTCCTCCCCCGCAGCGACCTGAAGCGCCAGAAGCCGCACTCGGGGCTCTTCTTCTCCGCGCTCTTCTCGCTGCACAAGTTTGTCAGCTTCGAGAACCGCGACCCCTTTGCTCAGCGGGCGGAGGCGGCGGAGTTTGCGGGCATGTCGGACTGGGACAAGTTTGCCAAGATCGAGTACTTTAGGTGAGGAGGGGGGAAGAGGTTGGGGAGGGGGTAGTGGGGACCAAAGAGAGACCAGTCATAGGGCAAAGCACTGAGAATGGGAGGCGGCAGGGTGCCACGTAATAAGTGAGGGTTGTGACGAGAAGTTTAGAACTCTCGCGAGCATAGGCATTTTTCCCAGCGAGCTGGGGCATCTTGAACACCACAGTTCCCGTCCGCACCAGGCCTCCTCATCTCTCCCTCATCCCTCATCCCTCCCCCTCCACACATTGGAATTTCCTTTTCCCCCTCCCTCATCCCCCCCAGGCTGGCCAGCGAGGATGACCCGGGCGACCAGGGGGGTGGTGGCATGGATGCGGAGGAGGGGCTGTGAGCGGTGGCAGGGGGGGCGGCAGGGGGCGGGGGCAGTGACAGTAGCAGCAGCGGGCTGGCGGGATTGGGGAGGAGCGCTGGGGGCGGTCTGCGCGCTGCCGGGCGAACTGCGGAGTGAGGGTCAGGGTCGGGGAGGAGGCCACGGGCAGCTGACGGTTGCATGGTATTGCAATTGGAGATTGGGGGACACGAAGAGTAATAAGTTGAAGGAGGCGGCAGAGCAAGGGTCTGTGGGAGGCACCACGACCCATGGGTCGGTGCCGCCTTCGTCGACCATCCCGCAACCATTACAGGCATTAGGATTTTGTGGGCACATGTGTCCAGGAACGGCAGGGTGAGGCCCTAACGAGCGTAGGTGGAGAAAGACGAGGAGCCGCAGTGGTCCTGTGTTCTTGTGGTTAGCATCAGACGCTCGAGTATCGAAGGAAGATGAAGGAAGTAGGGCCTTCCTTGTAGGAACGATCAACAGTACAGAGTGTAGTGGTGCAGCGTACATGCATGCAAGCTAAGCTAGCCAAATTGCTAGCTAGGACACCGAGTGATGCATAGTATCCAGGTCAGGGTGCAGGCGAAAAGTGAATTAGGTAGGTAAACCCGGATGGCACGTCCAAAGGTTAAGCGGAAGGAGGCGAAAACGCGTTTTCGGGACCGCCAGGTTGTTTCTCCCATGGGTCACTTTCCAGATTTGGGGGCGCGTGGAAGCCCACGGCGTGAAGTTAATCAAGTTATGATGCCATTTTGTGCCATGCACGAGTCGTAAGCGCACGTGTGCATGCCAAGAGCACGCCCGGAAAATTGGAGGAACAGACTGAAGCCAACTTCGACCGACTAGCTGCTCAGTTTGCAGCAATGAACTACAGAGATTTGGAATACTGACCGAAGACGTCAGGGGGATCACCGTTCTGCAGCCGGTGTCCACCCGGTCGTGTCGTACGTCTGAATGCCCTAATGCTCATAATGCCTTCAACATAAACATATTCTGGACTCAACGTCGGAAACCCTCCCACCGCCACTTGCTCAATTGCGACGTACGACATACAGATGCTCCTCACGGCCCCAACCAACAACTGCTGCCGGAAGCAGCCGCCGGGGAAGACAAGTGTGCCGCAAAACACATACACAACACAACACGTGCAGTTCTCCGAATCTTCCACACCTGCAGGTGGCCGTCGAGCAGCTCTCGAACCAAAGGCAAGGACGAAGTGCAGCCCCACAGCACTGGTTTTCATTTAACACGCAGGCACCACATATGATATTCATGCCCGTAAATATGCGTAAATGCAAATAAATTTCGAATAGCAAGATCCATACTGCGCAACAATCACTGAGAGGTAAAGTGTGGCCTGTATGTCTCTCGCGCGCGACCCCGCATTTCCATACACGCCCAGACCGCCCCGCTGCCTCTTCTCGCTGACCAACCCTGACGCCCCTGCTATGCCTCATTTCAATAGCTGAGTTCAGCCTGAATGAATTCCCCGTTTCTGTCATCCCTATTTAGACCATTTTCCCGGGAAGGGCCAAACCCAATCGAGCTTAAAACCTAGAAACCGTTCTCCGCACGCTTTACCAACCCTAATGAACCCCAACCACGCGCCACCTCTCCCGGCGCTTTAGACTGGTCTGTGCCAGGATGCCACTCAACTGCGGGTAGAAGCATACTGCTCACCTCTGCCCAACATATTTTAAATGTATGCGCCAATAGCATTAGCAGCACAGGGCGCTAGTAACTTAGCAGCCCGCATACACTGCCCCAAAAGCAACACTGTAAGCTGCCGTAAGGAATATCTCGGACGTGCACTGCCCGACCATAATGTGCTCGCAATGCAGTCCACACCGGTAGATAGCCGCCCTCGCGTCAACCACAGCGACTAGATACCGGGGTTTATTACGAGCGACCGCCATCAATGTCGAGCGATAATGCCGCCATTGCAGTGCATGGGTGTCCCTCATTACCGGGAGCATGTGCCTTGGGCGGGGCAACAACCACCCACCCGTCAACCAAACAAACAGCACTCCTAATTAACGAAGAAAGCATCCGAAAAATAGCTAACCGCTGTGCTTTGCACCACCGGAAAGCCATCATCCCGTCCATGCTATGCACGTGTGCAGGATCTCCGTACCGGACATCTTGAGTCCAGCGCCCGCTCAAATTTACGGGGCTCCATGCAACTGCGGGCTGCTTGCAACTGCGTCGTGTGGCGCCACGGCGTTACTCTGTCGAGCGCTGCATTCCTGCGCTACCTTCAGTTCAGGTGCTGCTGCAGCAGGCCAATGACAGCAGTGTGGCGCCCCTCGGTAGCCAGGTTTAAGGGCGTCTTGCCGGTGCTTTTCTGCGAGCAACACATAGGAGGGGGAACAATCATACTAACACACTGCCTATGCTTGCCTGTTATAAACACGTCCTAAAAACTACGTCCGTGCTTTACGTGTGATGTTGCGTGTTGACCAACCGTCACTAGATACAGTATGGACGCGTAGGGACTGCGGGCCGGCTGGTGGCTCTAGCGGCTACATAGTGGAGCGGCGGCCAACAGTGTGGTTGTCCGTATGCCCCGACAACCGGAAAACAGGCACGGCACCGCCCTACAAGGACGCCCAGCGCTTGACCCGCCTAGCTGAATCCCATTGCGCACCCCTTTCATCATGCCATCCGTTTTTGGTTCTGTACGTCTGTGCCGACCGCTAGGGCGGTTTCCGTGCCCTAGCTACCCTTGCCCGCTTGCACGCACCCGCAGCCCCGTGGAATCTCTCTTCGTCGGGTCGGCTTTGTTGTCAAGCAGAAGTTTTACCGTCAGGCGGCAGCCCTTAATGCAGGCCAGGTGAAGAGGCGTTCGGCCTTTCTGCAGTTGGGGAATGAGCGGAGGAACGCACCAATACACGACAAATAAAGGGAGGTCAGCAAGGTTACGACCGGTACTTTGGGCGTACGGCTCGGTATACCGCTGGTAATGCAGGTGTGCGATAGGGCATTGTAAAGCGCAGGTGAGCTCCAGCGTGGGAAAGGGGCTGCCGCCACGCAATGTAAGAGAGTCCGTGTGCGCGTGACTTACATTGTTTGTATCATCGATGGGGGCGCGCCCGACCTCGATCAGGACCTTGGCCACATCAAAATGACCCTCTGAGCAGGCCAGATGGAGGGGAGTGTTTTTCTCCTGGTGGCTCGGCGGCGGGAGGGCGGGAAGGGTGAGCTGGGGCACAGCTAGAAAGGTTGCAAAACTCACGGCCGTGGCGCCGACCGCTTAAGGCCGGCCGCTAGAAGGGCTCACAATGCAGGCTTTGCTGTGTATGTGCATCCTACCCACACTGACCGGCAGAAGTACTATGGAACTGTGGATAAAGGTGCTGCGCGGTTGTGAAACTGCCTGAAGTGTAGATACACGAGGGCGCAGCCGGGTTGTTTAGCTTTGCGTAGGTACCCTAGGTGTATTGTGATGCCAACAGTTGCACATCCATAATTTCGCAGGGGCATCCACCTTGCGCACGCGTCTTCCCGCAGCTGACTACCCGCGCTACCTTGTTAGTGCTTCCAGGCGGGGCCTTCGCCGCCAGCAGCTTCTGCACAACCTGCAACCTGCCGTTCAGGCTCGCCAGGTGGAGAGGGCTGTTCTTTTCCTGCATCGCCTGCACACATTCATGCGTGAACGCTTGGGTATGAAAGGAAAACTGAGCTTCGTCAGGACTTTAAGAAGCAGTTACGAGCCAAGGAAGTCACCTACAGGGTAGGCGGCGCAGTCTACATAGGGAGCACCCGAATTTCCACAAACCTGGTCCGGCGGCATTTCCAGCTGCGTCTTCGGCTCGTGACTGAGAAGCAGGTCCACTATCTCCGCCAGCCCCAGCTGGCTGGCCCGGCACAGGGCCGTAAAATTGTCCTAGCGGCACAAGCAACGCGGATAGCGAGGGCACATTAAGAATAATTGTTAGTAAGGGGAATGCCACACCTAAGCGCAAAGAAAGGAGTGCGAACTAATGGCCCGCGTCCCAATCCATACGACCCACGACTGCACGGTTGCTGAGCTTCCAAGCTGAAGATCACCGTTCATTCCGTGCGCGCTGACACGGCCCCTTAAGCTCGAACGCATGCGATGCAGCGCCTTCACGGTTGACTACCGGCAAGCTACATACACAATGGTCGAAGACCGTGCCAGCTTTGGACACCAGGATACGGCAGGCCTTCTGCGGGCCCCGTGGGATCTATCCGTATTTAAACGCCAATGGATCAGCGGACGCCCAGTCATAGACAGCGCCGCATGAGGTCTGTCCTCAGACGCTGCACATGCCCCCTGGCTCAGCCCTGCAGTCTCTGACCGCTGGCTACGATCTCTTCGTGCATGCGCCCTCGCTGGCATACGCACCGGGCCATTGCCAATCGTGACGTCGGCTCCCGCAATGAGCAGCCTCTTCACCACGTCCACGAATCCGCGCTCCGCCGCAAGGTACAGCGGCGTGAACCCCTGTTTCGAGGGACGAACGGTCAGGATGCGGTTGGACCCCTGCTGTGACCGCAATACGCCTGGTTATGCCTTACCGATACATCCGGCCAATGCAGACATGCTGCAGGGTGCGGACCCTACCTTGCTATTCTTTGCATTGACGTTGACAGCAGGGTCTCGGAGCGCCTGCCGCACCAGGTCCATGCGGCTCAGCCTGCTCGCCTCCTGGAGCAACTTCTGTTGAGGGGTGGTGCGGATTGGAGGTACTTTTTATGCGGCTGGTCGGCACATTGCAGCACTGCCTTACAATGTGTGCGCACATGGATTGGCGGGTGGATGGGCCCTCGTCTGGACGGACGCACACCTGCCTGGCGTACCCATCGCAACAGCAGTCAGCACTTGTGCGTGAGGGTAGGCTACAAGCTGGTAATAACTACCAATACTACCCATTAACCCTGGTCGTTGCACACGCACCTCGTTCGCCTTCTTCGCCTCCTCGCGTGCCAGCTTCAGCTCCTTGTCCTCCTTATCCTACCCACGGCAGCCCGGATGCGCAACAGGATTAACGGGAAGACGGCGTTCCATAAGCCATCCTCACCATGTAAGCAATAGATTTTGGTGAGCTTGCTGGGAGGATAACGGCATGCGTGCAAATGCGTAAGCTGGGGCAGGGACCTGTACACCCTCCAATAATCCGACTTGCCGCTAGCCTCTTAGGCAAGAATACATGCAGATGCAAGAACGCACACAATCCACTCGGATGTACCGGTATCTCAGCAATGCCGCAGGCGCATGCGCGCCTCGACCACTTGCCTTCAAGTTTGGTGCCAAGTCCTTCCTGCACTCACACGCCTCCTGAAGCCGCTTATGCTTCTCCAGCAGCTTCGCGTACTTGTCCTACGTGGCACGGTGCAAGGGTTGACCTCGTAACTGCAGGGCGGAGCGAGTCTATGCGGGAGCTGAGGGCTGCTTGCCGATCCGGCGTTAGGTATGCGCACCGAAGCAAACTTCCGGCAAAGACAGTGGCTGGATGAATGGGTTGCACAAAGTGCAAAATGGGTGTAGCAGGGGGCTACAATTCTCAGCATTGAAGTTGGGTCTCCTAGAGCCTTTCGTGCGGCAGAAGGGCAGATATGACTGTGCAATTGATCAGGGTATCTACAGTCCGGCAGGGGCCTCCCGTGCCCCAGTATACGGTGTACGGGAAATTGCGGAACAAATCCATGCATCTTGGGCAGTGGGGCCCTTCCCCACCGCATGCCCCATTCCCAAACTAAGGTTTCTTGGGTTAATTTGCGGAACGGAGCGGTGGCCGACCATCTCAAAGCATGATGGGCCAACAGACCCAGACACTCAAAAACCTTGCATAGCTCCCGCGAACTTACCGCTTCGAGTTTCAGTTTACCCTCCACAACTTGCAGCCCACGCCCCGTGCGGAATGCGCAATTATGGAATTGGTGAAGGGGCATTCTTACCACGCACTGCTTACCAGGTCCTTCGCCTGTTGTTCGTTAAGCCGCTCAAGTGCCTCCACCGTTTCCCGCAGCCCTGCGCATGCACCCTCCTCCAACCGTGGAGCCGACGACTGTGTGTGGGGCAGGGGAGTAAGGTAGCTAACCACTTGCAGGGCGAGCCAAAACTTGTTGCTCTAAAGCACGCTATGTTGTCTTAAGCGCCGCCCTACATGTGGCCTGCCTTGGCGACACCTTCGTGCACCGGGCCCATTGCGTTTCTACGGCATTCGCTTCTATCTTGCGTTCTTTCCTCACATCTCACCTCATATTCGGTTGTGTCACCCGACTCCGAACAGCGCCGGCTGCTCAGTGATGCCCCGCCCTGGCCAAGCGGTAGCTCCGAGCCATGGACATCCACCTGCACGTCGGCAAGGCTGCAGCTGATCTCATGAGTGTGCGGCTTGCGGGCGTAGGAGGATTGCGACCATGTAGGATCAGACCATCCTTACGTGCCGGTTCCGAAAGGGGGACGTAAACTAAGCGCGCAGTTCAGACCATAACATGGCGCGGACGGTGACTCCCAGAAGGGCATGGTACAGTCGTCCCAGAGCCGAACACACTGGGGACCCATTTCTTTGGGCGCTCCGCGTTCGCAACAGCATCGGGAGATACCGGCGGTTCCATGTGACCAGAAATGCCCGGAGTGCTGCAACTGGCGGGCCAGTAAACCTACCTGCCACACCATCTTCGCCTAAATGCACGAGCCAACCGGTAACTGCCCGGCATTGCCATTCTAACCTTCCGATACAATGGAGGCCGCTCTTTCACCTATGTGCCCGAGTTACAGCACTCACTTTCCCAGCATTCCAGGCAGATGTTCTGCAGCTGCATAACCTGTTAACCATCCCAAGCTTGCCTTTTGTTGGGGTGCGACTCTGGACACCTCCGCCCCATCGGGCCTGTCGGGCTCTTGACCCTGTGCTGGCTTTACATTTGCAACCTAATATTTGTAGGCAGCACACGGGTGAGTCAATCAAGTATGGAACTTCTCAGTGCTAATCACACACGGGATCATAACCAGCTTACATCGCAAATGGTGGCCGGCGCCCCCGCAGCCTGCAGCATAACATGGAACAGGTTATGCAGGCGGACAACGTTGTTTTTGGAACACGGCCAGGAGGGAAGCCTGCTGCTTACCCCGAACAGCTTCTGCAGGGTGCTTTCCATAATGCTTTCGATGTTTGCTGCAGTCTTTACACTGGGCGGATGGTTCGCCGCCCATCAGCAAATGGCCCGGTACAATTGCTGCCCCTGAGGGCCATTTGCACTTTTCCGTACTACCGGTACAATGTTTTCCTTAGATTGACGACTCCTCCCGGGGGGTAAAAACACTTTTTTGAATGTTCATACAGAACTTTGGTGTCGACCCCTCCCGGACCCACCCACCAACCCTAGATCCTCTGAATCCGAGTCGTTCATACTCATCTGTAAAAGTTGCATCCTCAGCTGTTTCCAGTGTCCTATTCCGTATATGTAACCTAATCAGCTACCTAATGTAACCTAATCAGCTACTGCATTAATTGGGTGATAGCGTGGTGGCGTGGTCCACCTAAAACCCTAAGGACAGCAAAGGGTGCACCATCTAACAATAGTATTTCAAGCATACCGGTATCAGCCATGACATGGCTCATTACGACCTGCCAAGGCTGTCAGGGCACCACCCGGGTGTTTTGCCCTGGGTGTTTGTTTGGAGCTAGAGGCTTTTGCTGAGGGGCCGTTTCTTGGCTTCTACCCTCGTTTTTACCTCTCTTGCGGTCCCTCTTGGGTTTTTTTAGCCTGTATCCTGCTAGCCCGTTTTGGTGTTGTCTTATCAGCGTGCATCCATTTTTCTTGCAGTGTAGGGTTGGGTTCCTCACTCGAGTTCCCTTTCAGGGAACCATTGTAATTCATTTAGTCACCCCAACCCTATGATTGGATACGCTGGTCTTCCGTAATGCAGCATATTGGCATCACTTATGTCATGGCCGAGGTCACACCCTGCACCTCTGCGCCCTGTGAACCCTAAGGGTATCCCCTCTGCATGCGCAGCCACAGCCAAATCCCCTTCCATGCCACCGCAAACCAGCCGACGCTCAGCAACGTACCCGTCTTCCTCCCCCTAAAGTATCCTAGGGCCCCAAGAGACCCAGAAGCTGCCGGAGCTCTTCCCTAACCTTCCTAAATAGTGCTTCCAGCCCCTGGTGCCTAACGCCTCGTCAAACCCCGCTCGGCCACAGAAAACCTATCGAAAAGGGTCCTATAGGCTGCATACCATGTCGGTAGCGCATAACTGCAAATGCGTCTAATAGCAACGCGTTCGGCAATACAAGCAAACTTCGACAACAAGACCAACTAGTTCAAAAAGCAACACAATAGTCCGTCACGCACAGCATATGGTATGTGTGTACATACCACATGGAAGGGGCACCAGCCTCTTCGGCCACAATATACAATTGTGGTGCTGTCTCTACGGTTTGTTCCGTTTCTTTTGCAATGTAGGGTTGGGTTCATCACCCTTGTTCCCTTTTAGGGCACCCTTGTAACGGTCATTCATTCATACCGAGCAGGACAAGCAAGACAAAAAACGCCACATACGGCGTCCCAAACTGCTCGGACGTATTGCAGTTTCGGCACACAGCACGCTACCCTTATTTCATTAATTAATATATCTCCTTGCCGCCAGTTCAGGACACCGACCCAATGCTGCCCGTTAAGGACACCGCCCCTGTGCCGCCCGTTGATTATCGTTCGCTATATAGAGGAATGCTAAATTTAAGCAATTTAAGCAGTCACATAAATGGAGTATCATCTCACAACGGGCAGGGCGATGCTGGGCGGCTGGGCCTGATGGCCGAGCTCCAGGAAGGGAGATCGCGGCGGGGCAGCAGCCGTGTTAGGTCTTACCACAGTGCAAACCCATCGAAGCCTTACATCCCAAAACGACAGGTATTATCCGCTGTCTGGAATCAAGTAAACGCTGCAAATCAAGGGTCCCTTATAAATATGAGCTTGGCCTTAGGTATGGCTGATCCTGCAAGGGTCCGCAGACTGCGCGTTCTCTTGGATAAGTTTAACGCCGCGAATGAGTCGTTGAGGTCGGCTGACGGCCGCGCCCAGCTTTCTCTCCCCCGCTTTGCTGTCATCGGCAATCAAAGCCACGGTCAGTGATCCTTTCGGAACTTCTCGAATCATTTTATTGTCTGCCAGAGTTGTCCACTGCAACTAGTATCATGCTTTCGGCTTCGCCTTGATACCTGACGTCTTGGAATGATGATTAAACATGTACTCCCTGTGCCTTCTCACGTAATCCTCAAATTGTTCCGAAATGGCTTGACAGGCAAAAGCAGCGTCATAAGCCGTGTCACCAACATTCGGCTGCCAAGCAGTGATGGGATCTGCACCCGTGCGCCTCTGCGCATTGCCTCACGCATGTCTACCACCGGCCCCAACAAAGCGCAGCTCTCATTCCGCGCGGAATCGGCCAAGTCTATCGGCCATCTTGAGGGCAGTGGGTGGAGGCTTGAGCAAAATGCCAACGGCCCTGCCAAGGGGTAAGGCCTGGTGCTGTGTGCACTGGGGGAAGAAGATGACTTAATGAGGTATTCCATGGATGCTGCCTGCTGGGCATATGCCTGACTGATGTGTTGCTGTAGCGGCAGGTGCAAAGAATTGGGAGCGGATTTAAGCCCTTGCCGTTCTTCCTTCGTAACTGTAGCAACCAGTGCAAGTCATAGTATGGTTCATCATATGTATGTGTGGGCTACGACTGCAGGAGGTATGTCAAGGCGCTGCTGGAGGATGGGGCATCGTGGCCGCCTGCAGTTGAGAGTGTGGGCATAGCTGTGAAGGAGGCAACCCTGGCACTGGTGGGCGAGGACGAGTCCAACCGTGGTCACCCAAAAGATGACATTGCAGAGGAGGAGATCCTGCTTGAGTGGGAGTCTCCCGAGACGCCAACGCTAGATGTCGTAGACCTGCCAGGTGGGTGGAGCCAAGATGCGTAAAAGGTACCCCTGGGTGCTGCCCTTACTGCTGCACACATGCATGGCACCGTAGCACTTGCGCTGGCATTGCACATGCATCTACTGTAGGTTCCCAGGATGCTGATGTGCATGCCCCTTGGGGCCCTACCTCGTTTGTTAGACACCCACCCACCACCTGCCTGGCATGGCTTGCATTGGCCGCAGGCCTTACCAATATCGCGGTTGAAAACCAGCCAAAAGAGCTGCCTGAACGCATCACAAGGCTAGTGCGTGACAACGTCAACAAAGAGAACACCATGATGCTGTGTGTCCTCTCTGGAGAGTCGGCCGATTTTTCGGGGTTTCCAGCTATGGAGGTAAGGAAGGGCAATCCATCTGGCATTGGTCGGTGGTTGCCGCCTCCAGTGCCTATCTCGCACTGGATTATGGCCGTAGTTAGCAGACGGAGGGTGCTTACACTTGCTGGCATACGGTCGTCTTTGTTGACGAGACGACACACTTGTTTAGTTTAGGATGCTGACGTAACTTGATTGCACATCTGCACAAACATCAACCCAATGTGTGGCCTCTGCAGGAGGCCCGGCGCGCAGATCCGGAGCTCAACAACACGTTGGTTGTCATGACCAGGATTGACAACCTGAACCCGGAACAGCAGACGGCCCGCCTCAAACACCACCTCAGCAAGTTGTTCGCCACGTGCAAGCCGCTGGAGGTGGTGGTGGTAAGAATCGCATGCTGTACCATGTATTTGCTACATGCAGTGTGTGCGACTGAATTTGCCTTGCAAATCCGGTGTGAAGGATTGACCGCCGTTCATGGTGCAACACTGAACTCAAAATACAGCATCAAGTGTTACGCGCATATGTTTTCCAACAGGTCAAGAACACCCCGGACATGGACCTGCCCGACCAGCACGCCAAAGAGGAGGAATTCCTGCAAACGTTGAAGCCAGTGCAGGTACGTCTACGAATGATGGAACGCAAGGAGTTATACATGCTGCCCGCCGAGGTAGTGGCTTACTTTAGAAGGCTGCTGTACGGTGCTTACAGTTCATTGCACATATGAAGGACGAATAGGGTGTCCGGAAGCAAGGGTGCCGAGTTGCTGCAGCAGGCGTTGGTCTATCTAGCCACATAGTGTCAATGGCGTCTTCTGATATGCATAGGTTTGGGTGCAATGCTGCCGTCTGTTTGCTTATGTGTAACAGTTGCCGTGCATAAAGCGAAATTGTGTGTGTGTGCAGGATGCGCTGATGGGGCAGAGCGAAAGCTGGGCGTTCAAGCTGGGCATCCCGGAGCTGGTGAAGAAGCTCCAGGAGGAGCTCGAGGCTCGGCTGGAGGCGGAATGGCCCGCGCTGAGGTCAAAGGTGAGTGGAAAGTACTGCTTCTGCGGATTATTGCTACACCATGCACGGTAGGACGGATGGTGCTAGTTCGTCAGGTAGCTGTGAAGTGCACATGTGAGTGCAAGCTAAAGTGTATGTAACTTGTGGTTCTGCAGCTAAAGACCGACATCTCACGAACTGAGTCAGAGCTGAAGGAGATGCCGGCCATCATGGATGCTGGGCAGGCCGCGGAAAAGGCGCATGATCTTACACACAGGTAAGGACCTGGTGACTGCCCCTCTGTGCTTGCATATGTCAATGTTACTAGGTGTGGGAGTATTACACATATATCAGTGTACCGGTATGATGGGTGCTAGCCCACCAACACATCTGTGCATGGTGGGGCAGCACAGTGCAGATAATGCATGGGATACTTTCAGTTCTCACCTCTTCTTGTATTGCAGATCCACCTGGATAGAATGCGTAGTCATTCAGTAAACTGACACTGTTGTACATTAATGGGCCAATCCTGCCATGTTGGTAGCCCTGCGTGGCTTTAGTAACGTAGTGCTTGCCTGCTGTCTAGACTAGATCAGGCGTCCACCCAAAATATGTTTATGTAAAGGACTTCTCACCCTGGTGACACTTCGTTCAGTGGACAGGATTCCCTTGTTTAGGGTCTACCGGTTTTCGCTAACCTGCTGCACTTGCTTGCCCATCTACAGGGTAAAGGAGACCCTACGTTTAATTCAGCTCGGCAAACATAGCTACCTTGTCTCGGAAGGCAAGCCGGAAGTACCGGACAAATTCCTCTTCTACAAGCACCTCCAGGAGCTGCACAGGACACAGTTCACAGAGGTAACCCGTTGTGCACGAAATGTACGTGTGCACGTGGTGGGCTCGGGTTGAGCACATGTGCCTTGGTGGGCTGATGTGCTGGCAAACCTGGACACATTGGCAGCCGTGCGTGGAGCCTTAGCTCGCTGTACACATACCGTTATGTGGTTCGCTCCCCCCCACCATGTCCGCCATGCCAAGATGCATGCCCTTGTACGCCATGCCTGCTGCAGGTTATTGTGGTCCCCGCGTTCATGGACGATGACAAGGTGGAGACTCTGGTATCCACCTGGAAGAAACATGCAGGCGAAGAGCAGGAGGAGGACGTTAAACCTAACGTGCGTCACCAGTTCTATCGTACAGGTACGTCCTGGGTCTCAGGCCAGGTACGATACTCACTTTGCTCGGTTTGCAAAGTAAATGATATCTGTAATACAGGGGGGGGGTTAAGAAATTTGGGTCTATATGCAGAAGGGGGGTGTAAAAAAAACGTTGAAGACCTCATGCCACATTTCTTGACGGCCCCCAGGGGACCCCCCCCACCCCCACCCCACCCCAAACTACTGTACGGCAAAGGCTTTTTGTGTTCGAAACTACATTTTTGCGACATTTAAGCGTCAATAAGCCCATTGCCCTTTCGGGCGCTCTGAAATGTTGAAGGTGGTGGTCAGAGGTAGCATCAGCCGGGTACCGGACAACGCCAAAGTCCCGGCGGTGGCTTTGATGGCTTTACTTTAAAGCTAGACTTGCTGTTGCGAGTGTCTATAGGCCGCATTAGTTGGGAGCAGAGCAGGCAGTCTGGCAATGCTAATGAAAGGAGCCGTTGGCTTGCAGGCCACGGCGCTGGGGCCTTGCCTGGCTGAAACAAATTCAGGACTGCTATGCTAATTCGTTAGTGCTATCTATTCGGTGCTTCTGGGGCCTAGGGCTGCTACGTAGTTCGGTCAACCATGAGCATTACGATGGCGACCAAGCTTTCTTTGTCCCTTTGGAGCTTAAACCGATGCTAAACAGTAGGGATTGGCAATATTAGATAGTTCCAACTATTTTCCGTGCTAAACTCACATTAGGAAAAAAGTTGGCAAATTTTCTCACAGGGCCCAGGCCCCCCCTTGGGGAAAACCCCCCCAGGGGCTTCCTTTCGGGTCCAAAAAAATGTTCAAGGGGCGATTTTCGATGAGTTCTATTACCCCCGGGGTGTCTTTGGCCCGGGAGGGGCATGAGGTACAGAACTATACTTCCGCACCCCTCCTGTTACATGCAGTCGAAAACCCCCAAACCCCCTGGGGAGATGTGCACACAAGTTTCACTAATTAGTCCTTAATAAGGATGGCAAAGGTAACCATGTTTTTGGCCGGAGCTTGAACCCTGACTGATGATATGTATGAAGGCGCCTTGGAAGCACCACGACCCTTCCATTTGCGCCCTAGCATGCCGGTTCTGTCACCAACCTACACGACGGCACCACCACGTCCCAGGTCCCAGGTCCTCCTCTTCCCCCTGTGGCGTTGGGCCCTCGACCCTAGCCCCTGACACCAATTCCCACGCCTGCTTGTTTCTGTGCTCTGCATCCCCACCCCATTCGTGGACACATTAAGTGCTTCCTCGCGGCTCAGTAGGTCTACCCCAACCCCGCCTCCTCAGTCGTGTTCCACTTCCATGGGGAAATGCTGCTATGCTAGGCCTTTACTACGGGCCGACTAGCCGCGTTCGCATTGTATGCTTATAAGGGTATGCTTATAATTGTTTCTTATATGGGAATTGGGTAGTTCCGTTTGGCCACCGTGGTTCAGAGGTGAAGTGTCGTTGGACTATTTGAAGCCGAGAAGTGATCATTTTGTTGATTGATCTAATCCTACGTATAACAAACGAAGGAAGGATTGCAATACAGCTTTTAATACTTGAACCTGAGGCCTGGAGAAAACTTTCCCGAGGTCCATGTAAAAAAGTCGTTGTCCCTGAACCCAGCCACCCACCCACCCCTGCAACCCCTAGGATAGCCCACGTCCGTGTGTTTGTCCGTCTGAAACGATAAAGCACACAAACTATGAATTTCAAATACTAATTAGGTTATTTAATATTTATTACTGTTATGTTATACATAACAGAAACCATTTCGCGACGAATTATTTATCGACGCACACAACATTAACACTGGTGCTCACGGAACCATTCACCCATATTGCAGAGTTCGCAAACAGCCTTGGCACGAAACTGGGCGCTCTGGCAAAAGAGGCCGGCAGTAAAGTGCAGGAGGCGTATGAGGCAGTCATTGATGAGGTGTTCAAGGGCTATGACGTCCTGCGTGAAGAGTTCAGGCGCGCCTTCTCACAGAAGGTGCTGGAGCCCCAGATAAAGAAGCTGCAGAACTACCTGCGTGACACAGCTGAGGTATGCACATGCGACTGTCACACAAAGCACACTGCAGCTTTCTCATGGTGATATGTGCCCATAACATAGCCAGCAGTGCGATGGATAAGGTCATGTTGTGCCGCATTGGGCGTTCCTTGGACCGCACGCTGTGCCCCGCCTCCTGTAGTGAAAGACACGCCAACCCTAACTGAATGAATGACCCTTACAATTAACTGCTACAACTGCTGGTGAAACCCGCAGGCGCAAAGGGACTTCCACACCGAGTCCGAGATCTACCGCGCTGCCATGATCCACTACAACGAGTTCATCCGCAAGGACGACGAGCAGCCGGTGGTGAGCCTACAGTTACTTTACCCTGGCGCTGTTTTCCGTGGCAGCACTGCAGGAGCGTTGATAATATTATGTTCTGGTTGGTATTCATTCACGCACGCTCAATGCACGGTTTAGAGCATTGGAAGAGTATAGATAAGACCAAAAATACACCAATGCCCGAAGCCAGCCGACCACACCTGCATTTCACATCATGCGCATTTCTGCGCGGGACTTCCAACCTTCGCACCGTTAATTGCTTGCTGCATGGGGTGTACTGCCGTGTGCAATGGACTCTGGCAACTGTATCCAATAGCAAATAACGCTCTAACCTGTATCTCTCCTGTTGCGGACAGGTTACAGGCACGCTGGGTGTGGAGGCGATGCTGCTGGGTAAGCAGCAGCCCGAGGTGAAGGCATCGTCCGCACTTGCCAATTCTTCCATTGCCCAGATGCTGAAGGAGCACAGGACCCTTTTCAAGAATAAGAACCCCGAGTGGACCGCGCACCTGCTCAAGTGCCAGTTCGAGCTGCTCGTGCAGACGGTGGTGGTGCACAACAGCCTCACCGACATGGTGCCCCGCGTGGTTCGCAGCTTCCTGGTCAATGAGGTAAGCAGTGCACCGCCAGGGGTGGATGAGTGCTAGAGACTGTGGATGCGAAGCAGGGATGGGCAGGAAAGTGGCATGGACAAGGCCTAAGGAAATTACACAATTATGGCAGTTGGGGCTGCAGGGAAATCCGCGCCTCCTGGTTTGTCAGGTGGGTTGCGTTTGGAGGCACGTAAAGTAGGGCATGCCTGCTTGTCCGCTGCTGTGATCACTACGTGCCTGCCCAGTGGAAAGGGCCTCGCTGCCAGCCACGCAAGCTGGTACACGCACGGATATTGCAGTTCGTGAGCATGTATTGGGGATCTATGGGTGCGCCGGACGTGGCCTGTGAGCCAGCGCTTACAACCAACAATGCTCTACAAGGTCCATACGATGAAGCCACTATAAGGTCTATAACCGGTACACGCATAAGTGCGGCAGCGACCTCACACCGTACTAACTGCACACCGCACACAATCACAATCACAATCACAGTATGTTCCTCGCGGCCAGTTTTCTTGAACACACGTGCATACCTGTTGTAGCACCCCTGCAACCAAAGCCTGTATTGTTGGCATGCTGCCGCCTTGTCGTGCATGTGTGAGGCCTATCTTGTTGGCGGTCTCGTATCAATGGGGTGCTTGGTCTTGAACGCGCCCGGCTATGGTGTTCCCGCAGTTGATCGAGGAGCGGCTTCCGGAGTTGATCCGGAGGATTGACAATGGCAAGTTCCCGCTGCTGGGCGACCCAGAGTGGCTGCTCAAGTCGATGATGGACTCGGACGTCCTGCAGCGCCAGCAGGCGCTCAGCGGCCAGCTTGCCTCGATGAAGACGGCGCTTGACAGCCTCAATGGAATCGATGATCCGACGGCTGATCCCTCGTTCGGCGTGGTGCGGCTGCCAGGCCTGCAGCCTCAGGCTACCATCGCTGTGGCCGGCGGTACGAGCGCCCCCTGAACATTGTGAGAGTCGGGAGCCGCCGGGCGGCAGGCCCTGGCCACCTCGCTAGCCGCAAACTGTGATGCAGTGATGAGAGGCGTGATGCGGGCTAGTAGTTTTGTCACACAGTGCAAGGTGCGTGGGCGTCCATGTGGCGGATATCTGGTGTTTGTGTGGAGCAGAACCTGAACCCTACTCCTCTCAGTGGTGCCTCCACCGTGATTAAGCTTGCACTTTTTAGGTAGGTATTCGCTTGCTTGCCCATATCTGAGCGTAGTGCTAGGGAACTGGCTTATTATGGACCAGCCCTTGGTTGCTTGTTTGGCGCCGTGGTTAATGCCGGATGTGCCTAACAGCTGCGTGTGTCTTGTGCTTGGTAGTGGACATTTATGAAGGCATGCCATATTTCGCATACGGCTGTGTGTTTTAAGAAAGCTGGCCGCGAGTAGAATGCACTGGATTGTTGGAAGAGGATGTTGTAAGACGAAAAGGCAACCCGGGATGGTTGGATACGTCTTTAGGACGTATTTATATGTATGTAGCAAGGGGCTAATGAGCCGAAAGCTTACAGATGTCCCCACCAAGATGCCTCGAGAGACGAGGAGTGCGTGCATGTACGACACGATATAGGGCATTTTCGCGTGGAATATTAGCTTGTAGTCTCATAGGGCTATATTAACGACTACTTGATCGTTTGCTTAACTGCATTCCTTGCAACAAGGACGCCGTAATGCCGTATTGATGTGGCAGCGTCACTACGCTCCCTAGGTGAACTGATCACGTTTCGAAATCTATTGGGTCTATACGGTCTTTAGTGTGACATCTATCAGGTTGAAAGGCTATTTGGTTGATTCCCTTGGCCGTCACGTTCTTGAATGTATTTCGTGGGTGTTAATCGCTTGGGGACCACGTTGCATACTCGTTGCACGTTGCAGACTCGTTGCATACACGTTCGGTAGATGTGTGATGTGTGAATGCCTTATTGCCTTCGTTGCTCGCTTTATGCACGGAGGCCGTCTGATGCACTCATGTTTAGCTGGCATTCCCGCTGGCCACCCTTAAATGCCAGCAACACTGCAACACGTGAGATTTATGTGCACGGGATTTATTTGCACGGACTTGGGTCACGTATCTGACACTAATGGTTGGACGTGCGCATGTCGCTAGGGGACGGTTCGGGCGTGCCTGTGTGTACTGGCCGTGTGTGTTAACAATATTGGCCGCGAGTCCCAACGTACTGCGAGTGCCAGATGTGTGCGTATGTGTGTGAAGGAATATTTTACAACACTGGCGAACTGTTGAAGGGCTGCCTGCCTATAGCGTCGTGGTGCTGGCCGGAGATGCAGCTAGTTTTTTTGCCCTTGTGCGCCCCTGTTCCCGTTTTTCCTAGCTGTCCGCACTCCTGCCCGCCTTTCAAACGGGAAAGCAAGGGGCAAGCTGGCAGCCAACGCATGACAACTGAAGACAGGCAACATTGCAGCTGCCCGTGGCAATGCCGCCACTGCAGCTAACAAGAAATGTAACAACAAACGTCCATGAACATGGCAAACCCAACCCAGCCTGATTCAACCACAAGGCAAGACAGCCAACTGCTACATCAGCAAAACCCGCTTACCTACCAACATCCATGCCCAAAACAGCCAACCGCAAAGACAACCAAGCTTAACAAGCCACTATGCCACAGCAGTGAGCACACCCAGCACTTGCCACCGACTCGCAAAAACAAGCACCCACGGATGTGAGGGGGGAAGCTTCCATGTCTGCGAAGCTAACGAGTTTGGGAGGCTGGCACCTCTTCTTGAAAAAGCTGACATCCCTACACCAAAGCCTTCTTTCTGGCCTTGCATCCCGCAGCTAACGAGTCGTCGCCCCCTTAGTTTTAGCTAAAATATAATCAACGGAGCTGAAAAGGAGAGTGTCGTACGGTAACGACCCACGGGTCAGGGCTTGGCTTCAGGGTCACCTTAACGGAAGCATACCCCATTTTGCACCAGAGGGACCGCCAAGAGCGCAGAGCCGCCCATACGACTTCGTACAGAAGCGCACCGAGCTCTTCTAGTGCTTTCTCGCACCGTTCTTGAGCTTTTTCACAAATGGCCAACGGCAACGAATCCACAGCATTTCCATACACGTTGTTTCCAAACAACTGTTCCCCGGCGACCGACCTACCGCCTCATCAAAAGGCTGTGCGCCCCCGCACTGCTCCCCTGCACCCTGTTAACCCACCGACCGACCCAAGCGTCCACTCACGGCCCCGCATCTCGGAAGTCGGCACCCATCTCACCCACCCACCGGCCCACGGATCCACCTGCCGCCCACCGACACACCCACCCATCGTAAGGCTGCCTGCCAGGGCGTGACTTGCAGTGGTTGCAGGTAGACCTTAGCAGGAAATGGAGTTGGTCAATTCCAAGCCTACCAAGCCTGACAATGCTACCTTGCCCGCGACCGAAACGAGCCGCATGGCGTGGCCCCCTACCAAGCCTAACTGCTTTGCCAAGCTTGGTATAATTGAGATATTCCTTCAGTTGCTCGCTTGTAACAAGCAAATAAACTGTCATCGCTCAAGCGCACTGCAGAACGTTCGGGTGTAACTTCTTGATGTTCAGCCGGGGGGGGGCGTAAGAAATCTATATAAAAATCCCATGATGGACTTTTCAAAGGGTAGGCCCCGGGTCCACTCACCTCACCCCTGTCGTACGGCATACATGTCGTACAACTTGTAAACGCCCATGACGCATTCGCCAAAACGCCCATGACAAAAGCCGTTAGACTTCTCTGCGTAAACTCTTTTACATGCAAAACAAATATCCAGAACCCCGTGGGGAGCGGGCAGACAAGAGGTTTAAGCTTTTTCAAAGCTGGGAAAGGGCGGAGCCCCTCCAGCTCAGTACAGGAACGTACTAAGAGAATGTCACGGCATGCGCTCCTGTAACTCCATGGCACCACTTGACCTAACACATCTTGTTACGCGGACGCTGAACCCCATTGCTTACTATACTTTGGCTGTTCGTCGTTGGCTGGACGAGCTCAGAGCCCCTTGTCCAGTCAAGGCTGGCTGCCTTGTAGGGCGTACAAAGCGCCCTGACACATTGCACAAAATTCCAGCTCAAGACTGTTCATCCGAGTGCTCTGTAACGTCTCATCGTGCTTCATAGCACCCACACGGCGGGCTACCGAACCGAAATCAACGGCCTAACTGTCACATGAAAGTGCTCGGGGTCGTATACCGGTAGGTTTCACCTACATTAACGTACTTCTTGGATATCACCGCTCAAATAATTAAATTGGAAAGTGTGCAGTTTCGCGCGAAATAAAAAAATGTCTGGGCCTGCGCGAATCAGGAAAAATCCTGGACAACCTTACCCCAGCCAGGCCCCAGCCCCAAATATGTCCCAACCCCATTTTAGCTCCGCTGGCCCAGCAGCCCCTGGCTGCACACTAATGTGCCCAACCTAACCCGAGCGGTGTAGGTAGAGCTGTTTTGGCGATCTAGGCTTACATGGTAGCGTTCTTACAGGCAAAGTGCCAAGCTATAGTATTATAAATTGCAACCCTTCAGTACGGGGCCAAGAGCCCTGCTTACGGCTCTCAATGTAAGTAATTACGCTGACCATAGTTCAACACCAGCTCAAAATTCCCAACACTTGGGAAAGGATGGGTATTCAGGAGCACTGTAAAAGTCGCGGAAAAACAGCTTAGACGCCTTCCTGCGCCGCGAAAACTTCAGCGAGCAACTAACATATAGCTAGTAGGGGCTATTGGGCATGCTAGCTGGCGTCAGGAGGTCACAAGTTATGAACGCCTTGGTGACGTGCCGTCAAGGGAAAGCTGAACCTGATCCGTCATGTTGCTACTAAACAACATCCAAGTCATATATCTTTAATGTATAACGCGTCTATGCAGCGCTTTTATGACTGGAAGGACGCGGTTGGGTCGCAAGGATGGGAAAGTGAATGGCTGCTGGGAAGCTATGTCGCAGTCAACTCTATAAACGATAAATATAGTACGCATGCCAGGTGATCGCGAAGGTGCTCAGACGCCTCAATCGCTCTAGCGAGTCTAGCCTCTAGCTATCTTCACATCGCGGTCCATGCAAAGCTGTTTGGCTCTGATGCCTGATTATAACCGCCGTCCCAGCCACGGTCATGTATACTATGACCTTAAAGTGTTAGAAACCGCTTGTCGAAAAGCTCCTTTGGGGCACAGAAAAGTGGGGTGTTTCCCTGGTGGTTCTTCCTCCTCCTTCGGTAACATCCTCCTCCACCTTCGGTAAAAAGAAAAAAATTGTCTGAGGAAATCCCGGCGCCTTTGGTAAAGATTCAGTTGTAAAGATTATTAGGATAAGTTTTGCGTTCGGTAAAATCTTTATAATAAAAAAGTTAGTGTAGGTACGGTAATCCTGGATCATACTTTTTTCCTGATTTGTATTAAGCTTCGCTCATGCGGATGCCTGACAACCTGTTCCCTAAACGCCGCCCCTCCCCTCCTTCCATGCCTTCACCTTCCCTCCTCCCCTGCCCTCCCCGTCCCTTCCTTTCCCTCCACTCCGGCCCCCCTTCCCATGGTGAAGCCCCAACATACAGCTCGCTATTTACCCCCCACCCCCCTTCCCTCCCCTGCCTTTCTTACCCCACCTTCCCTTCCCTCCCCCCTGCCCTCCCCTTTCCTTCCTGTGTCCCCTGTCCTGCCCTTGCCTCACCTTCCCGCCCCTTCCCTCTTCCTCTTTCCGTGTCCCCTTCCTAACTTTCCCTGTAATGCTCTCCACTGCCCGCCCCTCCCCTTTCCTCCCCTTCCCTGCCTGACTTCCATTGGGACAAGATCCTGGACACAAGGGTCCCCACACCTGTAACAGATGCCGCGATACATAGCCCCTCCTCCCCTGCATGCTGCACCAAACACAGCTCAAAACACATCAGGCCACGACATCGCGTCGGTCTGGTGGCTTTACTGGCAAGCTTTATGTGGGGCTGGTTTGCATGTTTTGCCCTTCCTGACACACGGACGGACGGACGGACACACGGACGTGGGCATCAGCTCCTCGATGCCGCGTCGCGGCGGGAGTTCCGCACAATAATGGCATGAGGGTTGTGCGTTAAGGGAACACTGTCGTGGCTTCCTGTGCCACCCCTGGTGACGCAGTGTCTCCACTCCCCCGGGTTTACCATCGCCCAGTTTCACCCCCAACACCATCGCTGCACATGAGAGCTTTACACGCATACGGTACCGAAGACGTCAGGGGGATCACCGTTCTGCAGCCGGTGTCCACCCGTTCGTGTCGTACGTCTGAATGCCCTAATGCTCATAATGCCTTCAACAAAAACCTATCCTGGACTCAACGTCGGAAACCTTCCCACCGCCACTTGCTCAATTGCGTCGTACAACGTACAGATGCTCCTCACGGCCCCAACCAACAACTGCTGCCGGAAGCGGCCGCCGGGAAGACAAGTGTGCCGCAAAACACATAATCAACACAACACGTGCATTTCTCCGAATCTTCCACACCTGCAGGTGGCCATCGAGCAGCTCTCGAACCAAAGGCACGGATTTAGTGCGCACGTTGCTTGTGGCCGCACGCCCCGACCCAAAAACCCCACACGCCTTCTCCACACGCCTTCAGGACCGGTAGTGCTGCAAATGTGGAGCAAGTTTACACACCGGTAACCACGCAAAGCCCCGGCTTCACATTATTCCGCGTCACTTCTTTACTCTCCACTTCTGGTTAGCTCTCCTTCCAACCGCTCTCCTCCTGCCCTCCCCTCCGTACACCACAGCATGCCCTGTCCCTTCTGCCTGCCCGCTTGCTCTCCCCTGCCCTCCGGTCCGGGACCACGGCACCGGTCATTCATTCATGCACAGAGGCACCCTTCACCCCGTCCCCGCCCACCACTACCGCACCCTAGTCAGCCTTCTCCCCGCACCCCCTAGGGTCAACAAACGGAAAAGCTTCTCTCTACTTTCTTCGAGAAAGATTTGATGTCCGGTTCTTTCCTCAAGCAATGTCGGCAAGCCGAACCCAGCCCAGCTGCGCACAACAGCTTCCGGGTCAGCCGCCCGTACGTTAACCCCTCGTCTGTACGACAAAAGAAGTCTTCCACCTTACGCCGGTGCCGATGGGAAGAACAGCACCACGCGAAAGGGACCGCTCTCGCCTCCCTACAGGTCATTAAACAAGGAACGCCGTACAACAAAGCAGGCATACATAAAGGGTGCGTTGCAACTGCAGCACAGGCGTTGCACCAGGCTCATATAACGGTCGCCTGGCAGTTATTGGTCCTCTCGTGTCGAAACGTTTAGCTCACACCCCACTCCTTTTGGAAAGGGCAGCCCCCAAAACCGCACGACAAAGTGCCACGCTGCGCCCTCCTTTGCAGTGGCAGTCCTTCCTCTTCCGGTAGCACTCGCATCACTTCAGCACAACCTTCTTAGAATAAGATACTGCACACAAATGATGACGGCAAGTGGGGCACGCCTTGTGAAAGCAGTGCCGTGTATGACGCAACGAAGCGACTTCTCCCAACACACCCCTATCTACGGAACCATCCCTTCCTCAACCTGAACACGGCCCCACACCAGATGGGTGCGGCAAACGCCGCTAGCCCGCGGCAAAAGAAGTCCCCGTCAGCGAGTATCCGCACGACACTCTACATGTAGGTTTTCAGGAAGTCGTACCCTCCCCAACTTGCCCTGCGCACATCATGCCTTCTTCATAGTTCGAACAGACCCCTACACACGAGGCCAGTCCGTGACGACGCATTGTTACTCTTTCTTCGTACCATCACGCATTCCATACCCCACCACTTTCCACACCTTCCTGCACAACAACCTTTTTCGGGACACGCTCACCCTGCTACTCCTGCTACCTACTGCCTCGCTGTGTCCCCAACATCAGACGCAAACTGATAAGCCTCAGCCGGCTGTTGCCCTCCCTCCCGCATCTCCTCACCTCTCCCTCACCTCGTGCCAACTCAATTCGCACCACACCGCCCCCACACCGCCCGCCTCCACCTCGACTCCTCAAGGCGCCACCATGCATCACATGGCTCCTCAGGGAGTGCGGTTCCGTCGCCGCCGTGTCTACCTCCAACACACAGTCTCAGTCAAACCCCCTTGCCATGCCTGCATGCCCCTACATGCCCAGGCTAGGCACCCGGATGCGCATGGCAAGGACGCGCACACACCCTAATCGCAGCTAGTCTTCTTTAACACTCCCCATGAAAGAAATGTGAAACATCATCATCAAATGCATACCACACCCCAACTGGCCGACAACGTTGTTGTACGGCGCAACATGACACCAGTCTAATTCCCAGCAGCCGCAAACAGGGCCACAAAGTCTCAAGTGCAGTGGCCTTTCGCATGCCGCAAGACACAGGCCGCAGCAGCAGCAGACGACAGACAATGACACACCCCTCCACTTCCGTATGTCAACCTTACGAAAACCTTCACAACCAAGACGAGTCGAAGCTTCGTAGGCGACGAAATGCGCCCCTTCGAGTTAACGATGCCGGCCATTTTCATACCTAAGCGCGTGCTCCTACCTTCGCTCCCCCCGCCATCACCCTTCTGCAACGCCAATGAAACAGCCTGCCCGCGCACGCTCTCTGGCTGTCTCTCCCCAACGCTTCCGGCGGCCAACAAACACAATACAGAACCGTACCCAAGACAACAGCCCCAACCGAATCCCAGCTAGCCATGCCAGCCGGAAAAGCACACTTGCTTACCCCCCCCCCCAACATCTGCTTCGTTTGAAACTCGTGTGCGACAGGCATCCCGACGTACCTGCACCGCACCAGGTGCACCTCCGCAACACGTCCCCACGGGGCGCTCATGGCTGAGCACATCGCTGGGGGGCAGAGCTCGCACCCACGCATACTCGCATTTCCGCACATGCACTTCCATACCCCGTAAGCACCAAATTCGATGCCAGCGGTGCATAGAGCACGTGTCTACTTTCCTTCTCCATCGTCGTCCAGTTGCCAACGGCCCCAACAGCAACCCAAAACCCTGAACAGAACACACTTAAAGCCTACTTAAGAATCGCAACATTCACCGCTCACCCGGCATTAGGAAGTAAGAAAGGGCCAAACACGGGCGTGTGCGCTCCTAGACTCCAAGTTCAGTTCGCTCATTAAGAGTTTCCTCGGCCCTCCTGCTTTACCTCACTTAACCTCACTGTTTCCTCCCCAAGCAGTACCCAGCAACAGGGCTTCAGCAACCCTCTCCCACCGCTCAAACACCAGGACACCTCCCACCCCCTCACACCGGGGTCGGTGCCAGTTCTGCGACTGATTTGGTTTCAAAACACACACACACGGCCAGTTATTTTAACACACGGACGCGGCCAGTTTTCTTGACATACGGACGCGAAGAGTGCTTGATGCGCAGCAGCGCCCAGCCAACGCCGGTCCCAGAATCCGATGGCAACCCTCCCTCATGGCATCGAACGCCACCAAAGCGCGCACGTGCAGGCCATGCCCGCTCGCGCACACCCAGCCACCACCCAATTCCTAAGGCAACACAACACCCTCCAGCCAACCCCACTGGTGGCCCAGCCGCCCGACTGATAGGCGCACCCCCCATCCTCACGTCCCCACATCCCCACCCAGACCCCATGACACGCCGGCACCCCTGCAGCTGCGTGGCCCCTCAGCGACCCCCATACACTTCACCGTGCGCTGTTTCGGCGCACCGAGCTACCCCGTGCCATGCAGGTGCAGATGCCGCCGCTGCTGTTGTTGATGTTGTTGCCTTTTTGCTAACAAAAGCACCGGCCGTGCCGCCTAACAAGGCACCTCTCGTACCTATCTTCTGACTTATCGCACCCTGCAAGCCCCTCCCTCGCACCCTGCCTGCACTCACAGGTACATGCCAATGACGCGCTGCATCTGGTCCCCATCGTAGCGCGAGTCGCCGTCCCCCGCCCACTCGTACGTGTGCATCTCCCCCTTGCCCTTCACGCTGGTCATGCCGCGGTCGCTCCAGGCCTCGTTGGACAGCAGGGCGCGCGTGGCGGCGCTGACGTGGATGGCGCCGGGGCGGCAGGTGCTCTCCATGCGGCTGGCGGTGTTCTGGAGGGGGGGGGGGGAGGGGAGGGATAACAATAGGAAGGCATGGAGGCAGGGAGGGAGGCTGGCTAAGTGGGGTTGCTCTCCACTGTCAATTTCGAACCGGGCTTGGTATTGTTTCACAATAGCACCACACCTTGGCCCTACTCACCCTATCATCGCAGTCAATGGCCCAGTTATTTTATTGTTCTCCCCCTCCCCACACTCACCACTGTGTCCCCGAAGAGGCAGAACCGCGGCATGCGGTCGCCCACCACCCCGCTGGTCACCGGCCCCGAGTGCAGCCCGATGCGCATGCGGACCGGCTCGCCGGTGTGCGGCAGCCGCACGTCGCGGGAGGCGCGCAGCATGGCCTGGAGGGGGGAGGGAGGGGGAGAGGGGGGAGACATGGGACATGGAGGGAACATGAGGAGGAGGCAGGATGCGAAGAGAAAAAGAGGGGAGGCCAATACCGGTAAGCTCAAGCATGCTAGCAACGCAAAAGGAAGCGGCGCATGCGCCTGGCCCTCCCATTGCGTGCGCGCATCCAGTGATCGCACCGGCACCAGCAGCAGCAGCGCTCCCTGCCGCACAGCCCGCCCACGTCCCGCCCCGCCCCGCCCCAGCAGACCGCCCGCCCCCACTACCCGGCACCTTTGCAAACTCCATTGTCTTGACTGCGTGCAGCGGGTCCTCCTGCCCGCCACTGATTACGGACTTGTAGCCGTCGTCGTCGTATGCCACCAGCCCGCCAGCAACCATGTAGCAGTCTGGGGAGGGAGGGAAAGGGAGGGAGGGAGGGAGGGAGGGGGGACGAGAGCATATCAGTAACGTTATACGGTATACCGTATGGGGTTTTACTCGCAACGGGCGCAAGGGGCGGAGGTAGGGAAAGGGAGGTAGCGAACAGCAGGGCAGTTCGTCGCAAAACCAGGTTGACGCTCCCGCTCGTGATAATACACACAGGCCAGAACTGTACGAGACGCGTGTGTTGTATGCAATGCATGAGTGCAATGCCGTCAAGGCATGAGGACCTAATAGACATCTACAGCTACTGCGCCCCCGGTTACACCTTAACCCCCTAACTCTCCGCCTACTAGTTGCCGTACGGTTTAACATGCGCCCCCCTCTCCACCCAACTGCCGTACCTCCAATCGTCTCCACCTTGTACACCTTGTAGATGTCGATCATCGCGTCGAAGCGGCTGTAGAGCTGGTTCAGGAAGGCCATCACCTCCAGAGGCTGGGCGGCGTGGCACATGGAGGTGAAGCCCACGCAGTCTGGGTGCGGGGGGAAAGAAGATATACAATGTGTGGGCGCGAGCATGGAGGCGGGGACCCAGACAGGCGGGAGGACACGGACCGGCGGGGCATGGGACCGGGTCCTCGCTGTCCTTGTGCGGTTCAGGGGGCGCTCGGGACTGTTAACCCCGTCACGCTGAAACGGTATTTTACGCCAGCCCCGTGCGAGACACGTACGAGGCTTCCTCCGTCCTCCTCCTCCTCTTCGCAGTCATCGCAGCTGTCCCTGCACCCCTTCCCTCGACTCCCCGCAGTTCCGCGCTTCCTGCCCCCACCGCCTCTGTAGCCCTTCCCTCGATTCCCCGCAGGTCCGCAGTTCCGCGCTTCCTGTCCCCACCGCCTCTGCAGCCCTGCCAACGCCCTCACCCGCAAACAGGATGGTCACCGCGGGGTGCCAGGTGGCCAGCGAGGCCATGCGCTCCACACTGCCTGGACCCCACCGGCTCAGCAGGCTGGAGCTGCCCGGAGCCGCCAGGTGACCCATGGGTCCGTGCTGCAACGTCATGTACTCGATCACGTGCCTGCGGTCAGGGGTCAGTGTGCGCGTTGTCAAGGCAGTTGGCTTACTGGTGTGATCCCGCCTTGACGCACGGGCAGTTGCTTCACAGTTGCTGAGTCCCAGATGGGTTGGGGTAGTGTTTGTCCGCAAGCGCATCTTCTCGCGGGGTGCATCAGACAGCACCACCAGGACACATCACCCATTGAGGCATGCGGGTCACGCGGCAAACGGTTCAACGGCGCCAGCAGTCCAGGCAGTGCCGCACCTCGGGAAGATGCTCTCCAACACCTGGACGGGAGGGAAAGTGGGACGGGAGGAGGGGGGGAGGGGGTGCGGGGTGTCGGTGCAGCGAGGGCGATCCCATGCATCATCTTACACCCCACCTCCATGTGGGCAGGAAAAGGCGGGCCCACCCCCCGTTCCATTCCCCTGTCCACATCATCCAACAAGAAATAGTCAACGCGCCTCGTGCGCCCCTGCTTCAGCAGTGCCATGTGCCCCGCTTAGCCCAGCTCCACACTCCCAGCTCCACGCTCCCAACCCCGCACTCCCACTCCCTACACCGCCCTACCTTGTGTTCCTGCTCCAGTAGCTTGGCCAGCCGCGCCTGCGCCTCCACCTGCTCCGAAACATCGACCTGCGTCACCGTCAGCGTCAGCAACCGCCCGCCCCTGCAGCCACCTGCGCGCCCCCCTCCACCGCCCCCTGCTGCTGCTGCGGCCGCATGCTCCGACTGCTGCTGCCGTGGCTGCTGCTGCTGCTGCCCGCTCGCCAGCACCTCCTCCGGCTGCTGCCCGGCCGCCTCTTCTTCCCGCAGCTCCGACACTCCGCTCAGTACGACATGCACCCGGTGCCACACCCGCTGCAGCGGCAGCAGGGTGGGCAGTCCGGGGGCGCACGCAGCTGCAGCGGGGCGGCCGCCCGGTCCCGAGCCCCGCATGGCTTCGGAGGCGACACCGGCCGTCCGTGCCGGGCCCCCGAACAGCACTCCGGAAGGAAGGCCGGCAGCACTCGCACCACCGCCGCCGTTGCCACTGGCAACGCCCGGCCTTGAGGTCGTTGCAAACCGCAACGTCGCTGATGCTATGGACGTCGTTGCAGGAACAGCAGCAGCAGCTGCCGCGGCTCCTCCTGCTCCTCCCATCGCAGCCTCGGAAAGCCCCTGGGTCGCGTCTGTGCCCGGGACGGAACAGAAGCCGCAACCGCGGTGGTTGTAGTTGGGTTGTTGGGTGTGGTGCGGATGCGGATGCGCGGAGCCGTGGTGGTGGTGGTGAGCGCCTGCAAGGTGGCTGCCGCTGTGGCAGGACGACGTCCCCTCCAGCAGCACCTGGTAGCTGGAGGACCGCGGGGTTTCCGACGCGTAGGCCGAGTGCAGCAGCAGCTGGCTTGAGAAGCTGTGCAGCAGCTGCGTCAGGCGCCGGCCCGTGTCCATGGAACGAAGCAGCGGCGCACCCGTGCTTGCAACACCAACACCAACACCCGAACCTCCTCCTCCCGCTGCTGCTGCACCAGCTGTCATGGCAGCAATGGTGCCGCTGCGCCTGGGACGTGTGAGAGGACGAGTGGATACCGTCGCCGCCGCGACTGCAGCCATAGCTGCGGCTGGGTTCATGACAGCCGGCGGCGGGGAGGGTAGCGGCGAGGGCGAGGTGGCGAGCGAGCTCGCAGTGGCCCCCAGGTTGCTTGCGGGGTCCGCTAGCAGCAGCTGGCCGCCGCCCGGGCCGCCGGAGGAGGCGAGGCTGCTTCCGCGGTGGAACAGCGGGGCGACGGGGCCAGGCGGGGTGCGGTGGTGGAGGTGGTGGTCTGGCAGCGAACTGGGCAGCAGCTTGGGGGCCTCCACGGGGCTCTCCGGAGCGCAGGAGGCGGTGGAGGTGGCTGGGGCTGCAGCGGTAGCAGGGGAAGTGGACGACGTTGCAGGCTGGTTGCGCTTGCGCAGGGTGACGTCCCGGTGTGGTGCTGGGGAGCGAGAGTGCAAGCCGGCAGCCGGGCTGGGTTGGGCCGCGGCATCTGCGGTAGAAGCAACGGCACTGGTTGCGGCGGCGGGCGCCGGAGGTGCGGTCACAGAAGACGACGCGGATAACAGGCCCTCACGCCCCAGCTCCTCGGGCGACTGATGCTGCTGCTGCGGGCCCTGGCAGCAAGCAGCCCCAGCTGGCCCGTTGCTGCGAGTCAGGGACGAGCCCTGGCTGCCACGGCTGTTGCTGCTGCTGCCGACCGCTGCCAGGACCTTCTGCGGATGGGCTGGTGGGTGCCTTGCCCTCGCTCCTTGCTCCCGCCCCGCCGCCGTTGTCACCGCCGTCATGGACGCACCCACCATCATCACCTCCCCAAGCCGCGAGAGCTGCAGGTCCGACATGACATGCGGCATTGGGCCGGTCTGGAAGGCTGTGAGCGCGGGTATGGCAGCTGCAGCCAGCAAACCGCTGCAGCCGGGGGCTGCGGCGAACACCGCGCAGCTCCCGCTGGCAAAGGTGGCTCCGGAGGCCGCCGCCGCTCCCGGCCGGTTGGCTGCCAGCGTGCAGGGCAGGGTGGAGGCGCTGCGGCGCACGTTACGGCTGCGGGTGCGGAAGGATTGGATGGGTGGTGGGGGCGGCGGCAGGTCGCCGGGTGTGGCGGCATGCTGGCAGGGCTGCTGCGGTTGTGACTGCGGTTGCTGTGGCTGCTCTTGGTGGGATGGCACCCGAAGTACAGCCAGCGATTCAGCAGCGGCCTGCATGACAGGCCCCGGCAGAGGGTGTGTTGGTCGGGCCGGTTTGCGGGGCCACGCCTGTCCCCATGCAAATGAGGCAAGCCGCGGTGTGCCCACGACGGGCCCGGCCTCTGCAGCAGCGGCAGCAGCAGCCCTCCTGTCGGACTTCTTCCCTGCCAACAACGTGTCCGTCAGGTAAGCGTCGGCGTCGTCTTCCTCCACCGCACCGGAGTCAAAGGTGTTCCGGAGCAGCAACAAGCGACCCAGCGAACCGTCCCGTGGGTCAGCCGGCGCCGCACCGCTCGACCTAGCTGGCCGGGGGCCGCTGTTGCACACGCCCTCCGCTGCCCCGCTGGATAGTGCTGCTGCCGTGTGCAGCCAGGGAGGCTGCAGCAGCGGCTGTTGATGTGGTGGCTGCTGCTGCTGCTGTTGCTGTTGTTGCTGCTGTGGTGGTGGCGGCAACGGGGGTATCGGAAGCCTCGAGCGGCACATGGGCGCCGAGTCCGCGCGACCAGCCAATTCCAGCACTCCTCCTGGCCGATCCGCATCAGCACCAGCACCAGCAGTGGCGTCGACACCAGCACCAGCCACGGCCACAGCTACGCCACCGGCACCGGCAACAGTAGCTGCGGTGGGCACAGCGACACCAGCGGCACCGCCGGCGGCAGCAGCAGCCTCAGGTGCTGGAACAACAGCAACATGCACAGCGGCGGCATCATCACCTGGCGCAGAAGCAGTGTTGTGGCGGATACCTGCATGATGCTGCATGTCCGGAAGCTGCTGCTGCTGCGAAGTCTGCTGCTGCATGTCTGGCGGCTGCTGCTGTTGCAGCTGCTGCAGCTGCTCCGTAAGCGCCGGTGGCGCTATCCCCAGCGTCCCCGAGTGCAGCAGGCTGGAGCGCACCACCAGCTCCCCCAGGAAGCTGCTGCTGCCGCCGGTGTTGAAGAAGCGAGGAACGGACAGGGTCGCCAGCGTCAGCGACCCCGATGCACCGCCGCACCCCACCCCCGCAGCTAAGCTCAACACGTCAGAGGGCCGGGAGACACAGGAGCCCAGCGGGACCCCGAGGGGGGCAGCAGCGGCCGCTGCGGGGTCGGTGGCGGCTGCCGGCGGCGTGTTGGCGCCCAGTGTGGGCATGTCGGCGGTGTCGGCGGAGGGAAGAGCCGCGGAGATGGAGGAGGCGGCAGGCGGTGGATCGGTAGCAGGGGAGCCAGCAGGGGCGGCAGCACCGGCAACGACTGTTGTTGCGTGATCTCCAAAGTCAGCGTCGCGGGACGGCATCCCTATCAGTGAACGCTCCACATGGCTCGAAGCAACCTCCTCAGGAAGCCCCGGAACCCCCCCTTCTCCCGGGCTGCAGCAGCTGACACCTGTGGCCTCCTCCACCACCACCACCACTGCTGCACCAGCAGCACCCGCCGCGCCCGTATCATTCAGAAAGCCCGCGGGAATTGGCAGGAGGCCGCGTCCCTCGTAGTCACTTCCTCCATCCGCCTCTTCCTCTTCTCCAGGCAACCGACCCGCGGGACTGCTGCCCCGCCGCCCGTCCCGGCCCTCCTGGGTCGCAAGCCCAGTGCCAGGTCCTCGGCCCTCCCCAGCACCACCACCACCACTGCTGGTAGTGGTGGCTGCACTCGTGGTGCCTCGAGGAGGGCCCGTCACAGCCCGCTGTCTCGACCGATGTTGTTGCTGCTGCTGATGCTGCTGGTGTTGCCGCGGGCCCACACCAGGTGACGTCGCCGCCACGCCAGCCCCTGCAGCAGCACCCCCTGGCTCATGCAGTGCCACCCCTGCCGCTGGCTGCTGCTCCTGCGACGGCGCGGCCCCACTGCCGCTGGTCGTCACCGTCAGCAGCAGACTCCCATGGTGGCTGGCAGACAGGGTGCTGCTGCTGACCCGATACCTGCCCCCATCACTACACCCCTGCTCCGCTCCTCCCCCTCCCGCCACCGCCGCTCCATCCGCTAGCGCCGCGCTGGACAGCCGCGGTCCACACGCCTCCACCGCCGCCGCCGCTGCTGCTGCCGACCCCGGCGACGTCAGCTTGCACAGCGCACCGCTGTACGGCAGCAGCCCCAGCCGGCTCCTCGCACCCCCCGTGGAGCCCGCCAGCATGCTGAAGAGGGACATCACCGGGGCCGGCTGGGGGCGGCCGGGGGGGTGCTGGCCGGCCGGCCCCAGGGAGGAGGTGGAGCCAGAAGACCCGCAACGTGCGTCCACACTGAAACTCATGGCGCGACTGCAGAGGCGCATGGGAGGAGCGTTACCGGTGCCGCTGCTGGTGCTGCGTGTGCCAGCGGGAGTGGCAGGAGCAGCGGTGGTGGGGGTACCGCTGTCGCGGGCTCGTGTGATGCTGTACGCGGGGCGGTGCCGGTGCTGCTGCTGCTGCGGTGGGGCCTTGACCTGCTGAGCTGTGGCCGGTCTCCACAGCAGCTGTTGCTGCTGCTGTGGTTGCTGCGGCTGTTCCTCCTGCAGGTTCTGAACCTCCTGCATGCTCATGCTGCGGAGGAACTGTGGCTGCTGCTGCAGCTGCTGCTGCTGCGGTTGCCGCTGCTGCAGCAGCTTCGGCGGTGGCGACGCCAGGGCGTGTTGGGTGCGGTGCCGCTGGAGGCAGTCCGGGGCGGTGGCGGGAGCCGCTGTGAGGCTGAGCGCCTCCAGCAGCTTGCGGTCCTCGGAATCCAGCAGCTCGGAGGCGAGGTCGTGCGGGTCCTCATGGTCGTGTGCCGCCTGCCGGGTATCTCCATGACCATGACTGCGGTGGTGGTTGCGGTGGTGGTTGTGGTGGTCCGCAGCCGCCTGCCCAGCGGCATCATCGTCCACCCCCTCAAACGTGGTGCCCAAGAGGTCGATGGACCGGGTGGATTGCCGGTGGGGGTGGGGGTGGTGATGGTGGTGGGGGTGGGGATCTGCGTTGCAGCGCAGCAGCCGCGTGGTGGTGGCGGCGGTGGTGGCGATGGACGAGGTGGCCACCGCAAGCGGCTGCTGCGACCTGCAGGAGGAGGCCGCCACGTAGCTGGTGGGCGCCATGTCCTGCAGGGAGGCAGGCACCTGCACCACGGCTTCGTACTCCTGTGCGGGAAGCAAAGAGGCATGGAGGCAACGTGTGCGTTAGTTGCTCGCGTCATGACCAATGAGGGACCGTTCGAACCCGTTGAAGGATCACACCGCACAGCCACCAGGTGACGGAAGTGAGGAGAATGGGGACGACGTGTGGACGCCCCCGCCGCAAGCACATGCACCACTGGCCGGCATCATCCAACTCCCACCAAGCCCTCCCTTCCTCCCCCACTCCCACGCGTGCAACCCACCCAGCCACCCACCCTGCCCTCCGCCAGCGCAACCAGCATGGCCTCCAGCGGGTCCCCCCCGCCTCCGCCCCCGCCTCCGCCGCCTGCTGCTGGCTCTATGGGCGGCCCCCCCAGCGCCAGCCCCCCCAGCAGCCTCCGCAGCAGCTCCTCCCCAAGCCGCCCGCCCGTCAGATCGCCCGCGTAGAGCCGGGAGCGGGGGTTCTGGAACAGCACCCGCCTGCGAGGTGGGGTGGGGTGGGGGGGTGGGGGGGGGGTAAGGGGGCGAGGGGGAAAAGGAGCGCGACGTGTGTATGAGCCCTCTGTTCTTGCGTGTTGCGTGGAGGGATGGCGGCCGCCCACAAGCCCAGCCGTGCAAGCCGTGCAATGTTTCATTCCGAGCCGTAAGGCGCAAGCACGGGCCCTCCCTCCAGTCGACGCCTCCTCCTCTCCTCCTTGCACGCACCCCGCATGCGGGAGCCCGGTGTCCCACCCAGGCGCCCAGCCCCTCCGCACCCGCCCACCCACCCGGTGGGGAGCTGCAGCACGGTGATGCAGCACGCGGCTCCCTCCACAGCCAGGTCCGGGGCAGGAGCGCCTGGCGCAGAGGACTCCGCAGCCTCCGCAGCCGACGCGTCCAAGCCTCCCAAGCTGCTCGCTGCTATTGTAAGGGCTGCTGCGGCACAGGAAGAGGAGGAGGCGGCGGCCGCAGAGGCTGGGGAGGCGGCGGCGGCGGCGGCGGCGGCAGCAGCGGTGGAGCGCCTGCCGAGCTGCTGGTGTACAGAAGGAGTCCGCCACGGCCGGGGTACGTCAGCGGTGGTAGGGGTTTCGGATCCGAGCCCGTTGCCGCCGCCCTGGATGATGAGCAGCGCAGGACGTGGCGGGTTCGTGCCGTCGGCGAATAAACATGTTCGAACCTGCGAAGCCAGCACGCAGAGTACGGGACCTTGACCTAGACGTAGGGACGTGGAAGGGGGGGAACGATAGGGAGGAAGGCGAAGAAGGCAAATAGAGGAGGAAAAGGTGGACTGGGTTGCGGGCCCTCATCCATGTGTGGTGGTGGTGACGTTGACCACCCAACCCGGATTCCCAAACCCCCCATGCAACCCACATCGAAGCTTTGAAGGTAATCGGAACGGGCCCCGATAGCGGTTCTCTGCCTGTCAGCGGGATGCCCATTGAAGGTCCCAGGCAAGCGCACGACCAACTGGAGCGGCGCCTTCGCTCTTAGAGAACACCTGCGGAGCAAGCGTCTTAAGTAAGAGCCCCTCCAATCCTTGACGACTTCCCACATGTCCTCGATTATTGAATTTACCTAGCCGCTGCTCCCAAAACGTGACCAGCTGGCTCCGCAAGCCATGTAAGCAACAGCAAATCCACTTCCTGCAAGCCGAATAATCCTATTGATAAACGACGAAAAGAAGAGGTCCACTTTAACCTATCCTACCTTACAGGTAAGACCATCGCCTCCCCTGGCGATGATGGTCCGGAGTTGGAAAGGGCTATCAGCTGACGGCCGAAGGCACGCAAAACGTAGACATCCGCCTACTTCATTAACGTTCACAACTGCAAACGCAGCGCTGCCCGCCAGTCCCTGCACGTCCTGCTCATAGAGCACGCTGGGCTGTTCATTGAAGGTCGCCCTGGCTGGCCTTAACAGTTTTTTCGCAGGATCAATCATACAGCGCAATCGGGTATCGCAAGAATGTCACTGATACTCTTCCCACCAAGCACCACACTTGTGCGCTGCTCAAACAAGAAAAAGCCGCTGCCGGGAGGGCAGCAGCAGTGCCCTATGCGCCATTGAATAGTTCAAACGCTAATACAATAATATTGCCAGCATACATGAGGAACCTGATACGCGCAATAGTAGTACAACGAACTGACGGTCGGTTGCCTGGCCAAGTCTGCATGAACGCTGGTTTCTGTGCATAAAACGCTGTAACTTTTATGTACATGAACTTTTGTACAGAAGGCGGCGGTTTCCTCAATGGAAGTCCTGAGAGTTAACGTGCAAGCCTGCATGTCGCAGTTGACCCTCATGACCATTGTGGAACCACACAAGGGTATCACAGCCTACGCCGTAGTAAGCCTAAGATAAATGCGGGCAATGACTGCCTTTAGAAACAAACGGCCTGTCACAAATGAGGACTCCTAGTGCATGGGTTCAACTCGCGTCTCTTGACTATGCTCCCCGCAGTGTGATACATCAAATTCTTTCATGCATGCTTTGGGCGAATAATGATCATAGGCTAAAGGACGCTGGCTTTCCAGCTTTCCGTGCCAACACGTCCAACCTGGGGCACAAAGGATAGGGCCCCTAAACGCGTCTTGTTTTCGAGGCTTAGCAGTTCGGATGTGAGTTCAGAGGCCATTCTCGTCGTTGCCCGGCGAGTCACTTTGGCCGGAATTGGTGTGACTACGTTTCCCCACGTCTTGCTTGGTTTTGTTGTTGGGACATGGGCATGCTGTGTCATGGTCTGGGCACTCAAATAGCTGTACCGCCCGAATCGGTAGCCTGACATGTACGGGCCTGTGGTCAAAGTTACCACCCGGCACTGACACGGTTTCATAGGCGTCGGGGATGGGTTCTGTCCCCTGGCTAGTGGTTATCGCCCTTCCAAGCTTCGTGTTGACAAGAATGTCATCGATGCAGCTCTCGTGCCTGACCTCTCCTGCTTGCACCCTGAACCGCCAGCGAATTCAGGAATTCAGTAGCGGCCCCGGGAGCCTGCCCTCCCCTGCGCGGCGTGAAGTAAGATAGTGATGGGCTTATGGCAACTTACAAACACGTGTGAAAAAAAACACGCGTGGAAGTACGCTTCGTCAATCACGACAACGGGTGACTTCAATGGTAGCCCTGATGAACATAGTAGGCATGGGATGGGTGGATTGATGGGTCTCAGTACGGCATCTAACGACCCCAGCTCTCAATCAGGTACTCGTTGCGCGCACTGTCCGCATTCCATCTGGGTAGTCGAGTCACGGAGGACGCAGATGGAGCTCAGGGAGGGCACACAGGGGACAGGTACGGGAGCTACAGGGGGACAGTGCATGCGCGGCCGCATCGCATGGTGACACATCGGCAACCCTGAGCATCTGACGACCTCCAGCGGACATTCCTATACTTCCCCTAACCCTTCCCAATTTCCCATGTTCTGAAATGGTCTATCGAGGCCTGAGCACGGGCCAACGAAGCTGAGCATGCTTTGCCGTACAACTCATGCTCAGAGTTGCCTGGGGCCGCCCAGGCCTAAGGTTCACATTTGACGACCCCAAACCGACTTTCATATACTTCCCAACTTTCCCATGTTGTGGGGTGGTCTGGTGAGGCCTGGGCATGGGCCAACCTGTCTGAGCATGCTCAGCCGTACAACACATGCTCAGGGTTGCCACTGCGGAAACCCGAAGCATTACTCGCATCCATTCATAAACAAGACCCAACTTCCCACATGACCTGTCCTCTACAGTCTCCGCTATCATGTACCACGCACCCATCCCCATGCCCCAAAGGATTGTTAACTGGAAATGGGGGAGAACAGTGCACTGCGCCGGCCAGGGCCGCCCGCAGGCGTGCCGCCGCCTACGTTTCTGGACAGGCAACCGCATGCAGGTGCACAACAACCCCCGGGCTTCGACGGGTGGATAGGTGGCAAACAAAGGAAATCCTCGCGAAAACGCCTAAGGTCAACGAGCCGTGGCTCCAATACCAAGCAATTAATAGATACCAGCAACATAAAAGCAAAGAAGCAAGTAGGCACGTCAACTCCAGCAGCAAACAGTCCACCAGGAACGCCGTACATCGACCTGGCGAGGGCTTAAGGCGCTCCAAAACCGCACCTTTGCTGAACGCCAAAATATAATACTGCGTAGTGCCGCACGTCTAGGTCGCTTCGGACCTGGGGCCCGCAGTCGTCAATCAACCGTATGACAAGACCGTCAACCGGGGATGTGGTACACACATATCGTGTCTTTTCAAAAGCAGTATGTCTCACACGACCGCACGCCAGCCAGCACCCTTTCCACGCTCAAAGGGGGGTCGATCGGTCGTATCCGCCATCGTATCTTCCCGCACACATGCGGTGTTTCCCGTCAGGGCGTGGTGGCTCCCCCCTGCCTGCCTACACCTGCGCGTCCGGGCTGTGCAGCACCGCCAGCGCCTCCTTGAGCCGCCGCACCATGTCCGCCCGCTGCGTGCGGCGCGCCGCCACAGCCTCGTCCTCAGCCAGCAGCAGGCGCGCAACTGCACAGGGCGGGGCATACGGGGTGTCGCTTGGTAAGGGTGATGTGAGGGTGGGCTGGTCCCGTACAGGAGGCCAGCCATCCAAGTCCAATACCAGGCGAGCCGGTGTTGGGGTACAGTGGCAGCAGTTTCATGTGTGCTGCAGCAGCATATGCTGTCGGGGTGCGGCAAAGAAGCCAACACAGCAAAGGGGCGCAGACCATATGCTGTGGTTCATCTGGGATCTCTAGATAGCAAGATGCGGACACATGCACCTCAAACCAGTGCAAGGTAGGGGGGTCACTCCACACTCCTGGCCTCTTACCTTCTGCCACATTCTCGTTCGGCAGCCGCCCCTCAGCAGCCGCCCCTTCCCCTCCCCCTCCGCCCATCCCCAGCTGCCGCAGGATGGCCGCCTCGAAGGCCTGCCGGTCCGCCAGGCGCCGCAGCAGCGTGTTGCGGATGAGCATGGGCACGCCGTCCTGCACGCGCTTGAAGGATACCTGCAGTGCGGTACGGCATACGGCTGTTGATGTACGGCATGCAGCCATCGCGGCAGACCAGAAGGAACAGCGTTGGCATGATGGCCCTGCGCCTGACGCCCGACATACCAGTAGGTCTACGTGCCCATGCCAAGTGACACAGGTACCACCCGGTTTCTGTGCCCCGGCCCCAGCCAAGGCGCAACAAGAAAAGAAGAAGGCAAGTTATCGCGCCTGCCTCTGCCGATGGAATGAACATGCCGGCAACGGGGCGCGACAAAGTAACGGTACCTACCTTGAAGTACGCCAGGCATGCTGCCATCATGCGGAGTTCCTCATCAACCGGCGTCGGCTGGGCCATGAAGAGGGTGTCGTGGTTGTTGAAGCGGACTTTGCAGTCCGCTAGTTGTGAAAGTAGGTCGGCGACCTGCGATTGATTGTTTGGTGTAAGCTCATCAGGCTCTTCACACACCATAGAGCGTCTTGTACGTCCTGCTTAATATTCCGTTAACACCATGAAAACCGTAGGTAACCTAAAGATCTAATGGTAGCAGGCAGAAGCTCCTGTGAAAGAGATTACGACAGGAGGGTGGCCAAACTGGCCATGTACATCCCGGCTTTTAATTAAGCGGCATGTTACAAGACACTGAGCGATTTTCCCAAAGCAAACCGAGCAGCAAATCACCCCCCAAAGCACCTTCTTTTATGGCAACACCTAAGCACCTACATACGGTAACACATAAGCACCATAGGCGCCCCCCCCGCATGCCTCGCATAGATATACACATCCACAGGCAGGGTAAATGCCAATTTTGCGGCTAAGTAATACAACACACGTACATGCTTACCTCCTCCTCCTCTTCATCATCCCACGCCGGAGCTCGCAGGTACGCCCGCTTCAGGCGGCCCAGGAAGGTCGTGAACTGGTCCTTCAGGTAGTGGTCGTTGAGGGTGAAGGTGTCGAACTCCTCCATCTCCATCAGGCGCTTGATGTCGCGGCCGGTTTCCGCAGTAAGGTCTTCAATGTGGTCGGTGAGCGCCATGCTGTGTCAAGGGCATGGTAAGGGTACGGTAGGACGGGTTGGGCCTTTGCAATGAAGCCTCTGACACACAGGACTGCGCCACATACAGCTTTATTAGCAGGGGCGCAGGGGCATGTGCCCCTAGGGGCAAGGCAATTGAGGGCATGATGGACAAGAAGGGGAGCTGACCCATGGGTCATAGACGTTGGGCAATTGCCTAAAGCCATCAGAAGCACAATGGAAGGCCCGTTGTTGAGGACGTCCCATGGGTGGTGTAGTCGAGGAACGGAATAACGGTATGCACTGACAAAGTCCCATGACTCATATAGTTTACGTGATTTTACTACCGTATCATGCTACACAAAAGCTTGAGACACAGTAGTTCCAGGCCACCACTCAAACCCAACCCACCATCCCCACGAGAGGCCTAATTCTGCACCCTACCTCCCCCCGCACTCCTCACCCGACCGCTCGCATCGCCTTGGGAAAGCGCTCAAAGGTCCGGGCGACCAGCTCGCCCGCCTGCTCCTGGGTCGCCTCGGCCACCTCCTCCAGGCACTTCCGGGCGTGTGCTGACCACTCCCCCTTGAACTCCTGGATCAGCTCCTCCACCGCACTGTACGGACTGAATCCGGGCAGCTCCCGACCCAAGTGCCGCTCCCGTATCTCCTGCACCTGCTCCAGGGTCATGTACACAGTCGGAAACAGCGCCTGCTGCATCGTGCGTTTGATGTTGACGTCTCCGTCCAGCGCCGCCGTCGCGGCAGCTTCTAGCTTAGCGTCTGCTGTCCCACTCAAGTTGACGAAGGCTGCTACGTCTAGCGCGCCCTCTTGCAGTAATCGCTGCCTTTCATTTTTAGTAGCATCAGAAGCAACGACCGTGCTTGTCTGCACGCCCTTGTCGGCGTTGCTTAGGGCGCCGATCAGCGTGGAGCCAACCAAGAACGCGGGCGTGCTGCGGATCGCCCGTCCGCTGTACTTCTTGAACAGCGCCATAGTCCGCCGGTAGAAGCTCTTATCGTTGATCTGCGCCGTCGCGTGAATCTGCTGTTCCAGCTTCATACTGGCACTCCACAGCAGGCTCCGCAGCTCTTGCTGCGCATCCGAGCTGGGCGGAGGCGGCATGCCTGCGAGCTCGCGTTCCAGGGCCTCCAGCTGTCCCCTTGCGTTGCGTCGCATGGAGGGCAGTTGATCATTAATCTTTTCCACTAGCAGCGAGCTCAGTTCCGCTCGGAGGTTGTCTGCATTCAGGCGCTGGGCTACGTGGGCGTTTTTGGCCGTAGCGCTTGCCCAGTGCGTGTTGGAGGAGAAGTAGGCCTTCTCGGCTTTGCGCGCGGCGTCAAAGGAGATGCCCTCCACGAGTTGCTCTTGGGAGGGGTTCTTGACGACATAGTACCCCAGCTTGAGGTACGTGCTGTCGCCGGGGGAACCTGAGACACATTGTGGAACGTTGGAATGAGCGGCAAGGGCAGGAAGGGGTGCTTTAGTCGTCTAGGTGTCGCACAACGGCACAAGTGGACAGCCAAGCAGAGACAGCGGCAGGCGACTGCACCGTATTACAACGCCGTCATCCTGAGCGCTCGTCATACTCAGTCGAGGAGTCTAGAGTATTGGTAACAGCATACACAGTAGCTAGCATGTTGGCCTGCAGCCGCCGTACTGCCCCACGCACGGCAGAAAGCATGCGCTGCCACCCACCGCCCTGGCTGGCCACCAGCTGGGCCAGCTTCTCATGCGCGATGCGTCCCTCCCCAATCATGTCAGGCTTGGTGATGATGCCGATGCTGCGGTTGCCCTGGGGGTCCACCTCGCGCGCCCACAGCCGGATGGCCTAACAATGCATTGTAGTGGGTAGCAGGCGGCAGGGCGCGTTCAAACGACGGGGCCGGATCGACACTCAGCTGCATGCCGGTAACGAGTGGGAAGCGAGTGCTGCATGCCGCACGGTGACCAGGAATGACGGCAGATGCTCAGAGCGGGCGGTGGAGCCCCATAACCCGCACTGTATCCGAATCCCCCCTATCTCGTCCGGAGCTACCGGCATATCATCCCAGCACTACCTCTGGCTAAGAAGCACGACTGCCTGTCCCCATCCTGCGCTATCCTGCCATGTACGTACGTACCTGTGTCTCCGCATCCGCAGCTGCCGGCAGCGCCATGGCAATGATGTGGTGCTCGGGACTGAGGTTCTGCTTGGTCATGCGCTCCACGAGCTCCACGTAGTGTCGGCCCTTGGGGTGGGGGTAGCGCATGGAGATAACGAGAAGGGTTTAAGAAGGCGCAACGGCGTAAGGTAGCAGACAGCGCAACCTACACACGTTGTGGCATGTAGACAATGCAGCATACAAGTGCCAGCTCTTGGGACTAGCACCAGCATGAGCCACAGTCAAGGTGAAACACAAGTGCTGCACACGCTCGAAATCATGCCCGCTACATATCAACCTTGGGGTGGTCGTGGATGATGCCGGGCAGGTCGATGATGGTGAGGTCGGCCTCAGCGCCGTCGATCTCCAACACCACCTGGGCGCGAACATACGGGTAAGAGGTGGAGAAATCGGTGACGACTGTTGTGTTTTGGAAATGGCCGCATGTAGGAACGTACTGCGTGGATCTCAAACAAAGGTTCAACCAAGCGAAAGAGATCTACTGGCTTGTAACTTAGGCACGGCTGATAGGCTAACCTGGTTTAGGTTGCAGACACTTTACCAAAGCTCCCCTTCGTACCTTGTTTGCTGTGAACCCAAGCTCATAGTTGCTGGCACCGCCCAGGTTCCGCAGTGCGTCGGAGCCCTCGGGTTGGGATCCAGACAAGCTCGGGACGAAGGCGCGTGCGCCGCCCGGATTGGCACCCACAGCTCTGGGGTTCAGGAGTACCGCCTGTGCTGCCGTGACGCACGCAGTGATGTGCGACTTGTCGAGCACGGTGCAAAAGAGCTCCTCCGGAGGCTTCTCCAGCAGCGGCTTGCCATCCTCGTCGAAGTCGCGGCAAAGTTTAATGCGGCAGGACCAGGGCCGTTCATGGAGCTCTCCGTCCTTGGTGGAGACGTTGGACGTTTGAGCCCTGTTTAAAGAGGGACTCCGGCGGGCGTGATGGCAGCGACGGATACCGGTAGAAGGCTTCCATATACAGGCTTCCCTAAATATTTTATTATACCGTTAAAATTTATTAACAATGAAAACAATTATAAAATGTCTTAGCCTATCATCATCCTACCTCATGCGGACCTCCGTCGGGCAACGGGTGCAAGTTCCATCCGACCGAGGCAACGCCACAGCCGCAATTGCCTCCACAACCGAAGATTTCCCCGAGGATTGATCTCCGGCAATAACGAGGGTTGGTACCTGTAGGGCGCTCTCAACTCCTAGCTCGCGAAGCTTGTTTGCAACGCCTAGCACTCGGGCAGACACTTGATAAAACTTCGTGTCTGCCAAAGGTCCCTGGCCGCCTTTCATTACAGTCATTTTGCGGTCCGACACCGTAGTCGGTAAGGCTTGCCGGTAGGGTTGCCATGTCTGCTGACTACCGACCGGTACACGGCCGGTAACATAGCTGCCCCTGTTCCCGTGCCTCGCTGAAGGACAGGCACGGGTACGAAGCGACGCGAATTTAAGCATAGCCGGAGGGCCTCTTACAGGTGGAGGAGGGTACTACGGCCCACTGGGCACCCCACTTTTCTGCGCCTAGAAGAGCTTTACGACTAGCGGTTTCTAATACTCAAGAGTCATAATAAATAATTATATCTATATTCGTGGATGGGACAGCGGTTACAATCTGGGCATCGGAGTTACGCGCCTTTACGTATACCGGGTACGGTGTACACCATCTTTTGGCATTGCGAAACGCCACCGGCGAAATGACCCCTGGGCCCCCACCCAGTATATTAAGCTCACTGTCATGACTTAATTTATGCTGGATTCACTGGAAATGGGAACAGGTCTGAATTCGTGATCTTCCATACAGTAATGCCGCTCCTCCATAGAGATCAACCCTCGTGTCACCCAGACACCACTAGGGTTCGCTTAAGTTTCCGTGGCGCTGTAAGGCGTCTAAGATGTCTTTTCGCGACTTTTGGGGTGGTCCATATTACTCATACCGCCGTACTTACGCCAATATCTGTTGCCAATATTTGAACAAGTGACGAAGAAAGGTCAGGTGTAGCTACTTATAACTTTTGAGCGCCGTTAACAGGGCTCTTTTTCCCGTACTAAGGGGTAAACGCTATCGGTATCGACTGCTCCAATTTATGCGCTAATCCGGGTTCTCGCTCGGTAGACAACGGGCTCAAACTCCCGACTGTACCCCTTCTACTGCAAGGGATCCCAGGGCTGGCAGAAAGGCTAGCTGCAATCCGCATACAGTTTCCGGAGTTGCGCAGGCCACCCTGGGGGAACCAGCATGGCCTGAGAGGTACAGAGTCTTTCTTGTTCATGCCTGACACCCTGTTCCCCTCCCTTACCCTTCTCTCCCCATACCTCCTCTGCCTGTCTCTTCTTGCGGTGTCCCCGGCCTAAGCCTCTCCCTGCGGCCTTTTTTCCTAAGGCACCCGACCCAGGCCGACCCCATCAGAGGGGGGGGGAAGTCCACAGGCGCCGCATATGAACATCTTCTGGATGGCAAAGACCTTTGTCTTTGTGGCTGCATGTGATTGGGTTTGGTGTGGGCGGCCTTGGTGGGGGGCATTGTTGACTATCTCGGTCCCGGCCTAAGCCTCCCCCCCTGCGATTTTTAAAAAAAGAACCCTAACTTAAAATTAATATGGTCTTTGACCCCCTTGGGGTCGAAAACCCAAATATCTTATGGTGTCGATGCAGGGGTCCACACCGCAACCCCGGCCAACCTCTGCGCCCCGCACGACGCATGACCGCAAACAAGCCCAAAACTTTGGGCAGGCCATGAGATCGCTTCGGTCTGGTAGGAACACTTTTTGCTGCAATTTCAGTTGTCATCCATAGCAGTTAGCCGTTACATTGCAATCACATAAGCGAATCGCTTTCGCTCAACGTTGCACACAGGAGGCGGCGAGACGAGACCTGACGTGTCAGTAAGAGTGTACGAGCAAGATTGCATATTGCTCGACCTCCTGCCCAGATGCAACCGCAAATTGCATATCGCAGGCCACGCACGCAGTAATCCTGCACAGAAATGCTGACCGTGACTACCGGCCCCATGGGTTGGAACCAGCGTTTCTTAAACGTCTTCCTCGCATGCTTTGGGCGAAAAATGGACGTAGGCTAAAAGTCGCTGGCTTTCCAGCTTTCCATGCCAACACGTCAAGCCTGGGGCACAAAGGATAGGGCCCCTGAACGCGTGCCTAAAACGCCAGCGACCTCAGGAACTCAGTAGCAACGGCGCGGCCCCGGGAGCTGACGGCCTGCGCAGGTAAAACAAGGGAAGTGGAGGCAGGGAAGGGAGCAGTGCTCCTCGTGCGTCCCCAACAACATGTAGCGGGGCACGTCCGAATCAAAGCATGCACGGTGCCCAAGCATGCGCCCAGGCAAGTACCCCAGCATGCTCGGTACCCAAGCAGGTACCCACCAGCTTCATGGAGCTAATCTCCACATCCATCTCCTCAATGAAGGCCACCTGAGGGGCCAGGCGGGCATTGGGAGCAGTGGGGCCTTCTTGGGAAGAGGAGATACAAGGGCGACTTGGCGGCTACCGTGTTCACAACCAAACAGGGAGGAGGCTGTGTGTGTTCTAAATGGGAGGGGGGGCATATCGGCTTGACTTGGCGAATAAATGACCCCAGACTTGGTCTGCGACGACACGACTCGTAAGGCGACACGGCATGGCTCGCCAAGCTGGTAAGCTTCAACGGCATGGGAGGCCTTGCCCGAAGACACAGTGGACCCCTTCCCTTTTCCCATGTTCAACATTTTCTTCCGGGCTACAGGTGAGGACATGGGAAGCGCCGGCATGTACGGTCCTTACCACGAAGTCGAGCAGGCGCTGTCTGCCGTACGTCAGCAGGTGCTGGTCCGTAATGAGGAACGACACATCGTAGCCGTCAACAGGGGCGCGCCGAAGGACGTCCAGCAACTCGGCGCGCTGCATGAGGAACCGTAGGTACATCTTTACGAGCTCCTCCTCCAGCATGTCCTGCTGGCCGATGCGGAGGCTGACGCGCACAGAGTTGATGGAGGGCTCAATAAGGCATCCCTCGCGCTCTGATCGCGAAACGGTCACAGGAGGCAGCAACAGCTCAGGGTTGTCGCGTGTTTCGACCTCGGGCTTGACGTGACGCTCTATATTTTGGCTTGGAAAAGACTGAATGCATAAAGCTCTATTTAACTCCGCTCTAATATTGTTGGTATAAGGTCTTAACGACAGTGCCATGTTGGCTGATTGGAGTGCAAAGAGCTTCTACATTTTAAGCAGCATTCTTCATGGGCGGTTAGGAAGTGAAGGAGCCGGTCCGATCGGCTGCAAAATGGTTTTATTTATGTTCATAACATTTCATGTTGCCGGTTTGGCAATGGCGCAATTTTTACAGCGCTAATTGCTTTGTACGACTCTTGCCGGACACGCTCAGGGCAACAGAGGAAAAGGCTCCATCATCCACAGTCCTGCATTCTTTCAATGTTTTGCTGATGTATACTGTGTAAGCGATTAATTAAACTGCTAATATGGCGAAGGCAAAGCCGAAAGCCGCCGCCGGGAAGAGCCGGCTGGCGGTCCTGGCAGCTCAAATGAAGGCGCAGCCCAAAAAGCCCAACCCGTTTGAGTTAAAGGGTACAAAAGGACACTTTGATACGATGGGCAGGCGGTTGAGTGGCAAGAAGCAGAACGTAATTAAGGCTCGCCAAGAAGCCGTCAACCGGGTACGTAGGGATATTAGTCTTGAAAGGGGACTGATCGATGTGTACCTTATTGTGCGCTTTTTAACGTTCTCCGCCTTCCCTGCGCGCTGCGACCTGCAGAGAAAAAAGACGTTGCTGGTGGAGTACCGACAGCTCCGGAAAGCTAACACCTTCGTCGACAGGCGCTTCGGCGGTAAGCTCCCCTATACCATCCTCCTACACCCCCACTAAAAGCAGCGCCGCTAGATGCTGCGCGCCCCCGCCCTCACCCTTCTCCCACTCGCCTCCCACTCTCGCCAGTTCCCTAGCGTGCTATGCACCTTTCCGCACTCCCCTACCTATGCTCCGAGCGTCCGCAACCGCCATCAAAACTTCAACCGCACCCACCCTCCCACCTCGCAGAGTCGGACCCCGAGCTCACCGAGTCCGACAAGGGCCTAGCCCGGCTGCGGGCGCAGCGCATGAAGGATGAGCGCACCAAGAAGAAACGTGAGTTGCCCCTCCCTTCCGTGCCGCACTTAAGGACTGCCCGTTCCCGTTCCCTGCCCCGTGTACGGCCCTGGCTGTTGAGCTGATGTGCCCTGTTGCGATTACCTGGTGCGCAGGCGGCTCCAAGTTCACTCTGAGCGAGGGCGGTGAGGGCGGCGAGGAGGGCGGGCTGACCCACATGGGCAGGTCGCTGGCGGACGACCTGCGGGACTTTATGGACGTGAGGGGGGCGGGGGGGGGGGGGCGGGGAGGGGAGGGAAGATGCAGGGTGGTGGCGGGGTGCGCACTTTTCAAGGGTCTAGAAGTGGACCTGGCGACTACGCCTGCTGAACTCCCAGTCTCATGCCCCACTTGCCTTCCCAATCCTAGTCCCGAGCACTGCCGCACCTCTACATCGCACATACCTGCTCCCTCACATCCTCCCGCCCGGCCCCCCCCCAGCGGCCCGAGTTTGACGACATGGACGAGGAGCTGGTGTCGGAGCTTGTGTCGCAGTACCACTTTGGCGGGGGAGCGGGCGGGGAGGAGGAGGGGGGCGAGGGGGGGGCGGCAGCCCGGGGGCCGGATGGCAAACCCAAGACACGCAAGCAGGTGGGGGCGCCGGCACTGGATGTGTCGTCAAGGGGGCGGGGGGCCTGGCGCAGTGGTAGTGGGAGAGGCGCGTGGGTTGGATTTCAAGATGGAAAGAGGGCCTCTATGGTTGGGGGGGGCCTCACAGAGTTGCCGGGAGCGCCTGGTGGGTCGAAAGTGGCGCTTCTCCGCATCCAGTGCTGCTCCTCCGCCTTGCCGGCACCTTCGCGTCCTTCACCCCCCCACTTCCCCCGCCCCCACTCCATTCCCCCCGCCCCCAGGTGATGGAGGAGATCATCGCCAAGAGCCGCATGTACCGGGCGCTGAAGGCGCAGCAGCGCGAGGAGGACGAGGCGGCGCTGGAGGCCATCAACGCGGAGTTCCGGGAGCTGGTGCGCTCGGCGGCACTGGCGCGGCACATCAAGCCGCCGGGGGCGGACAAGTGAGAGCGCGGAGGGGGAGGGGGTGGGAGGGAGGGGGAGGGGTGAAAGGGGGGCAGGCCTTGTAGGGGAGGGGGGCGAAGGGGAATGGGAGAAGAAGCCCGTGTGGGCGCACTGCCACATGCAGCGCAGCTCCTTCAGCACGGCACACCTGCCCCCGCGCTTACCCGTCCCCATGCACATCCTTCCCACCCACCCACCCACCCCCTGACCCCACCTACCTACCCCTACCCCCCCACACACACAGGGGCCTCAAGGTGAAGGCGGACAACCCCGATGACGCCGCCTACGATGTGGCCACTCGGGAGCTGGCGTTCGAGGCCAAGGGCGCGGCGGGCGACCGCACCCTCACGCCCGAGGAGCTGCTGGAGCGCGAGCGGCAGCGGCTGGAGAAGCTGGAGAAGGAGCGGCTGAAGCGCATGCGGGGAGGCGGCGGGGAGGAGGAGGAGGAGGGGAGCGAGGAGGAGGAGGGAGAGGAGGAGGAGGAGGAGGAGGGGCGCAGGAAGCGGCGGCGGGATATGCGGTCAGGTGAGGGGGGGCTGCTTGGCGGTATAAGTACGAGTCACAGGTAGCATCCCAGCAGCAGGCTGGGGTTGCTTGCTGTCCTTCCATGCACCCCTGCATGCCTGCTGCTTACATTGCCAGCCGCTAGCTGGCTCTGCCCCCCTGTGGCTCTGCCGCCCACCTCGCACTCCCGGTCCCAACCTGGTGCACCCGCATGCACCATGTGGAGCAGGCGACGCCCTGGGGGACGACTATGACTCGGATCAGGGGGAAGAGGAGGAGGATGAGGATGAGGAAGGGGAGGAGGACGAGGAGGGGCTGCCTGCGGGGCTGTCGGCGCTGGACAAGCGGCGCATGAAGGCGGCGGCTGGGGACCACCCGCTACAGGTGGGGGGTGGGGGGTAAAAAATATGTATAATGAGACACTGACGAAGCAACTGACGAGCTGTATGGGGGTGGGGGGGGGGAGTGCATGCGTGTGTGTGTTTAAGGGTGAGGTGGGGTGGGGTGGGGTGGTGGCTCAGTGGGGTGCGGGGGAACGTCCACATACCGGACTGATGGGGAAGACGCACCGCCCCCAAGACACGTGGATTCTCCTTTCCTACAGGAGGCATGGTTCCGCTGACTCGCCTGCCTGCCCCGCTGGTACCGCTGCCCCCGCCCCCTGCAGGAGAGCTTCCGTGCCATGGCCGCGGCCCTAGCCAAGAAGCACGGGGTACAGGCGCCCAAGAACCCCTTCCTGCAGGAGGAGGAGGACGAGGGCGAGGAGGAGGAGGAGGAGGGAGAGAGCGGGGATGAAGGGGAGGAGGAGGAGGGCGAGGGAGAGAGCGGGAGTGAGGAGGGCGAGGAGGCTGGGAGCAGTGGTGAGGGTGAAGATGAGGAGGACGAAGGCGAGAGCGACGAAGGTGAGCATATTGCGACAGGCGTCACGTTCTTTCGATACCTATACTTGTCTCTACTTGTATGCGTGCTTGCATGCCAGGATGTCATGGGAGCACTCACAGCCCCCCTAGCCCCCTGCTGTCTACTTGTGCACCCGTTTGCTGCATGTTTTCACCCGTCACCCATCCTTACATCAATCTCCTCCCTCCCGATGCCCCGCCCCCGTCCGCCCCCTCAGAGAGTCTGGAGGAGCGACGCAACCCGCGCAACCCGCCCTCCACCTCCCGACCGGAAGCCGAGGCTGCCGCTGCAGCCAAACCCTCTTCCAAAGCAGCCGCCGCAGCAGCAGCCACGAAGAAGTCTGGCGCCACCGCCGCCGCTGCTGCCAAACCAGCAGCAGCAGCAGCCTCCCCCCTAGACGGGCCGCTGGACCTGCCGTACACGATTCCCTTGCCCTCCTCGTACAATGAATTTGCCTCGCTGGTGCGGGGGCGGCCCGCTGAGGAGCTGCAGACCGCCATCCAGCGCATCCGGGCCTTCAATGCGGTCGCGCTGGCTACGGACAGCAAGCGGAAGCTGCAGGTGAGCACTGGGTGTGTGGGGGGGGGTGGGGGAGGGGCGGTTGGGGGGTTGCTGGTTGCATGTATGCATGCGTGTATGCTCCACACCAGCCCGACACATTGTGCGAGATGCAAGGTAATTGTTTGGACCGGGGTGATGAACAGATTCAATCTGTTGCCTTCCTATTGAGCCCACCTAACAAGGGCCTTGATGCGTTTTCTACACGAGATTCCTGACCGGCCGTTCCTAAAAGTCACATTCGTATCACTGTAGTAAACGCATGTACTATGTACTTACGCATGCGGCCTGCCCGCTTTTACACCGAATACTAAGCCCGGGATGATGAACAGATACATTCTGTTGCCTTCCTATTGAGTCCTTTTGAAAGGGCCCTGATGCGTTTTCTACACGAGATTCCTGACCGGTGCCACGCTCTCCTGCTCACACACCATGTTAGTCGGTATAACTCCCAAATGAGGCCCCAAGCAAGCAGCATTTAACATGGCCACTGGCTCGAAACCGCACCTGCGTTTGCACCGTTTGGATCACCCGTGCAATCGCCATGCGGCTTCATTGCTTCATGCAATCCAGCACCGGGTTTGTGGAGGGGCTTTAGAATACCTGGTGCCTGCCTTGTGTGGCGGGTATTCCCGGGGGCTAACCGGGACCCTGGACAGTCGTTGCCCCATTGCATTGTGTCAGCCATGCTAACTCCCTCTTTTGCGATTGCATTTGGCATGCCGGGGTGATGAACAGATTTATCTGTTGCCTTCCTAGTGAGTCCTTTCCTGGACCCTGATGTCTGTTCTACACGAGATTCCTGACCGGCCACGCCCTTCATGATGATTGCTAACAGCGCACTGCATAGCAAGCATCAGCATACCTGCATTCACCGTTTCCCAAGCCCGGAGTGATGAACAGATTCAATCTGTTGCCTTCCTATTGAGCCCAACCAACAAGGGCCTTGATGCGTTTTCTACACGAGATTCCTGACCGGTGCTACCGTGAGACTCACGTTCAACTCTACGGCAGCACTGCAAAACCACACCTCCCCCACACATTGGATTTTCTTATTCTTTTCCCCTCAACACCGCTTCTTCCACCGTGTGTCGTACGCTTCATCACGTGAATCCACAACCCTATCCAACCTCTCATCACCCCCCTGCATCCCTTTCTCCCTCGCGTCTCCCTCCCCCCGCAGGAGTTCTACGGTATCCTGGTGCAGCACTTTGCCATGATTGCCGGCCAGCAGCCCCTGCCAGCTGCCTCCCTGGACGTCCTCTCCCGCACACTCCTAGAAATCACACCGGAGGTGCCGTACTATGCGGCAACCGTCGCTCGCGCGCGCCTCACTCGCATGGCCGACCAGCTGACGTCAGCGCTGGGCGGCGCGAGTGCGCGCGGCGCAGTGGAAGCAGCCGGGAGCTCCGTAACGACAGCAGCAGCCGCAGCAGTGCCCTCCTCCCCCTGGCCGCCGGCTCGTGTGGTGCTGCAGTTGAAGCTGTTCACGCGCCTGTTCCCCACCAGCGACCGGAGGCACCCGGTGCTCACACCCGCGGCGCTGCTCGTGGGTAAGAGAGGGCGGGGTGCTGGGTGGGTGTGGTGGGTGGGGCAAAGTACAGGAGGATAGCCTTCTTGCAACTACCGGTATCGCCATTAACTCGGTTTTGATCTTTTCCCCTACCTTGTCATCCCAGACTTGTCATCTCGTTTGCCATTATTGTCTAATAACACATCACGCCACCCCCCACCCCCCCACTCAGGCAAGTACCTGAACCAATGTGTGATCTCCAACCCGCATGAGGCGGCTGTGGGGCTGTGTCTGTGCGCCCTCATGACGCACATGGCGGGGCCCGCGCGCAGGACCGCACCCGAGGTGCTGGTGTTCCTGCGCGACTGCCTGGCAGCCTACCTGCCGCCCGCAGCCGCAGCCAAGACCTCCACCTCGGCTACCGCAGGGAAAGATGCAGCAGCAGCTGCGGCGGCGCCAAAGGACCCGGATACCTTTGTTCGCTTCCCGCCGGGGCTGCTAGCGTTGGAAGGTAGTACGGCAAAGGAGGCGCCGTTGTTAGACTTGTACGAGGTGCTTGGCAACATGTCGGCAAGTGACCCACGGGTCAGGAGCGATGCGTTTAAGCTGGGGCTGCTTCGGACGGCGTTGTGCGGAGTGCGCCGGGCTGCCAGCCTCATGATGCCCTTGAAGGCGTCCTCGGGTTCCGCGCCTGAGAGTACGGCAGAGGGGGCTTTGTACGACGGCAGTGAAGGCAGCGGACTCGTGTGTTTGGAGCAGGCGGTCGCGCCCTTGCGAGTCGTCCTTGCAGGGCTGCAGAAGATCGAGCGGCGGCTGCCGACGGAGCTTAAAGAGCTGCGGTAAGCAGGGAAAGAATGGGTGCGGAAAGACATCCATGGGTGAAGTACTCAACTGGGAAGAAGCAGTGCACAACATAGTTGAGGCAAAAGGTAACATGCCTTCTTGCATTGCATTGTTTCCAAAACCAACGCCCGGGGTGATGAGCGGGTCCGTGGAAACGCGGATCCGTTGCTTCTTACATTGAGCGGCTGCTACAAACAGGGCCGCCCTGATTCTTTCTACACGAGATTTCTGACCGGTCGTATTATCTTTCCTGCAAGCGCGCATTATGTTGTACAATGCATAAGCATGGCGTTCGGGGCCCGGAGTGATGAACAGATACAATCTGTTGCCTTCCTATTGAGCCCACCTAAGAAGGGCCCTGATGCGTTTTCTACACGAGATTCCTGACCGGCCGTTCCCGAAAGCCACATTCGTATCACTGCATGGGCATGTGGGTAGGCGCATGTGACACAGCCCGCTTGCTTCTGCGTCAATACCAAGCCCGGGATGATGAACAGATACATTCTGTTGCCTTCCTATTGAGTCCTTTTGAAAGGGCCCTGATGCCTGTTCTACACGAGATTCCTGACCGGCGCTGACGTCGTTGCTTTGCTGCCAACCCCATTGTTTCATACCTCAATTCCTTCGGGGTGACGAACAGACTTGATCTGTTGCCTTCCTATTGAGCCTTTCCATGGGCCTTGATGCAACATTCTTACAAAGATTGCTGACCGAAGTTGCAAAAGCAAATAAGCAATGCCCGTGCTATATGTTGTAACCCCGCAAACCCTCTGTCGTGCTAGCACCAGCACAATCCTTCCATGTCGATCCATGGTATGGCGGCGTTTGGTATGATGAACAGATTCAATCTGTTGCCTTCCTATTGAGTCCACACACCTAGTGGCCCTTGATGCAACATTACTAATGCGTTTCTGACCAAACGAGGACAACAACTCACGCCAAGTAGTTCCCGGATACCATCCTCCCACTCCCTGACACCCTCCTCCCTCCACTCACTCACCCCCTACAGGGCCTCGGTGCTCAAGCAGCTCACGGAGGCCTCCGCTGCATGCGTCGCAGCCCGCCGACCCATGTTCCAACCCGGCCGGGCCCGGGCCGGCGCGACTGCCGTACCCGCCGCCGCCGTACGGGAGTTCAACCCACGCTTCGAGGACGGATTCGTACAGGGCCGCGATTACGACCCAGATCGGGAGCGGGCTGAGGCTCGGCGACTCAAGCGCGCCATTGTCAAGGAGCGCCGCGGTGAGGCAGCTGCTGTGCTGGTGCTGTTGCAGCTGCTGCGGGGTGTTTGCGGGCTGCCGCTGTGCGGTCCTACAAGCTATTGTTCCCTCCTTGTTCCTGCTGCTTGCGTACCGGTTTACGCATCATAAGTGCCTTGCATGCCTTCTTCGCCTTGAAACCTTGTCACAACACAAGATTACCCGATCCCCACCCTCAATTCTCTTACCGACGTCTTCCACCCCCATCCCGCGCCCTCCCAGGCGCCATGCGCGAGCTGCGGCGGGATGCGGTGTTCATGGCGGAGGAGCGGGACCGCGAGACAGCCCGGGTGGACGCGGAGCGGCTGGAGAGCGAGCGCCGGTTCTACAGCGAGCTGCAGAGGCAGGAGGCCGACATGCGGAGCGGCGGGCAGGGCGGCATGAACCCGCACCTGAAGAAGAAGGGGAAGAAGTAGTGGGAGGATTGGAGTAGGGTTTGTAGGAGGAGGAGCGTGAGATGTGAACGTATGTGAAGCAAGGAATGAGAGCGTTATGATCTTGGGGGCTTAATATTGTGGGGGCACTGGATACTGATGACGGTTGCTTAGACAGGTGCATAGAGACAGTTGATGGGGAATGCTGCTTCACAGGGGGCAGTATGTTCCTGCAGATGTACGAAGGTTGAGGCTTTAGGTAGAACGTAGATCGTAGATGTGACGTATAAGGGTTTCCGCCGTTGGAAGCCACGTTGGAAGTGCAGGCTAGGTGGCTAGCACAGACCGGTACACGGGGAAGGAAAGGCCGGAGGGATGCATGTGACATGCATTGACGCTCTCCTACATGACCGTCACTCGGTTACCTCCACTTCACCTCCCACGTTAACTTGACGACATCAGAGTTCGCCCTGGGTGAGCGGTGGGCGCCGTGTCGCTGGTCGCTTCGGGGCCCACGCCTCTGGGACCACCTCGGCAAAGTGTGTGATGCCAGGGTGCCAACCCGCACGCCGTCAATGTAAGGCTAGGCTCATGATGAGTTTCGGGACGTGGTTCGTTCTTGGCCTCGACGCGGTCTTCTGGGCTGTAAAGGCACATCTATGTAACAGTGATAAATGATTGCACGTAATTGCAGCTTCACCCCTTGACGGTATTGAATTCATAGCTGTTTGGTTGCTGGAAAAGATATTCCCATGCCGTGCGCTGTGCTGAGTCGTACTGATATCGTACGTCACACATTACCCCACCAGTGTACCGTTGTACGCCATGTGATTACTTCATCTGTCGCACCTTAACATATCCCCTCCCACCCCAACTGAACCTTAGCGCAAATGCACACTTGCTATTATTTTATTTTTTACATTTGCGCATAGCAAGTAAGCGACTTCGTGTTAGTCTCTACCGCTACACACTTGCCTTCTTTACCGTCCAGGGGTGTGCATAGCACTCCCACACGTAAAGAAACACTAGGCCGTTGCGAGATTATGTTACACCACTCTCCTCCTCCTGAAGCATATGTACCACCTCTTTCCCAATGCACGTCAGGATCCACACAAGACACCGCGTCGTGCATGACCCTGCGCGGCACCCTCCCCGTCGCCCCCCTCCGGAAGACCGGAAGGAAGCAAGGAGATTAACTCTACGCACACATCAAAACTGAAAAGCTTTTCTTCTCTTCTCTTGTCTTACAAACGCGCAACTCTTCTGCAGATGACGCACCCACTCTCCCGTTGTCGACTAAACCCTAGAAGCAGTTCTCGTCAACACACACCACGCCATGCAAGCGGAAGCCTGCACGGGTGGATGCATGCAAGCATGCACGCATGCGGGGGTGTTTACGCGCCCAGCTGGGAGGTGGAGATGATCAGGTTGACGCCCACCGCCAGCAGCACCAGCACCAGGCCAGCCCTGCTCGGGTGCAGAGGAGGGTGGGTCGGGAAAGGGGTCAACTGCTGCTGTCGTACTGGGCTTCCACGGAAAGGGATGTCTGGGGTGTAGAAAGGTAAGTATGTCGGCCCCTATGGATAGGTTAAGAGTGGTGCAATTAGTGCCCGCCAGGAGAGGCGGTTATGCGTGTGTGATCTCCATCACATGCTGCTCCAGCTCGCTCCCACCTTCCTAGGAACCCCACCAGACACCCAACCTTCCCAAACGCACATCCCATGTCGCCCAATTCTTTAACGAAAACTGCATCAAGGATGCAGGGAGCACGGAAGCAGGTGCTAGTCTGCAGCCACCCACCAGGCGATGAGGCCCTTGGTGCCCAGCTTGTAGGAGTCGCCGGAGTCGGTCCACAGGTCGGGGGTGTAGATGGGCGAGTAGCCGTCCACGTTGGCGCCGTACTTGTCAGCGTAGCGGTACACACCCATGCCCTGTACCGGCAATAGCGCTTCAGTTTACCGAGGCTGATAAATGACTACTAAAGGATCTGCGCTAACATCCACACTGAGCGTAGTTCGCTCTGCCAACCAAGCTATGTGATACGAACTGATATACATGTGCTATGGAAAGCGACCATAGTGGGTGCTTCATCCGGCGCCGGCTATGGGCAAGGATAGGAGCTCGCAAGCAAAGCCATGCCAACGCTTTGCTAAAAGCTCGCGCGTCCCACCTTGCCCTTGCGGCCAGAAGCGTCCTTCCACTCCTTGTTGTTCATGAACCGGGACTTGCCCATCAGGTTCATCTTGACGACCTCATCCTCAATGGAGTTCAGGCCGACCTTGGTGATGTCCACCTTGCCGCCGCCGCTGGCCAGGGGCTTAACGGTGCGCCGCGAAGACACACGGGGCCTGCAGGAAGGTAAAGCGTCCGGCGTTGAGAGCTGGGTGTGGAAAGGCTCCCAACGACCAGCGATGACGTCGCTATCTTTCCCACTACGCGCTGCTTCTTTGGCTATATTGAAGTATAAACGCTCGCGTTCTCTAACTGCATATGAGCGTTGGGCCTGTGGCGCGCCCGAATCTGCCACGTCGCCAAGGCGCTGCTGAATTCTAGGCCTACCTCAGGGGGGCAACGCCGCGGGGAGCAAGCTGCATGGTGGCCATTGTATGTGGTAGAATGGAACCGTCGTGAGAGAAGGAACGGGCTAACAGCTGGTCCAGAGGCCGCCTCTTGAGTCGCGATATGGGAGGCTGCCGTACAAAGATCGCATTTCTGGGCCCTGCGTCACAAGATGAGCCCTCCAGCCTATTTCCTTCGCAGCACTGATGTTTGCTACTTTGTGACCTTATCCAAAGCTTTAACTTAGTTGCAGCTAGTGCGGGCCTGTGTAATGTCGCGTCGCTCGAATGCGTCGCTCTCAGGCTCATTACGCATACAAAATTTATGCACTTCACTCAGTGTTTACACTTGGAAAGCGCCAAGCTCCGACTGGCAATGAAATAAGCGAGCGTAGCAAACGGTGTTATGTTCCAACGGGGAGCCCTGTCGGGATATCCTGCTTTTGCACCTAGCCCTGAAAAACATTTCTTCATACCGGTACTGAGTCCATAATTTCTTAGATGGACTGTGCATGACTTCAGCCCCGTCCATGCTTCACTTGGAAAGCCCTCGCCAGGCGCGCTCGCACATCACTTTACTTGCCGCCCTAGTAAACCCAACCTCGGGCTACACGCCATCACCTTACAATGCACATGTGACTACAACCTTAAAATTTGACTAAGGTGCTAATTGCAGGATGGCAGTAACTGAAGGCAGTCACCCGTACTCGCCCAGCGAACACAGCAACATCCTGCTGGTGGCTCAATCGCTAGGCCGGTATACCTGTCGGCAAGTCGCCTGGCAGCACTCGCCCTGCATCGTTACTTCCGAGCAGTCAATCCGTTCCCCCACACGTTGTAGGAGCTAGGCATAGGGGGAAGGACACGTTGCCATGATGGAGCCCACCTACCCACATCATGGTACACTATTGGCACACCCTGACCGCCGCAATCCGTTGAGTCGTCCAGCGTTGCACGTTTCCATGCAAGAACCAGCCCATGCACATGGACCTCCCACCTGGCACCTGTGTGATGACCCCGGTGCCACCGCTGGGGCCAGGCGGGGGAAGAGCGTTACACCTGTTTGGGCCGCCGCATGTCCGACTGGTGTACTCAAACTCATACTCAAAACTTGTACGACTGACCCATGGGCCTGTCATGTTATTGCATGTGCAGTTGGAAGGTGGTTCCAGTGGCATGCCAACAGTGGTGTGCCTGCCGGCATGCCTGTAGGAATGGCGCTGTCCGGATGCCTTGCCGTCACATGCCTAGTGAGGGCGGGCTGGTGCCGTTGCTTGGGGCAACGTGGCATGTCCGGTTTGTGGGGTGGGTTGCCTCCGGACAACGCAAGGCCCCTCCTTTCCGGGTATTTCCCACAAGCCAACATGGCTCGCTAACCATGTTTACCCGATGCGCTCAACCCGCTGGGTATTGTTATTATCTCACGTCATGTGCGGGGGCCAACAGACATCCGAACGCAACTGGGGTCTATCGTTGGCCCTCGCTCGACGCATGCGTACATTACTAAGGTATGGCCAAACTGAATTGGAAATTGCAATTGTTTATCCACTTGCGTGTATGCAATCGAACAGGACGTGTCTGGTGGCATTCAGTTCTTGCGGCGCTCCATCTACCATTCACAATAACGAACCAGCGACCCTTTGCCGTAGCGCGTTATCTATTGCACTTCTCAACCTTCTATACACAAATGTGCTGACGTGCTTCAACTTACTTCACACACCTCCTCTAAATGGGCCGTCTATTTAAGCGGGGCTCGCTGTCGTTGATCGACTACGTCGTTTTTCCGCTAGCCGCAGCACTTACTATTTACCAGGCTTCACATTTCCTATCCGGTTCGCGGCCCAACCAGCCGGGTGGTGACGGTTCAGGCCAAACACGATTCCTGTTTGACGACCTGAAGAAGGCTTCTTCAAACAGCGGCGACAAGCAATAAGGAGAGCTTGAGGTTAGTGATCACGGTTACTTTTGATTCTGGCAGTCGTTGTGTGGGCTAAGCACCTACCGCTAGTCCCGGCATGCAAGGCGTGGTGCCGCGACAGTTAATGGAATTAGAGACGTGCTGCAATGAAGGAGTATAGAAGTTCGGTTTGGCTAACCGGAGTTAGGAGCGCTGGGCGTTTATGTCCGATGAGGAGATCGTTAGTCTCAGTGGACCCTGGTCGCCATAGGAAATCCTGTCCTGATAACTCTACGGCTCAATCATACGCATATCTTATCATGCTGCGTTGCAACAGCTATTGCAAATATGCGGGAAAACATACGTGGCGCTGGCAGTAGCTGCATCTTCCCTGTGCTAGCGCCCTGCGCATGCCTTTCCCCTCTCCCAGCACCCTCCGCTGCCCTCCCCTTCCCCTCCCTATACCTGCATGCTGCCACCATCCTGATTACCCCACTCATCCACCGAGACCCTCCCTTTTCCCGCCCCTTCTTCTCCCCTTCCCCCCACGTCTCACCACCACAGGAGAGCCTAGAAACAACTCAGCAACCACCACTCAGCAACACCCAACCTCCAAACCAACGGCAGCAGCTGTGTAGCACCCCCGCCAGCCCACCACCACCACCACCCATGTCCCCCTCCAACGCGGTCCACTACGACCGCTGGTTCCAGACGGCGGATGCGGACAGGGACGGGCGGGTGACGGGCGCGGATGCGGTGGCGTTCTTCGGGCGCTCGGGGCTCCCTCGGGAGGTGCTGGCCACCGTGTGGGAGCTGGCCAACGACCGGCGGCTGGGCTACCTGGACCGGCTGGCCTTCCACAAGGCCATGGACCTCATTGCACTGGCGCAGTCGGTGGGGGGGGGAGGAGGGGAGGGGGGGAGGGAGGATGGAGGGGGGAGGGAGGGGAAGGAAGGGGGAGGGAGGGGAAGGAATGGAGAGCGGGGACATTCGTGCATGCGGGGGCGAGGTACCGGGGCGGCTGGGGAGTGGGACTTCGCCGCACCACCGGCACCGGGGGCGCTGAGGCCGCCACATTGTACGCCACCATAGTGCGCGTGCAGTGCGCGGTAACCCACCCACCCACCCCGCCTCCGCATGCCCAGCCTTTCCGGTTTGGGGCATCTCAGCTCTCTTTGTTCACCCCTCCCTTCCCCCCGCCCCCCCCCCGCCCCCCAGGGTCGGCCGGTGAGCAAGGAGAACTACCTGGCCCAGATCGACTCGGGCGGCTTCCGCCTTCCCGTGCTGGCGGGGCTGAGCGACGCGGAGGGCAACCCGCTGGACGGCAACCCGGGGGGGGCGGGGGCGGGGGCGGGGGGGGAGCAGGTGGGGGGCGCAGGGGGAGGAGGAGGGGGAGCGGGAGGGGAGCAGGGGGGTGTTGCGGGGCCGGGCGGGCCGGGGGGCGTGTCGCCGCATGCCGCCAGCTACTCCGCGCCCCCACCGCCGGACAGCTTCAACACGGGGAGGCACGGTAAGGAGGGAGGAGGGGGGGAGGAATGGGGAATTAACAAGGGGGGGAGAAAAGGGAGGGGCGGTGTGTGTGTGTGGAGGAGAGTAGCGGACAAGGGTTTAGCAGGGCAAGGAGCCAAGTCACATTGCGGCGGGTAGCGCCTCGTCACCCCTCCTAGCCCTCTCACTAATCGCCGTGAAACAAACTCCCATCTTCCTCCCCCCCCCTTGTTGCTTTACTTCTCTTTAATCCCCGCCCCCCATCCCGCAGGCTTCTTCGGCTCCTCCTCCTCCTCTGCCGCCGCTGCCTCCCGCGGTCGCGGCGGCGGTCGCGACGGCGGCAAGAAGCCGGTTCCCATGAAGGTGTGTACCTCTGTGATCGACGGTCTGAAGCAGCTCTACTTCACCAAGGTGCGGCCGCTGGAGGAGCAGTTCAAGTTCGGGCACTTCTTCAGCCCGCTGCTGAACGAGTCGGACTTCGAGGCCAAGCCCTCGGTGCTGCTGCTGGGGCAGTACTCCACGGGTGGGGGGGGGAGGGGGAGGGGGGGAGGGAGGGGGTTTTGCGCTTGAGACTTCTTTGGCATTGGGGAAGGGCGCTCTTGTTTCTTTCTTTGAGCCGCCCCCACATCCCCCCAGCTCATCCTAGTGGTGTTCTTCTTCCCCTCGTCCTCAGCCCTCCCTCCTGCGGTGCGGAATACCCGCCTCCTGCTAACCCCCGCCCCCTACCCCCGCCCGCCCCCCCCCCCGCCCCCAGGCAAGACCACCTTCATCAAGTACCTGCTAGGGCGGGACTACCCGGGCACTCACATCGGACCGGAGCCCACAACCGACCGCTTCGTGGTGGTGGGTGGGGGGTGGGTGGGGGGGGGCCTGGGCGCGTGTTTGTGCAGTGGGGTGTGTGGCACGGAGGGAGGGAGGGAAGGGGAGAGGGAGGGAGAGGCAACCTCTGCACCCATTCGTCCGTTTTTTTTCACAGCTGGGTTTAGCTCCTTTTTGTTATCAGCTTCGTCTCGTCCTCCCCCCCTCCCCCCCCAGGTATTCCACGGTGCAGAGGAGCGCCGCATCCCCGGCAACACGCTGGCGGTGCAGCCGGACAAGCCGTACCAGGGGCTGGCCTCCTTCGGCACCGGCTTCCTGTCGCGGTTCGAGGGCAGCCAGTGCCCCGCGCGGCTGCTGGAGGAGATATCGCTGGTGGATACACCGGGTGAGGGGGAGGGGGGGGATAAAGAGAAAACAATGAACTGACTGAGGGGGGGGAGATGGGGGGAACACGGAGTGTGAGGTCCGCAGACAGGGGGGGCAGAGTTGCTGTTGCCATACTTGATTTGACGGTGTTGGGAGGGTGGAGGGGGGAGCTGGTCCCTTTCCTGCCTTTGCGCTCGCTCCCGTCCACTGACCTGCAGTGGTCTGCTCCTCCGACTTGTTGGTTGCCCCACCCTTCCCCCACCCTTCCCCACCCTCCCTCCCACCCTCGCTCCCTGCCCACCCCCCTGTCCAGGTGTGTTGTCGGGTGAGAAGCAGCGTATCGAGCGCGCCTACAACTTCGTGGAGATCTGCGAGTGGTTCGCCGCGCGCTGCGACCTGATCTTCCTGCTCTTCGACCCCTACAAGCTGGACATCAGTGACGAGTTCAAGAGCGTGAGTGGGGGGCGGGGGGGGGGGGGTAAGGAGGAAACAACTAACTGACTGGGAGGGAGGGGGGAGGGGTAAATATAAGGAAGGGGGAGAGAGGGGGGCTGTAGTGAAGAGGACACCCCAGCTGCTGGCGGGCTGGGGACGGGAGGGGGAGTGTTGCATGTTGGGCGACTCCCAACACCTCCCCATGTACCCGTCGACTGACCAACACCCCCCTCTCCCTCCCCACCCCAGGTGATCAACTGCCTCCGCGGCCACGACGACAAGGTTCGTGTCATCCTGAACAAGGCGGATCAGGTGGACCAGCAGCAGCTGATGCGGGTGTACGGGGCACTCATGTGGAGCCTGGGCAAGGTGTTCAGGAGCCCGGAGGTCTGCAAGGTGGGGGGGGAGGGGGGGGCGGGGGGCTCACAGAGGACCAAACCACACGTGAGGGTGGGAGAAGGGGGAGGGGGGTACGGCGTATGCTGGCTGGAGGAGGTAGTGGGTGGGGGTGGGGGGGTAATGTGTCAGGCGAGGCGGTGACCCCCCTCCCCCCGCACCACCACCACCATCCCCGTGCAACGCCGAGCACCCCCCAACACCCCACCTACCACCCCCTCCACCCCAGGTGTACGTGGGCTCCTTCAACAGCGATGCGCCCATCAACGAGCGAGTCAACCCGTACGGCAAACCCCTGTTCGAGGCGGAGCAGAAGCAGGTGGGGGGGGGGGAGGGGGGAGTGAGAGACGTTGGGTATTCAGCACTGGGCTGGGCTGGGCTGGAATAATGCTTTGCGCATGATATCGTTGCTACTAAAATATACAATACGCAGAGAGGATAGTGAAATGCAGATAATTACAAACACTAAATGCATGTTACAACAATACACGCAGTACTAAATGGCAGCCAATGCGGAAGGAATGTCAACCAGCTGATAACTCCCCCTCCCCGGTGTATCGTGTATGTCGTACCCACCCATCCACTCGCCCCCGGTGGTTGCTGGTCTGGATTGCCTGTTTTGGACAGCTCACATACTGCAGCAGTACTATCTTACAAATGTTACCCTCCCCCCCTCCCCCTCCCCTCGCTCCCCCCCAGCTGCTTGCCGACCTGTACGAGATCCCTCAGCGCTCCACGGATCGCAAGATCAACGAGTTCGTGAAGCGCGTGCGGGCGGCCAAGATCCACATGCTGCTGATCGGCCACCTGCGCAAGCAGATGCCCACCATGTTTGGTCGCGAGAAGGCGCAGCGCAAGCTGCTGGACGACATCGTGTCTAACTTCGAGGAGGTGCAGCGGGAGAACCACTTGCCGCGGGGGGACTTCCCGGACCCGGGGCGCTTCAGGGACATACTGGGCGGCTTCGACCTGCTGAGCTTTCCCAAGGTGGGGTGGTGGGGGGAGGGGAGGAGGGGGGAGGAGGGAGGGGAGGGAGGAAACAGCTGGCTGGCTGTGTGATAAGGCGTCATCATGGTTCGGGAGGAGGGAGCGGGGTGGGTGGGTAGGTGGGCAAGGAGAGGAAGTTGAGGTGAGCTGTGTACGAGGAGGGTGGCGTTATCAGGGGTTGCTTCATGGAAGTCGGCCCATCCCGCCCCACCTGAATCGGTCAAAGCCAAATTTAACAAATGGACAATGGTTGGGAGGGAGGGGCTGGGAGGGGAAAGAGAAGAAGAGGTGCGACGTGAAGGATAGTGGCGGCAGGGAGGGAGGGGGCTGGGAAGGAGGGGGAGAGGGAGGGGGTGGGTGGGGGGCAAACCAGTACACGTGAAAAACTGGAATCTGCTATCTATCCCATGGCCTGACATCCGCTACCCCGCTACCCCCCTCCCCCGCTCCCCCTGCCCAGGTGTCCAAGCAGATGGTTAAGGCGCTGGAGGACGTGCTGTCAGTGGACATACCGCAGCTGGTGAAGATGTTCGACAACCCCTTCCCCACGGGGGCGTGAGGGGCAGGGGGAGGGGAGGGGGGCGGGGGGAGGAGAAAGGGGTGATAAGGGAAGAGGAGGAGGCGAAAGCGGCAGAAACAGAAAGGAAACAGCAACATAGGAGGCGAGGAGGAAGGGGCGGCGGAGGGGGTTACCTGCGATGGGAGGTCTCTCGGGGTATTGGCGTGGCGAGGTGGAAGAGGAGGGAAGCTGAGGGAACTGAGAGGGGAAGGGGTGGTGGTGTCAGGGAGGTGCGGATGCACGCATGTGGTGGCGGTGGTGTGTACCGGGGGGGGGGGAAGGAACTAGCTGACCGCGGTGGGGTTGGTGGTGGTGGTGGTGGGCAGCTGCGGGCCGAGGAGGGGGGTGCGGGAGGCGGCGGCAGCTAGACTGCTGGAGTGGCAGCTGTGTCGCTGAACAGGGGAAAGCCATTTGGTGTGTTGAGGGAGAGTTAGGCCCCACATGGGGCCTCCTAGCGCTAGCTGTGGTGGGGACATCAGGTATGGTTTTGATTGACCCCTGGGTCACTGAGGAGTGCTGACGAAGGGGGATGGAGGGGTGCTGACTGGGCGTGGTTCAACATCAAGCGGCCATGATAAGCCCCTGTGATAGAGCGTTAACGCTACAGTGGCAGGCGTTGGATTTCCGCATGATGCTAACATAGCAAGTCACTAGACGCCTCCCGCGTCTGTCGCATGATCCCTACCGGCCTCCCCCACACATCCGAACACGGGTGCGGGGGGGGTGACTCCCCCGCCGCTACCGGTTCGCTGCCGCCTGCAGCTCCCGGTTGTGACTTGCAGTTGACTTGCAGCCGGCGCCGTAAGCTGTGGCCCCCCTCCATCTGTACTACTATTGAAACAGCAGGTGCAGCCAACCGAACCGCTCGTGCCCAGCCAACTACAGCCATCGAGCCCCGCCAAGCGAGCATTTGGACTGGAGCACACTAACCAACGCAACCGTGCACTGGGGCATTACAGCACTGCATGTGAAGTTACAACGCTGAGAAGGGTGCTTTTCTGAGGGAAGGGCCACTTCGCAAATCTTACAGCGTTGTCGTACAGCACAAACGGTACGACAGGGTGGGTGGGTGGGCCCGGCACCCCTTTCTTGACTTTCTTAGCATGGGGTTGGCAAAGCCGTAATTACACCCCCCCCCGAACTCAACCTCACAAACCCCACATTGCTCTAACCCCAAATCCGCGCTCCACCCCCCCCCTTCAGCAGCAGCCCCCGCCGCCGCCTGCCGCCTTCTTCCACCCCCCACAACACCCGCCCCCACCCCCGCCCGCCGCCTCCTCCACCGCCGCCGCTGCTGCCTGGCTGCCCCCGCAGCATCCGCCGCCCTCCGCCCCCTCCACAAAGCTCTTGGAGCTCTCGTTACCCGCCGCGTACGGCACAAACGCGGGCCGCGACCTGAGTCCCAGCTCGGCAAACATGGCCGCATCCTCATTCCTGTCGTTGTTGGGGGTGGTGAGCAGCTTGTCGCCGTCGAAGATGGAGTTGGCGCCGGCCAGGAATGCGAGCGCCTGGTCGCCGCGGCTGAGGTCCAGGCGGCCGGCGGAGAGGCGCACCACGGTGCGCGGCATGAGGATGCGCGCGGTGGCGATGCAGCGGACCAGGTCTATACCGGCAGCCGGCTCCGCATCCTGAGGGACGAGCGGGGGGAGTGGGTGCGGGGGGGTAAAGAGGAAACAACTAACTGGCCGTGTGCGGGGGGGGGCATGGGGCTTGCTACTGGGTTGCGTTCGCACCGGGGAGCAGCGGGGTGAGCGGGGAGGCAGCACCCGGTCAGCGGGGGGCGCAGCGCAACATACGGTATGCTTCACTCGGTGGGCAGCTCCTGTAGCCGCCCTTGCAGTCCCTCCATTCCCCTCGTACTCCCCCGGTACACCCCTACCACGCGCTCTCCTTCCCTCCACCCCACCTCCCCTCCAGCCACCCAGCCTCCCACTGTTTGCCTCCTCTTCACCCACCCTCCTATACCTGCCGCGCGGCGTCTGCTCCCTACCCCTCCTCTCCTTCCCCTCCCTTCCCCCCTCCTTCCCCGCCCCCCCCCTCCCTACCTGCAGCGGCGTCCCCTTCACCGCCACCAGCCGGTTGATGGGCACACTCTCCGGGTGTGCGGGCAGGCTGGCCAGCTGGTGCAGCAGCCCCACGCGGTCCGCCGGCCCCTCCCCCAGCCCGATGATGCCGCCCGCACACACGCTGATGCCCGCCTCCCGCACCGCCGCCAGCGTGGCTAGCCGGTCCTGGGGGGGGGCGGGGGAGGGGGGGGGAGAGGGGGGGTGAGGACACACAAGGAGGTGGGAAAATAAGGAATTCCAATGTGTGATGTGATAGTGGTAAACTAGCTGACAAGCCCTGATACAAGGAGGTGGGGGGTGCTGATGGAGCTATCCTGCCTCAGTCGCTCTGTCGTACCACCTCCTTCTAGTATTCCCCTTGCTTGATTCTTCGCTGCGTCCCTGCGATGTGTGGAATCTGCAGCAGCAAACCCTCTTACAACGGCCTGCCCCTCCCTCTCTCCCCCCCTTCACCCCCCCCCCTCTTTCGCCGCCCCCTCACCTCATACTTCCTGGTGGTGGTGATCTTGCCGTAGAACTCGGGGGAGGTGTCCAGGTTGTGGTTGTAGGCGGTGAGCCCCGCCTGCCGCAGCTGGGCTGCCTGCTCGGGGGACAGCATGCCCAGCGTGGTGCACACCTGGGGGGGGGGGGGGGAGGGGAGAGGGGAGGGGGGAGGGAGGGGAGGGGAGAGGGGAGGGGAGAGGGGAGGGGAGAGGGGAGGGGAGAGGGGAGGGGAGAGGGGAGGGGAGAGGGGAGGGGAGAGGGGAGGGGAGAAGAACACCCAATGTGTGTGGGGGGGGGGGGGAAGGGGCTCAGTGCGAGCTTGGTACTTGGTACTACCGGCCTTCACCGCCACTGCGACCATCTCTTTCACACCCGCTGTCATGCTGTCATCTACCTCACCCTCCCCACCATTGCGTTCGCAGTAGCCGTCCTCCCCCCACCCGCCCCCCTCACTCACTCCCCTGCCAGGATCAACCACTCCCCTCACTTCCTCTCCATGCCTAGCTCCCTCGTCCCCCTTCGCCCCTGCCCCGCTTGTTTGGATGTTCGGCACGCTGTTTGTGCCCCCTCCCTTTCCCTGCCCCCTCCCCTCCCCAGTTGTTTGCACTCATTATGAAAGTTTTCCCTCCCTTCCCCCCTCCCCCCATCCCCCTCACCTCCATGCCCAGCCCCCGGATGCGGCGGATCATCTCCAGCACGCGCTCCCACTGCCGCTGACCCACCTGGGCACAGCATGAGGGGGGCGGAACAGCGGGTAACGGGGTGGGGTGGGCGGGGGGCGCTAGCGGGTCACACAGCAGCAGCACCTGCTGCTGCAAGGACCGCCGCTCCAAGTCAGGAGCCCCGTGGAACGCTCACCCGTGTGCCGCGCCCACACCCGCCCTCATTTGTTCAATCCCCGATCCACGATGACTGGGCCCCTCATCCCACGCAGCGGTGTCGAGGAATGACCCCACCCACCCCACCCTCGCCGCCACCTCCCTCCACTGCTGCTGCTGAACTGCCATCACACCCGGGCGCCACCCCGCCTGTCTCCAAGGGCTCCAAGGGGGCAGCATCGAGCGGCCCTGGGGGGTCGGGCTGGGTGGCCTGCGTTACGTCCTCCCACCCCACATTCCCTCCATACTCCCCTCCCAGCCCCCTCCATGTTCCCCCCGCAACACCCCCACCTGCGAGGGCCCCCGCCACGCCGCCCCCATGCAGAAGCGAGTGCTGCCCGCCTCCTTGGCGCGCAGGGCGGCCTGCGTGGGCGGTTGGGGACAAGGGGGCTGGTGTGGTGCGTGGTGCAGGGGGGCAGGGGGGCAGGCCAGATGGCTAGGGCAGTGGGGGAGTTGGGGGGCTTGTGCAGGAGGCTGCGATTGTGCTGGTAGTGTGGAAGGGGAAGGGGTGGAAGCGGATGGCTAGGGAGGTATGTCGGTCCTTCCATGACCCTGCGCCCAGCTGCGCCCTCTGCCTCTCCCTCCCTTCCTCCACCACACCAGCTCTACCTCCTCCAATTTTGAAGTGCCCTCCCCGCTCCTGTCAGGACATGCTGCTACCCTCACACCGACCAACGGCACCCAGTAGCGGTGGGACATCAGCGAATCCCACCTGGTAGACCTCCTCTAGGTCCATCAGCTTCTCCGCCTTCAGTCCCGTATCCTTGCTCCAGTGGCTGCTCTGGCTGCAGTAGCCGCAGTTCTCAGGGCAGCCACCCGTCTTAATGCTAAGCAGCGTGCAGCGTTGCACCTGCGCCATCAGTTGCAGCGAGGAGCGTCATCGCCCGGTCAGCAGCCGCCAACGATGCACAATTTCTGGGTGACATGGGCTCTATAATTTGTTTTACAGGATGCGATGACTACCCTTTAGACAGAATTGGCAGCCGGCAACATGGCTCTGTGTAGCCGTTTCATTCTGGACATGACCAGCCTAACCATATAGGAAACTGGAGAATTCATTGTTTGCCTGAACTTTGATTTTATACCCTAGTGACGCAAACGCCAGGAGTTGAGGATGCTGGCTTACCATTGACGGGTCGTTATACATACGATGCACGCTTGCCGCCCGATAAACAAGGTCCAGCAGAGGCGCATTGTATACCTCTGAAACTTCCTCTCGCCTGCAGACGGGCAACAGGGTGTTCGGCAGGCAAGCAAACTCCGCAATCTCGGAAAAGACAAGTCTCACGTCCAGTCCGTGCGAACGACGCCCAGCTCCCTGATCCATCGAGACACGCTAGTGTCCGAGCTCACTGTTTCGGCTGCCTGTGGCTGTGAATGACGGATAGAGCTGCTCGTGGAAAAGGCACATTGCAGGGCGGCCCTGACAGCACCAACGCCCGCCGCCTGCTGTCCACTAAGCAGCACACTGCGAGTAAGGAACACCAACTGCGACATTTTTACTGCTATTGCAGTGTGGGTCGAGACCACGACGTAGGAAGCCCCCACGTAACGCCACTTCTTAGTCGTGCGGTCTACGGCAATTAGGGCACGATCTCGGCGCTACTAAGCTGCCCAATTGGACACAGCACGCCTTGACGAAGCCGCAATGGTGTCGAGGGCATACACTGACTATGCTATGGCAGTTATGTAACGGATTGTTTCTTTTGCTTGCGTACATTTAAACCACCAAGAGTCAGGCTACAACACCCCACACACAATTCCTTTGCCGATTGCATTCAATCGCGAAATGGGTTACGCAGTGAAGCGAACAGGTGTAAGCAATTTGCAGTTTTTAGCAATATTACAGTTCGCCTGGCGCCGCTAATAATCGAACTACCGGATTACCTCCCATAACGCTTGCGCCTAGAAGCTGTTATACTTACTTACGGTTGTCGCAAAGGCTAGTATTGTGGAAGCGTCGTCAATAACGGGCCGGCGAAACGCCTGCAGTACGTCGCGTAGAGCATTGCAGCAGCCATGCTGGAGTTGGCGCAGCAGGCGCTCGCGCGCCTGTCTCTTCATCCTCTTTATGGCGGTGGTTTCTGGGTCGCAATGACGCAGCTTACAGTCTTTTACTACATCGCTGGTGCTATCCTGCATTTCGTCGTTCCTCGCTTCGTCAGTGTTAAAAACATTCAGGTCCAGTCTCGGAAGCAGGGTGAAGTCCAAAGAGATGCCATATACAGCCTCGGTAAGCCTGGATGCCTGAAGATATCACTGCTGGCAGTAACGGTTCACCATGCCACCATAACCAACTCGCCTTCCCTGCGCGTATTCAGCTGCTACCCCACCCTCCTTCCTGAACTCCCTCCCCACTCTCCACCACCTCAGCTCATCGCAGCGATTATCACTGCCACCAATACGCCTGAAGCGCGAGGCCTTTCTATCCGCACGTTCCCAACCCTGCCTCCCTCCCTGCCTCCCCCCCTCCTATATCATTATCACACCACACTTTGGAATTTCTTTTTTCCCCTCCTGCTGCCCTCCCCCACCACAGGGCCCCTAGCTGTCAAGGCTGCCGTGTGGACGGTAGTGGAGCAGCTGCACAGTCGGGGCTGGGGCCTCACGTACGGGGGCCCGGTGAGGGGACTGCCGCAGGTAAGGGGGTGGGGGTTGGGTGACGAGGAGGCGCCGGCGGAGTGCTGTCGTGGTTCGGGGCGGCGGGTGGAGGGAGAGGCGAGAAGAGGCAGGAGGGAGGGGGACAGCTCCGCGGGTTTGGCGGCAGGGTGCACATGAGGCAGCCGGGAATACGCCGGCCGTGGCGGCTTACCACGTCCCCCTCCCCCGCCTAGCGCACCCTGCTGCGCCGTTGCCCTGCGCTGCCCCCTCACCTACATACCCCGCCACCCCTGCATCGCAACCTTACGAGAACGCCGGCCGCGTCCCCCCCCGCACAGCTGGCCACTGCTCCAATGCCCTACGCGCCTTCCCTGCCTCCCTCCCTCCCCCCCGTCTCGCTAATGTGGCTTCCGTATAGTTTTTTGGCACCCAGCCGCTTCTTATCCCCATTGCCTCGCCCCAACTAGCGGGCCTCTCCGGTGTGGCTTCCCTCTGACCCCCCTCCCCCTCTCCCGGCCCCCCCTCCCCCATCCGTTCCCCAGCTGGCCTACTGCCTGCTGTGCGTGTGCCTGCTGGACTTCCTGCACGACGGCTGGTTCTACTGGACACACCGGCTGCTGCACTGGGGGCCGCTGTACAGGCACGTGCACTACATACACCACAAGTGAGGGGGGAGGGGAGGGGAGGGAGGGGAGGAGCTAGAGCTTCTGGCCGGCTGAGCGGTTGAGGGAAGGGGCCGTAGTAGTAGCCGTGTAGTACCGTGCCAGGCGCTGATCCCCCCTTGCGGTCCCCTGTCGCATTGCCTTCGGTTGCGAAGAAACGTGACGGCGGTGCCGTTGGCGCCTTCGACTTCCCCGCCCCATTTGTGGTTTCCTATGGTTTGGCCAATTCTCGACCCCCCCAAGGCCCCGTCCCATACCTCGCAGTCATGAAACCCTCTTTTCCTCCCTCCCTTCTTACTCTTCCTCCCTTCACCACTGGCTCCGCTGCTCCCCATGCCAGTATACCCCCGGGCCCCCCCTGCCTCCCCCTGCCCCCCCTGCCCTCCCCTGCCCCCCCTTGGGATTGGGACTCCAGTTGCTGCACTTTTCCATCCATTCCCCCCTGCCCCCTGCCCCCCTGCCCCCCCCCCGCAGGTCCAAGGCTCCCTCCGCCTTCACCGGCTACTCCTTCCACCTGGCTGAGGCGCTGCTGGTGTTCGCCAACGAGGTGCTGGTGTGCTGGCTGCTGCCACTGCACATGGGGCTACACCGCACCTACCACCTCCTCACAACACTCATACACGAGGGTGGGTGGGCAGCAGAGGGGGGAGCGGTGTGTGTGTGTGTGTGGGGGGGGGGCGGGCGGGCGGGTTCAGAGGCGTGGGGCGTGGGGTGTGGGGCGGGCTTGAGGGGGAAGGTGCTGGATGAGGTGGGCGGGGAGGGAGCTAGAGGGGAGGGGTGTTCCGCACCGGGCTGAGGAATGGCGGTAAGGTGCCATTCAGGTGCCATCGACCCCCTGTTCGCTCCATGCTACCCCTGTCAGCTGTCAGCCGCCTAGCCCCGCCGTACCGCTGCCGTACCTGGCATGTGCACGGGGGCACCAGCGGTACGGGTATCCACCCCTCCAGCCTACGGTAGCACCACCCACTGTCACAGCAGCGGAACCCCAGGAAGCGAGCGCAGCTCCGGTGCCCCCTCACGGTGCCCCCCCCCCGCACGCCCCTGACGCAGGTGGCCATGCTGGCTACGAGCTCGCCCCCTTCATCCCCACCCTGGAGGGTCTCATCACGCTGCTGCTGCGCGGCGTGCGGCCCTGCGCCGCCCTGAACACCGTGCAGCACCACGACCTGCACCACCGCTACCCCACCCGCCACTTCTCACTCTACTTCACACACTGGGACCGGTGGTGCGGCTCGCTGCACCCGGCCTACTACAAGGACCTCTTTTCGTACTTTTGAAAAACTGGTGGTGGTGAACAGCTGGGGTGGTGAATAGCCGGGGTGTGCCGTGCGTTGTGTGCCCCAAGGAACGAGGAACCGGGCTGTGTGTCCGATGTGCGGCCGCCCCTTATCGGGGCGGTTGACACAGGTCATGGGATGTGTTGGAGCAGAGGGGGGGGAGCATGATGGGGGGTGATGAGGAAGACGGGGGCGTTAGCGGCTTAGCTCTTGGGCGTATATAGAGGCTCTAGAGGATTGTGTACGGGGTATATGCCCTGCACAGGATTGCATGGAGGGGTGGTGACAGGCAATAGGGACAGTTCGCACGTGACTCAAAGTCGTGGCATGTGGGTGCGGGGGTTGTGGTGGTGTGACCTCCATTTGGCGGCCGTTTGGTGGCGTTGTGCGGCTAGCCGTGCTGTGTGTCTGATACGAGAGCGGTAAGGCTGCTTCAGAGCGACATTGGGTCGCCTCAGATGCCGGGTGCGTGAGGGTGCGCGCGAGGGAGAGGACACGAGGAGGGTTGAGAGGGGAACAGAGCCTTAGCTGTGAGCCGTGCCGTGTAGGAGCAGGGCTTCGCGAAAGCATAGATGAAGAGAGGAATCGAGAGTGCGTGTGGAGGGGCGTTGTGGGGTTGGCTCGTGGCTGTGCAGCTAATCGTGGTATGATGAGCTGCTAGGGGAGCGCACGCAGGAGGGGTGCAAAGGGGTGCATAGATCGCCGCACCAGGTGAGTTATGCTGGCTTTCCGTCTTCCCGCGAACGAAACAGCGAAATAGCCCAGCGGCTCATGGCGCTGCTGCTGCTGACAGTGGTACGGTGGCACCTGGCTGTTGTGCCGCCCTGTTGGGAAGCTGGCGACGTCCTGGCATATCGGTATGACGGGTGGGATGCATGACCCGGACGTGCAACGCCTTCATCGGTTGTGGGAATGGGTGTATGCGTGTATCAGTTAGGGGCAAGTAGGAGTTCCGCAGAGTCGCTTTGACGCGCCCTGCTGATGTTGAGTGTCGGGTGGTGGTGGCAGCGGCTTGTGGCCACGTCCGCGGACGTTCTCCACTTCTGGGGCGGCTGACTATGAAGGTGACGCGACACCGCCAGAGCTGCTGTGAGCATACCCTACGATTCCAAATGACACACACTGATTTATGTCGCGGAGATTCCGAGGACCGTATCCTCTCTCGGGTAATACCCCGAGGTCTAGTCCCATGTCTTTTGAGACGACGGTGGTTCACGCGTCATCCTGCCCGGACTGCCTTGAGCGTATCTACTGCTCCCCAGCGACCCACGGGTCCCGGGGGTCCTCCATTTCCCCCCTCGAACCTGAAAATTGTAAGCCCCGTTACAGACCTTACAGTCATGATCCCAGGTCCAAACGCCAATCCGTCCATCAAGTTCTGCCTACCACAACGGGAAGCGTGATGTCGGGTAAACGGCGGGGTACACGCCCTGTCTTGCCGTTGCAACTAGTTTTGAGCCGTCACGAAACGGTTATATACGCCTGTCAACAAAGTCCATTCCGGCTCCGCATCCGCCGCAACACGTCACATCCCCCCATCATCACAACATCCCACCACCATTGCAGTACAGCACAACACAACACAACACAACCGCCGACAGTCGTGCCCGCTTCTCCAACTCTTCCCAACGCCGCTTGTATCATCCGCCCTGCATACCATACAACCCCGTGCCATTCCATCACCCTTCAACACCCACACCAGGCTTCCCGCTGCCCCTCCCTCCCCCTCCAGCCCTGCGCAGTGACACCCCTCCCTCGATACGCCCCAACCCCTCCGATCCAAACCCAGGCTGCCCGTCCCTACTGCTCTGCGTTACCTCGTCTTTTCCCCGGTCCTTGACACGCCGCCCCAGCTCCCCCCCCTCCACCTGCTGGCTGGTGGCTCCCGCTGTGAACGTAGCCGCCCCGTCAACCCCAACTCCTCGCTACCCTGCCGCTTCTCACAGGGCTCTTGCTGTGGGGCGTCTCAACTAATCATCCTCTTCCCTATCCCCTTCTCATCCCCAATCCCCTCGTCAGCTACTACACGCCTCCGTGCCATTGCCCCTGTGCCTTCTACCCTGCTCCACCTTTCCCCATGCACTACGCCACCCTCGCCCCGCCTCAATCCTCCTCCTCCTCCTCCTCCTCCCGAGCCTTCACTCCTCCTCCTCCTCCTCCTCCTCCTGTACCGCCACGGCACTACCCGCACCTGTCCTCCCTCCCTCCCCCCTTCAGCTCCTACCGCCCCCCTCCTTCCGCCCCCTCCTCCGCTTCTCCCTCCTCGCCTCCTCCGCCGCCAGCTGCTGCACCCGCGCCATCATCATGTGCTTCTCAAAGTCCAGTGCGTCCCGGAACATCCACACGTCGCTCAGCCGCCCCTCGCTGTCGAATATGTCAACCTGGGGGGGAGGAGGGAAAGGTGGTGGAAGGTTGGTGCGAGGACGCAGGAGGAATGGGAGAGACGGGGAAAGCACCAGCAGCGGACGTACGGCACGGTACGACAAGAGACAGCATGCAAGCCCAATACCCGTGCGAGGGAGACGCACGCAGCTCCCAGGCAAGGAAAGCCACGCATGTGCGTGTTTACTTGTGCTGGACGGGGCAGGGCAACCATGATGCGACCCATGGCGGAACTTCCTCATGCGGTAACCGGTAGTTGTTTCCTCCCCTTTCCCCCCCCCCACCCCCCCCCCCCCCACCCCCCCCTCACCTCCACACACTCGTGCTCCAGAGGCACCGCGTGACCCAGCAGTACCCCACCGCCACCTGCTGCTGCTCCGGGCCCCCCCAGTGTCACCGGCTCAGCGCGGGGAGTCATCTTGCAGTGCCAGTGGCTGAACACCACGTTATACATGGCGCTAGCCGCCACGTCAACCGGGGTCACCACAACGTCGTACTCGGTCTGGGCGGTTGGGCGGTTGGGTGGTTGGGCGGTTAGGCGGTTGTAATGGGACATGGCCCCACATGGGTTCAGAGACGGGTCAGGGAAGGGTGAAGGAGGCCGCGAAGTGCACATGTATCTTCTTATCTACTGCTGGTTGCCCGCCACTATGCACATCCCTGCGTCCAACAAGACATTTACCCCCGCCCAGCGAACGCACTTCCAACCGGCGGTAAGCGAAGGTACCGGTAGACACACATATCGTTTGCGGTAGATATACACAGCAGGTATCCTACCTTGGCATTCTCAATGATGTCGTACACCGTCTCCTTCGCAGCCACGCAGCCGCCGCCCCCCATCATCATGGCCATCGCGTACCCCGTGTGATGCGGCTCGCGCAGCAACCCACCGCCGTCGCCCCCGGCAGCCGCCTCGTTGAAACTCGTGCTGCTGCCGCCGCTGACGACGGGGCTGCTGCCGTCGCGCCTGACACCCATAATGAGTGATGAGGCGTCGTCGCCTGCGTCCGCCACCACCGCCTCGCCCGCCGTAGCACCGGGCCCCACCGCCGCGGCAGCAGCGGCCGCCGCCGCCGCACGGAGACCCGTGGGTCGGTCGCCAATGCTGCAAATGAGCGGTAGGAGCCCATAGGCGTCCCACAGGCGGAAATCCGGTGCGAGGATGGGTTCCAGGATGACCCGTGGGTCTTCCCCACTGCACCTGGCTCGGCACCAGGCGCGGGAGGCGGCAAGCAGGTCGTCGGAGAAGTTGCCCTGAGTGCAGACAGACGAGGGCCATGCAGGGGCGGCGTGGTCGCGGTGTTAGGGGCGGGTAGGGAAACGGGTAGGTGCGGTTTCTCTACAGGTCTGCACCCGCCACAGGGAGGCGAGGCACCTGCACAGCGCCCAACCAGGATCAGCACCAACAGGGTCATCACCTTTTGGAAGCGGGCCACTTGGGACTAGGAGGGCGCGGGTAGGTGGGTAGGCGGTACGACACATGCGTGCGGGTCGCATCACAAGGGGGAAGGGGGAGGGTAAGGGTCGAGGCAGCGAAGGGGAAGAGGGGCATTACAACTACACACGGGTTGCGAGTCAGCGGTACGGCAACACCCAGCCTTGCTACGACACCAACTGCCCCTGGCCGCATGCGACGTATATGAGTTACTGTGCAGCAAGCAAACCCCAACATGCTCTCCTCCCTCCCTCCTCCCACCCCCCTCCCACCTGCTGCACTATCCGCTCCACCGGCAGGTCGCTGCCCACCACCTCACCACCCGCCCGCCCGCCCGCAGACCGCACCCGCCGCGGCCGCACTTGCCGCCCCTCCACCCACTCCTCCTCCACCTCCTCCTCCTCCTCCTCCACCTCCTCCTCCTCCTCCTCCTCCTCCTCCTCCTCTCCCAGCACAGCAGCAGCAGTGTGTCCGCCCCCCCTCCCCCTGCTGCCCCCCCTCCCCCTGCTGCCCCCCTGCGCCTCCTGCTGCCCCAGCAGCAGCGGCGTGAGTCCCTCCCCGCGCACGTCCCACTGCCCCCGCTCCAGCAGCCGAACCACCCGCCGCGCGCCGTCGTCCAGCAGCAGGTCCAGCTTGAGGACCTGGTAGGCGGAGCTGCATGGGGGAGGGGGAGAGGGGGGGAGCGAGGGGAGAGGGGGGAGACGGAGAGGGGGGTAAAGAAAAGAAGCAGGCGCGAAGCTCCCAAAGGGAAGGGGGTAAAGAAGGGGGTAAGGAAGAAGGAAGCTAGGGATGGGGGATTGGAGAGGGTGGAGGTCAGCTGGGACAGCTGCAGCAAGAAGGGAAGGGGAAGGGTTCGACGGATGGACATCTCGAAAGGCTACCAGCCAACCATCAGGGCAAGGAGCCGTGACGGCAGGCAGGGACAGCAGCGACAGCAGCAGCCCGGCTTCAGCCCGCTCCCAGCCTGGAACCTTCCACTCCTCCCTCACCCACCCCTCGAAGGTCACCTAATTTGCTAGTACCATTTAACACATTGGGTCTTCTTCTTCTCCCCCCCCCCCATCACCCTTGCACCCCCCACCCTCCCTCACCGCGGCCTGCCCTCGCTGTCCTCCGCCCGCAGCTCCAGCAGGCAAAACACCGTGTCAGTGGCCTCGTTGGCGGCGCACACGCGCTGGTGCCAGTGGCGCAGCGTCAGACCCGCGGGTCGGTGCTCCGCAGACAGCAGCCGAGCCACGCCCTCCGGACCCTGATGCGGCGGCGGCGGAGGGGGAAGGAGGGTGTTGAACAGGGTATGGTAAGTCAAGGAAACGGATTTAGAGGCAGGACATATGTGGCCGCCGTTCCGCCCCTCGCTCCCCTCCCATACCCACCCACCCCCCAATCTCTCGTGCGACCCGCCAGCAGCAGCAGTCCATGTGCACCCTCTCCTCTCATTGGATACCGCCCCCGTTTCCCTTCCCCTCCCCTCACTTCCTCTCCCTTCCCTTCCCTTCTCCAGGCTCCCTATCGACGCTAGCCCTGGGCCAGGTAAGCCACCCCTCTATCCGGGAAGTCCATGTACCGTACTGGCTTGGCTGATTCGGGCTGGGCGGGTCGGGCTGGCTAGCATGCTGCCCCTACCGTGGGGAAGCCTACATGTCATCACATGGCTCCCTCCTCCTCCTTCTCTTTACCCTTCCCCTTCCCTTCCCAACAAGCAAGGCTCGCTCCGCCGGCACACGACCCGTGGGTCACCCCCCCCTCGCCTGCTCCCTGGTGTGGCCCAGCAGCCCGTGCACATCCGCCACCACATCGTCCTCCAGCAGCGGCCCCAGCCCCGCCAGCACGCGACCCGTGGGTCCCTCCATGCGCCCCAGCATCCAGTACTTGAGGAACTCGGTGGAGGTCTCCAGCAGCTGGTAGGCCCGGTGCGCGTCACTGGGCAGCAGGGGGGGCGGGGAGGAGGGGAAGAGGAGGGTGGGGGTCAAAGACCATACCGAACCACAGGAAACCTCAAGTAGGAGGGGGGGGGAGGGCAGGTAGGGTGGAGGAGGAGGAGAAGCGGGGGGCTGCAGATGGCGAGTGGCGTGAGGGTGGGCTGGTGAGCATAGCAGACCTTTACTACGAGACATGCGGTAAGAGGGCGCTGTTCGAAACAGCTAGGCCAACTACCAATTAATCAAGAAGGTCAAGCGAAACGAGTAACATGATAATGTTCCAAACAACGGCGTGAGTGCCGTCATCTTCGATCAACGGCGTGAGTGCCGTCATCTTCAATCCGTACCCTCAGCAGTCCAACCCACCGGAAGGCCTGCACCACCAGACCCCCCGCACGCCGCCCCGGCCGCCGCGTGGGTCCCGCGGCAGTCGCACCCGCGGCAGCACTCCTCCTCCTGCTGCCGGGTGTGGTTGGTGCGCTGGCGCGACACACCACCGGGATGACAGCAGCCGCGCGGGAGCCAGCAGCAGCTGCCGCCTTCACTGGAGTTGCTGCTGCTGCTGCTCGGGTGCTGCTCTTCCTTTGGAAGGAGCAGCAACTCGACCGGGTTGGGTTGAGCATATTGGGTATTAGATGGTAATCTGCTCAGAAGATAGAAGGCGAACGCTCTTCTCCAAAAGCAATGCTGGATGGGATTAAGAAGTGATGCGATCTATCGTGGATGTTATGCAGTGTTGGGCTTCCTCTGCGGCTATGTGCACAGTGTGGTGTGTAGAGTCAAGAGAACCGATTACGCGTGTGGTTGGGGACGTGGGTGGCGGTCCGGGACGCAGACGACAGCAGCCCCTACGGAACTAACGCCGGGCGGTATTGCCAAGGGGTCCCACAAGAGGATATCGTATTCTGCTTGTTAAGGGTCTAAGCGAAGAATCGTGTTGCTTGCAAGCAGCTTATGCGCAGGGTGGAGCAGATGTGACGAGATTGTTTTGTGTTGTGTTGACGGGATAGAGCGAGGCAGCTCGTCCTTTCCGGAAGCGATTGGGTCAGCAGGATTCATCGAAACCTTGACGCCTTTGGAACCACCGACAGTGGCAGCAAACGCTGCATTGCGCTGGACGTCCCACCAGTCACTACCGCGTCACACCCGCTGTGCAGTGCAACGTGTGCAGCACACCGCTCTGCATGAGCGGTGGTTAACGAAGATTTGAAGGTCTGCTTTCGCAAAACGTGACCCCTCCTAGGCGCGCCGGTGACTCAGCAAACAATACAATCGAGGCAACCTCCTCGGCCGCATCCGGCTTTGTAACGTTACTTGCTCTTCATTCAGCGCTTTTAACGTCCCCACATCATTGTCAGCAGGCGCTTTTCGCTCATCCCTGGCTTCTCAACCAACCTCTGCATTTTTCATTCCAAAGCAATATACCCGGGACCTGCCGAGACCTACAAGAAAGCCCTAGCTAAGAAGATCTGTATTGCTATAATAATTAGCAGCATGGCCGAGGGCTCAGCGGCTGGCGATGTAGCCATGATGGCTGAGGACACCGCCGAGATGGTGGCCGCAGCGGGGGCAGTCAACCCGGAGGGCGCGGGAGGCCCTGCCGCCGGCACCGCCCCCACCTCCCCCCTGGAGGCCGCGCGGGTTACCGTGGTGAACACATTCCTGCAGGACATGTGCTCCGGACTCAACCGAGACACCGGACCCAAGCTCACGCCCGATGATGTGCTACAACTCGCCAAGTAAGACTCTGACTGACCCACGGGTCACGAGAGCCGTGGGTGGCGGGAAAACATTCCTCGCACCCCACACACACAAACACACGCACCCTTAGCAGCGAAAGCAGCCCACCTGTCCACCTAACTAGGGAGAGTTAGTTATTGCTTGCGGTACTAATAAGTTTCCTGCCATTGTAATCCTTTGTCCTTTGTCCTAGGGTCGAATGCGCCCTGCGCCCCCATCCAACCCAAGGGCCATACATGTATTGTACAACCCCACCACCGGTATCTGTACCAATACCATCTCCACGTTTCAAGCAGTCCCTTCCGTTCGTCTCAGGATAGCACTGCCCCCGTCCATACCACCTACCCCTCCTCCCAACACCTGCTTTTCCATCATTATATCATTCTTTTCTTACTTACCCTTGAACGTGCTCAGTCCGCCGCGACCCACGGTCCCCCCACGTTGCTCCCCTGTTGTAGCTCGCAACAGCGCGCTAAGAAGCCATCGCACATCGGTAGATGCCTAGGATGCTATTTCCATCCTACACCCCCCCCCCTCCGCCCCCACCCCCCCAGGGCCCACCTGGCCCCCGACGCAGTGGTCCATGTGGACGGTCTGCTGCACTCGGTGCCCCCCACACGCGGCCCCCAGGCCTTCCTGGACTTCATTCAGCAGGAGCGGGCGGCATACCGCACGGTGAGGGCGGGCGGGGCGGGCGGGCGGGGAGGGTTGGGGGGTGAGCGCGACACCGGGGCCGGTAGGTGCAGGTGCCGGCAAATTGGCTGAGCTTGGTTATTCTGGTTGCATCTGGAATGTGCGGTGTGGTGGGACCTCCACATCCAACCGTTCGCTGCCCATTACTTTACTGCAAGACTGCCTTGCCGCCCCTCCTCCCCTGTAGCCCCTTACACGTACGACAACCAACTCCATGTGAACATGACCCTGCCTTGCCACCCGGGTGCTGTTGCTCCGGCGCCCATGCAAAGCTACATGCATGCGACCCCCACTCCCCCACCCGCTGCTGGCTGTCTGTGCCCTTCCCCGTCCCCGTCCCCCACCGCCCCCACCTCAGGTGGGTTTGGACACGCTGTTGGTCGCGGTGAGCCCGGCCGGCGAGACGGCGTTCGCGCTGTCGGTGTTCAAGATGAAGAACGTGGGGCCCTGGCATGGCCAGGAGGCCACCCGCAAGTAAACGAGGGCGCGAGGGGGGTGGAAAGAGGGAGGGGTGGGCCCTAGGGAAAGGAATGGTACTGGTTGGCAGGTTGCTGCTGCTGCTGCTGCCTCGGTGGTTGTCGGATAGTTCCCACAAGCCAGCGTGCTTTCGCGTTGTGTGTGAGTTTCGCGTTGTTGACCGCTAGTCGACATTCCATTCCATGTGGTGGCTTTGTAGTGATACAAAGCGGGGCCTGACTGCCGAATAGGCTTGCCCGTCCCGACCTTGTTTGGGTGTGCTTGCGTCGCTGCTGCCCCTCTCCCCCCCCGGCAGGGTGTCCCAGGGCGTGCGGATCGACGAGCTGCGCTTCAACGAGGCGGGCCAGGTGGTGGAGGCCTGGTGCAACAGGCAGCTGTTCGAGGTGGGGGCGTGAGAAGGGGGCAGCACGCGGAGGGAGGGAGGGAGGGACCTATCGCTGCATGTCCCACGGGTCACTGGGATCCCCGCAACATGTGCCGATTGGTTGACCCCGCCTACCGGTGCCGGTACCCCGCCTCCTTCCACGTTGTCTCCCGCGCACAACTGGACGGGCCAAACTGCCAGCATTCCTGCCCGTCCGCCTAACCCACCCCATTCCCCCCTCTTTATCTCCGCCCTGGGCCCCCCTCAGGAGGAGCGGCAGCTGCTGCTCCGGGAGCCCGACACCCACCACCCCGCCGTCTTCGACCCCGCTCTGCTGGTGCCGGTGCCGGTGGGCGAGGCGGGCGGTGCGGGGGGGCTGCTGGCGGCAGAGCAGCTGGTGCGGGTGGCGCAGATCTGGGCCGAGGTAGGGGCGGGGAGGGGGGAGGGCCGAGGTAGGGGCGGGGAGGGGGGAGGGCCGCTAGGGGCGCCGCTGGGCTGGAGCAAAAGACAGTGTGGGGTCATGGGGCCTGGCGAGGGTGTGAGCACCAACAGGGTTTGCGGGGTGTCGTTGTCTTGTTGCTGCTCCTGCTCCTGCCTGTCCCACCTGACCCCCCTTCGCGGACCCCCTTCCATCTACTTAACACAGTGCATACCTCGGTCCCCCCCCCCACCTCCACACACACACCCCTGCCGTCACCTCCCATGCCAGACCTGGAACCTGTCAGCCGCCGCCGGCCCCCCGCCCGACCCGGACTCCCTGGACGCACTCGCCGAGCCCGACTTGACGCTGCTGGACGGGCTGGGCTTCACGGGGGACAGCGCGCAGTCGCATGCGTACACGGTGCGTGAGAGGCAGGGCGGGGGGGGGGGCGGGGGGGCGCAGGGGTGCAGGGGGAGGGGGAGGGGGGCAGGGCGGGGGATTGGAGGTTGAAGCAGGGGAGGATGAGGTTGGTCGGGTTAATATCGGCAGCAGTGGGGGTGGGGCCAAGGTGGAGCAGATACAGCAACCCAACCTGATGCCCCTCACCCTCACCACCCTCCTCACCCTCCTCACCACCCTCCTCACCCTCGCCTTTCACCACCACCCGCTCCCCCCACTCCCCACCCAACAGTCCATCAAGAGCCGCGACGACGCCAAGCGCGTGCTGCTCACCATGTCACAGCGGTACGACATCGACGAGGTCGTTCACTCCATCGCCGCAAAGCCCGGATTCAACGCCGTCTTCGCGCACTGGCGCGCCAAGATGACGCCGCGGCCTGATGCTGCTGGCGGGGCCGCGGATGTGGCGGCGGCGGCGGAGTCGACGGCGGCGGCGGGCCCATTCACTTCCGAGGCGACGGATTTGCTGATCTTTTCCCCGGCGAGTGGTAAGCTGAAGGCGGTGTTTCAGTTCCGGAAGCCGCTGGGGTCCGATCGCAGGTTTGTGTTGAGCGACATTGCGCCGGCGGGGATGGAGGCTGCAGGCGGCGGCGTTGTGGAGGGGGTGGCATGAGCGGTGGGGGTGTAGAGGGGAGTCGATGGTATTGCTGATGATGCGGGGATGACGATGTGAGCGGAGAGGAGATTAAGCGGCGCGGAGAAGCAGCAGAGGCTTGTAGTTGTATAGGGATTTGCGCAGTTGGTGGGGAAGAGAGGAGGGTTCTGCAGCTGTGGATGGAAGGTGATATAGGTCATTTGACTTTGCACTTAGTAGTCAAAGATGGGAACGTGCAGATAAGTGTAAATTGTTTTGCATAGAGGGAAACAGGAAGTAAGTGTTCAGGGTAAGTGAATTTCATACGATAAGTTTCATGCAGTTGATGATGGCGTGTACCATGGACGCGGGCAGCGTTGCTGGGTTGTTCAAAGTGTAGCAATGTTTGAGCGTATGAGACACGTTCAACGTTTGTAACGAGCAGGTTCCACGTATGGACCATGGTCCCTAGGACCATAGTGTAAACGTGCACGTCCAGCACATGGGTCAACTGTACGGACTCCCAGAGCTTCACAGCTTCTGCAGCCTGCCAAAGTTACGCCCGAACCTCTGGCAAATAGCTTTTTCAATAACAGCACAGCAATTTGTTCGTTCGGCAGAAATAAACTCCACTGTCAGCTCGTGAGCGGGTTGCACGTACGGCACGTCGATTCGTCAGACTCGCTGCGGGCCCCGCTGCTGCTCCTAAAATAGGGCAGACTTCAGTCTATACGTGACTGCACAACCTACAGGTCGCACGCACGCGATTATCCTTTTCATTTTACCAGTATGTGGGACGCTTAAAAACGTTTGTCGCATCAGCTGCGGCACATTTGCTGTTGCACGCTTTCTGCTTTCCATCATCACTGTGACGATATCCTCATATTGGTCTGCAATTTCGGCGTAACGCTTCACGATAACGCTTGCGACATTAGTGAGTGCGCCAATCTGCTAGTTCCGGGACGCAACCGAAAATTCTACTGTCTAATAACTGTAGCTTTACCTATCGTCCCTTCACTTGACAAACGCCTGCTGCGGCACATTCGCGACGGTCGGAAACCCCCATCACGCACATCCAGCAACGCCATCCGGCCTATCTTGAAGCCTGCATTCCGACACACGGCTCACACACGGCTCGTCTGCTCCTTGCAAGGAGCTACGGCGGTTGGCTGCGACAAGCGGCCTTAACCAGGACACTGACATCATGCCGATGAGTCTGCAACACCCCCAGCTGGCCCCCAGAAGCTCAGTACGAGGCTCAGCCATGCCTCCTGCGCTTGTGAAGGGCTACCTAGGCCCCGTGCATCGCCCCTGTTTGCACCCTAGGGCGCTCCGAAGGGCGCTGTTGCCGCCTGTTGCTGCTGCTGCTGTGCCTCCCTACCGCAGATGCAGCGCCAGCAGCAGTACAGGCGGGCGGGCCAAACCCAGTCAGCAGGTGCTCTCCAGGCAGCAGAGCCCACTGCCGGCTGCGTCCACCCGTCCGTCAGCCGCAACAGCAGCAGCCGCTGCCGCCGTGACAGCCACAGCCCGTGACGCAACCCCACCCGCCACCTCCACCTCCCTCGCCGCCGCCAGCCGCCGGCGCTCCCTGCGCCCCTCCTCCCCCCTCCAAACAACCGGCCTGTGTGTACCGCGCAACACCACCAGCACCCGTAAACACCCACCCACCTCCTCCACCGTCACCTCCGCAGCCCCTGCCGCCCTGACCACAGCTGCGACCGCTGTCTCCCTCCCGACATGCACCACATGCGCCACCACCGCCACCGCCACCACCGCCGCCTCCTCCTCCTCCCTGGCGGGCCTGCTGGCGGTGCTGCTGGGCTACGGCTGCCTGGTGGGGTCGTGCTTCCGCAGCGTGCCGCAGATCGCCGCCATCCTGCGTGCGGGCGGCAGCACGGAGGGGCTGTCCCTGGCGTCCAATGTGGTGGAGCTGGCGTGCTTCACGGTGACGGTGGCGTACAACGTGCAGCAGGTCAGGGTGGGGGGGTAGGGAGGGCAGGGAGGTCGGGTGGACGGCTGAGGGGGCGTGTGAAGCAGGAGGAGGAGGAGTGGGGGTAGGGGTGACCACACCGAGGATGTTTCTCCCTGGCCTCCACAGGGAGTAGGTTTTTCCTGATTTTGCCGGCCTAACCCCCTCCCCCTTTCCCCGTACTCATACACCCCCCATCGCCCCACCCCTTGTGTCCCAGGGTTACGCCTTCAACACGTACGGCGAGGTGTTCGCGTGCTGGATTCAGGACCTCATCATCGTGGGCCTGATCTTCCGCCACATGCGGCTGCCCGGCGGCCTGGTGGCGGCGGCCTGCGCGCTGTTCGCGGGGGCATGCGCCTGGCTGGTGGGGGGCGCGTGTCCGGCGCAGGTGAGCTGGGCTGGGGGCTGGGGGGCTGAAGTAGTGAGGGCCGCGGTCGGGTTTATGTATGGTAGGCGTAAGGGCGGTTGGTTAGCAGGAGCGTGTGGCATGTCCTGCCCTCTCTCTCCTGCTTCTCGCGGGTTCGTTTGCCTGCGGGGGACATGCCATGCCGCGGACCTGGGGCTCTCCGGGGCAACACGTGTCCGACGGAACAACTTCCTCCCCGCTGCCCCCTAGCACCCTTTACTCCCCTCTTCCTTCCGCCCCCCCTCCCCCTCCCCTGCCCCCTCCTTGCAGCTCCTCTCCGCCCTGCAGCTGAGCACGGTGGGTGTGATGGTGGTGGGCGCGCGCCTGCCCCAGATCGTGCTCAACTTCCGGCGGGGGGACGCGGGGGTGCTGGCGCCCGCCACTTGCGCGCTGAACGTAGCGGGCTGCCTGGTGCGGGTCTTCACGACGCTGGTGCTCACGGTAAGCGGAGGGGCAGGGAGTGTGTGGGGAGGGGCATGGTGGTGACCCACGGGTCAGCAGCAGGTGCTGTATGCTCTTCGGTGTGGGACGTGTTCGCCTGGTGTAACCCTGTCACCCTGTTTTGTCTGTAGGTGCTGCTGCTGGTGCGTGATGCTATTGACGTCAGTGCCGATGTACGGCAGACATGATATCAACATCAACTGCCAACTGCCATGCCAACGGCCACTCCCTGATAAGTGGTAACACCGCCCCCCGCTCCACCCTGCTCCTCCTCCTCCTCTTCCCACGCAGCGTGACGTCATCATCCTGGGTGGCTGCGTCACCCAGCTGCTGCTCAACGCCATCCTGCTCTACCAGTCCATCGCAACCCCCGGCAAGCAGCTGGCAGCTGCAACAGCAGCAGCAGCACCAGGCAGTGCTGCTCCCGCTGCTGCTGCTGTCGGCCCCGCTGCCGCTGCTGCTGCTGCAGTGGTGGCGGCTGCAGACCCGCCCCTGGGTGGTACTGGTGCGGCGAGGTTGGGGGGCAGTGGTGGGGTGGCAGGCGGCGGGGAGGGGCCCACGCTGCTGCCAGCCTAGTGACATGGTGCGTGTGAGGAAGTTGCGGCATGGGGGTTGGGTTGGGATCTGAGCATGTGTGGGTGGCTGGGTATTGGTTGTGTAAGTCGGTATGTGCGGGCGGGGCAGGGAGGCTGTGTGTGAAGTGTTGCCGGAACATGTGAACGCGTGGCTAGACGTGGGAGGAACAAGTTAGCCAACCATATGACAAGGCTTCACCGTGGGGTGATTGACGAGGGTGAGCTGGGTCGGCTGGGTGGGAGTACGGCTGGGTGCTTTGCTCGGGTACATGTGTACTTCTTGCCCACCCTCGGGGTTGCACATCTGGATACGGCGCTGTGAAGGAGTACTGGCATGGAAGAAGGATTTGCGATGCGGTGCTGGGGGGTCTGGCGGCGGTGTTTAGTTGAACGATTTCGGTAGAGTGATGGGGATGAGCGGGGCTGGTCTGGGGCGTGCGCAGGCGTCTATCCTGCTTTGCGCCATCGTAAAAGACGCGCGCCACGGGCCCTGGTGGCGGAGATTGGGGGCAGGAACACAGAAGGTGCACTGAGCTGCTGCATACGGTACGGCTGGGCATAGACGCACATGTGTATACCGTTATGCATCCATTGGTGAATACGTGGCGGTGGATTGGGGCATTGCTGTGGCTATTACAGTGCATCATGAAAACCGCCGTGTGTCTTGAGCCGGCTGAGCAGTTGAGCAGGTTTCGTATTGTTCGCTCGCACGTACGGCAAACGTGACAAATTGCGAGGCTGTTACTGCTGGACTCGCACCTCATGAGGGGTCGTGAGGGGTCTTGGGCAGGCCTAAAATGCGTGGCACGCACAGCTGTACGGCAGCGCTTACAGGTTGTGCTTGCATAGTTTGGGCCGACCAAGTCATATGTGCGGGTGTTGTCTTTGGTTTTGGTTCTTATTATATCGTTGGTGCCTAAGATATAGCCAACGGGCGGTGGTCCGGGTGGATGCCGCCTGGCAGCCGCCACCTGCAAGATGGACGTCCACACGTTGTGGCGGGTTTGTTAGTCATTAACATGTGGGCGCCGGGTCGTCCAGTGCACAGGGCAGGGGCCCGCATGAAACGACATCGGCCCTGTCTGAACATGGGCACTCGTGTGAGGAGCCTCGACAAAGACCACTGCAGGGGCATGGGTGGTAGAGGTGGAAGGGCGGTAGGGGTGCTTGGCCCTAAAACCCTCATCGTCCAACCCTAGACTGGTACCGGTGCCAACCGTGCGGTTGTGGCAGACCACACCGACTTCGCATCGTGACTTTCCAGTCGCTGATGAGAACGGAGTGCTATTTGCTGGACAGCTTGAGTTTGTGATAGCAAGAAGGTCGCAATGAACGGTTCGGGAAATGAAGTGGGCCTTGCGAACTAAAACGTCGTTGGTCCGAGCCTCTAATTCTCCCGAGCTCCAGTCCCCCTCTGGTACAATGAACCTATACAACACGGCACGTTGAAGTTCTGTTTGTATTTTTCCTTGAAAGCTTTGCCAATAACTGCCGTTCCTTGAAATAGCTTTCCAGGTCTCATGCTAGCTAAATAGTAATCCCATTCAATGCAAAGGATTATGCGTAGTCGAGTTGCGGTTGCTGAACCAACGGCTGCGCATGCAAGCACACGGCAAGGGCCTACGCGCGTATTCTATGGTTGTAAACAGCAGCCCTCTGGTCATGGATCAACCCCGTGTTGTGTGGCCGCACAAATTGGCGCTTCTGCAGCTGTTAGGAGATGCTCGACGTGTTGCGCCACCAGGTTAGCGGTAATGTCGTTATGTGTCATCTACGCCCACCGTCTGGGGCGTGAATGCCCGTATTTGTGACGTTCCCTGGTACTTTAGCTACGTAAGGCATTCTCCTCGCTGTCGTGAAACGTGTTGCAGCACCGATTCGGGCGGAGCTTCTTTCCACCACCCTGGGGAGCTGAATTTGAACCTTCGTGAATATATGGTGCGGTTCGCATGGCCATACCCTGTCAAAGCACGGATGAGAGGTCATACGGTCGAAACACCGCCCTCCTACCCTTTTCAGGTTGTACTAGAAAAGCCAGTGGGCCTTACGTTGGCCCCGGACCCTTGGACCGGGCAGGTGGGGCCTTGCGGGCGGTGGGAAGCGGGGTGAGGGGCAACGGAGCGCCTTGCCGCTCCTCCATATCCTGCACCTGCGACCCACTGCGCGTCATCCCCACTGTCGCCGTATCGTTCTCTCCTGCCCCCCTCTTCCCCGCCCATTCCCCCTTCCTCCTCCAGATCGTGGTCCAGGACGTGAAGCCCGGCTCCCCAGCTGACACGTGCGGCCTCATCCAGGTGCGGGAAGGGGCGGGAGGGGCGGGGGCTGAGTTGGAGAGATCCCAGGGAAGCGGGCATCGAGCTAAGGAGGCTAGCTGAGGAGGAGCTGATGATACGCAAAGCATCATCAGCTATTCCCTCTGCATCCGCCCTCCTCTGCCGGTCGACGGCAACGCCCCTCGCGCACCCCCCCTTTCACCCCTTCCCCCTCCCTGCCCCCACCTTCCCCCAGGTGGGCGACGTGGTGGTGCGGTGCAGCGGGGTGGGCGGGGAGGACATGGCGGCGGCGGACGACATCCGGGCGGTGCGCTGCGCCATCAGCAGCCGGCTGGGGGACGTGCGGCTGGTGCTGCGGCGGCCGGGGGGGCCGGCGGGCGGAGGGGGAGGGGGAGCAGGGGGACCGGCAGGAGGCGAGGGAGTGGCGGCGTGGGAGGCGGGAGGCATGAGGCCGAGAGCGGCTTGGTACTGCGGAGGGAAGGTAGGGAGGGTGGTGTCTGGGCGAGGCTGTGGGTGCGGCATGCACACGTGGACAGGCAGGGGAGGCCTATCCTTTTCCACGACCCCCTCCCACCCTCCTCCCCTCCTCCTCCTTCCCCCCGCCAGTCTGGAGTGGCCAGCCGGGGGCGCGAGGGCATGCAGCTGCCGTACACCTTCCACTCCGCCACCCAGCAGGAGGAGCCCGCGCCGCCGCCGGAGCTGCCGGGGGCGGGCAGGGGGCTGCAGGTGGGGGCGGCTCGGGGGGGGGGTCGGGTAGGTACGTGAGGGCCGGGCAAGGCGGTGTACACGCCCCGATTGCTCGAACAGAACGAAACCCGTATCCGCCCGCCCCCCACCTCCCCCCCTCCCTCCGCTGCCCCCCACCCACAGGTTGCCTTCCACCTCACCCCGGGGCCCCCGCCGCCACCCTGCCGCCGGGCCCAGGCAGCAGCAGCCGCCCTGGCCCGCCTGCGCGGGGAGCTGCGGGAGGCGCGCACCATGCAGCCGCTGGACCTCGCCGCACTGCCTCACACGCACACGCATGCAGCCGCCCCTGCCGCTGGCCCCGCGCCGCGCGGTGTGCAGCCCCCCCGGTGAGGATGGCGGGTGTGCCGGTGCGGGTCCGTGTCATCTTGGCATGCATGGCAAACAGTACCGGCCGTGTAGCTCAGCCCTAACCCTCGGGCCCGTCCTTACACCTCCCCGTCCTGCTCCTCCTGCCCTGCCCTGCTTCCGCCGCCTCCACAGCCCACCTGCGGGTGGAGGGGGACCCGCCGGCTTCCTCCTCCCAAGCACCTCCTCCTCCTCCTCCCGCTCGCCCGCGCCTCCCGCCCCCGCACCTCCCTCCCTCCCTGCCCCCGCCCCTGCCGCCCCCGGAGCGGCCCCACCGCCTCCCCGGATGCCTTCACCCACACCCGCCGGACTGGGCGGCAGCAGCAGCAGCAGCGGCGGCGGCGGCAGCGGCGGAGCCACCTTGCCGCCCCCGCCCCCGGTGGTGGATGTGGTGGCCCCAGTGCCCTGCACCGCCGTCAGCGGCAGCCCGGCATTGTCGGAGGGGGGGTGCGGGGGCGGTGGCGCAGGAGGACTGGGGAGGGGGCTGGACTCCAAGCAGGGCGGCGCAGGTGCTGCTGCGGCGGCGGCTCCATGGCCCTCGGAACGCCGTGTAAGCAGCAGCTGGTCTGGGTGGGGCTGTGGGGGTGATCCGCCCTGACCCGCGCTGCTCCTGCCGACTCACTCCTACCAGCTGCTCAGCTGCCCTGAGTCCTGCCGCGCCAACTGCCGCCCCCTCCCCCTCCCCAGATCGTCACCTTCCTCCCCTGGCTGCTGGTGAGCTGCGGGCGCCTGGAGCCGCGGCACCTGCTGGCCATCGCCTCCAGCCGCTCGCTGGGGGCGCTGCTGGAGCTGACGCTGACGGCAGCAGCAGCAGCAGGGGGGGAGGGGGCAGGGGGGCAGCAGCAGCCATCACAAGCACAGCAGCTGCAGCAGCAGGACGTTTCAAGGCAGCAGCAGCAGCAGGGGGTAGTGGACACACGCAATGGTGGTAGCATCGGCAGTAGCAGTGCCAGTGCTGCCAGCAGCAGCAGCAGCAGGGGGCCCAGCAGCAGCAGGTGGTACCTGGGGGTGAAGGGCAGTGATGTGGTGCTGCATGCGTCGGACGCGGGGCGAGTGTCGTACCTGGCGCTGGCGGCGGCCGCAGCGGCGGCGGGTGGTGGCAGCGGCGGCGCCAAGGCCGCGGATCGCAACGATGGCGCCCTGCCACCCGCGGCAGCAGCTGCGACGCCGCCACCCCCCGGCTCCGCCGCCGCCACAGCGGCGTTACTGGACGCGGCGGTTCGGGATTCGTGCTCCTCCGCCGCCGCTAGCAGCCGCAGAGGCAGCGGTGAGGGCGCTGCCGCCAGTGACGGCGGCGGCAGTGGTACTGGTGCCAACGGATTCAACGGCCGTAGCGCCTCGCCCAACACCAGCCGCCCCCATACCGCTGGCAGCAGCACCCTCGCGCTGCTGAACCGCAGCATCTTCCTCAACCTCCGCCCCAACGTCCCCCCGCCCTCCGCAAGTACCGGCTCCTCACCTGCCCCTCCCTGCATCGCCACCTCCACCGCCTCCTCCTCCTCCTCCTCGCAGCACCCCCAGCACCCTAACCACCACCACCCTCCGCCCCCGCCACCCCACCAGTACGACCCGGCGCGGGTGCGCCACCTGCTTCACGCCGCTGCCACGCTGCAGCGCCTGGCCTTCCGCCGGCAGGGGCGCATGGCTCGGGCGGCGGCTGCGGGCAGGCGGGCGGAGGCGTGCTGCGTGCTGGTGCAGTGCGAGTGCGAGGGGGGTGAGGGAGGTGCGGGAGCGGGAGGCGGCTGCATGGCCGGGGTCCTGGAGGCGGATGTGGCGGTGCTGCTGGCGGGCTGGCTGCACTGGTATGGAAGGCTGCCGCTGCAGGTGGGGGGGAGGGGGGGGGCAGGGGGCTTGGGAGGGGTGGGGTGAGAGGGGTGGGGTGTAAAAGTTGGGGTGGTGGGTTGGAATGGGTTTGTTATTTAGTAGCGAGGGTGTGCGGGACATTCAAACAGAGGGCCGTGGAGGCCCCCAGCCCTGCCTTCCTGCCACACTCACAGCTGTGCTGGTCACCCGGCCCCGCTACCCGCTTGCCCGCTCTCTCGCCACCGACACACGCCACCCCCCAACCCGGCATCCCCCTCCCGCTTGGCACCTCTTCCCCTCCTGCAGGAGGCTATGCTAGCTGCGGAAACCGCCATGGGGGTCACCGTGGACCAGGTGGGGGTGGGGGTGGGGGGGGGCTGGGGGGGGGTGGAGGACCTCTTTCCGCCCATTGGGTATTTGGGTTGCATCTTCCTTCCTGGAGTCATGTCTCGAAATGGGACAATCAGTGCATGAGTCGGGACATGGGATTGGGACGCCAGTTGCTTCACTCACTACCTAATCCCCTCCCCCTCCCCCCCCAGGGCCTGCTTGAGGCGGGCACCTCCGCCCTGCTGGCGGGCGCCCGCGAGCGGTGCAGCCGGGTGGTGCTGACGTGGAAGTACGGCGGGCTGAGTGCGCAGGTGGCGGGGGACGTGGTGGGCAGCTGGGCGGCCAGGGTGCCCATGGTGCGGTGCAGGTGAGGGGGGGGGGTGAGGGGGCGAGGGGCGGGGGGGGGGTGGAAAGGAAGAAATTGACAAGCTGTACGACAAAGCTTCACCATGGGGTGCAAAGGGGGACTTGCATGCCGGGATACTGCACCCCTCCCCCCCCTCCCCCACTTCATCCATTTCCAGGTAAGTCCGCTGGTTCTTCGTTTTAGCCCGTGCTTTTGTTTAGGTTTAGTCATTTTTGTTTGTTCGTCGGGTGAGGGTTCTGGGATTATTATGGACCGTCGGCGCGGCCGTCGACCCTCGATTCATCGTCCACACCTTCCCAGCCTCCTTCCATGTTCCACCGACTCCTGGTAAGTACTACTTTTTGGTAAGTGCATTCTGTTCTTTCGGTTAAATTATTCCGGGTCAGGTGGGATGGACCGGCTACCATGTTTGCACCCCATGGTGAAGCCTTGTCATACAGCTCGTCAGTTGCTTCGTCAGTGTCTCATCATATATATATTTTTTTACTCCCCCACCCGCTACCGATATCACACCACACGTTGGATATTCTTCTTTCCCCCACCCGCTGACCCCCCCCTCCCCCTCCCCCCTCAGGAGCCCGCTGGGATGCCGGGGCGACACGCACCCGGGCCACTTCTTCCTGGAGGTGCAGGGCCTGCGCCCCGGCACCTACACCTACAAGTACATCGTGGACGGCAGCTGGGCGGTGGACGGGCTGAGCGCGCAGGTGGTGGACGCGGCGGGCAACGCGAACAACGTGCTGGTGGTGCCGGAGCCGCCGCAGGTAGCGGGAGGGGGAGGGGGAGGGGGAGGAACCCGCCACGCACCGGGACCTTAACGGTGGATGTTGTCACCGGTGGGCACTGCGACTCTCGACCTGTTGAGGCGCATCCAACCCTGCGCCCATGATGCCCCTGTCCAGTCACCGCCTCCTCCTTCCTGCTGCACTCCTGCCCCCCGGCCCCCCGGCCCGCCTGCCCCAGGTGCTGACGAGTCGTGAGGGCCTGGCGCTGGCTCGCTGGCAGGCGGGTCGGCTGGCGCTGGAGAACAAGATGGGGCTGGCGGGCCGCTGGGGGGTGCAGCGGCCCGGGTGAGGGGAGGAGGAGGAGGAGGAGGAGGAGGAGGAGGAGGCAAGCACGGTGCAGAGCTGCAGGATTGAGGGGGAGGGGAGGGGCGCAACGGCCCCACGTGCGGCAAGCTGAGAACGGCATCATAGGCAGCGGGAGGGAATTAGAAAAGAAGGAACCCAACCCAGGGTCCCCAGCGCCCGGAACCCAACCCAGACACCGCCGGACTGTCACACGACGACCGTACCGCCCGCCGCACCCGGGGCCTGCGCGGACCGGCGGAGGGAACCATGTAACACCCACCATGGGTGGGGCACCATGGTAGGGAGGTGCGGTGTTATTGAACAGTTTTGCGCCGCAAGCATTGCAGCCGCACTTACAATGTCCCCGTTGCTTGCACCATGGATTTTCTCCTTGGTCTCCTTGGCTTGACGCGTGGCAGGTACGTGGGCTGAACTGAGAGCTGTAACCCGCGGGGGTAGAAGAGTGCAGAGACACTGACGGAGCAACTGACGAGCTGTATGACAAGGCTTAAGAGGTGTGTAATAAACGGCTTCCAAGGATTACAGCTGGGGCGATATTACATCTGTCAGGATAGCTGAGGGGGTAGCCGTGTAGCGTTAAATTGTTCTTGTCAGCGTGTTTTACTGTTGGTGCCCGGAGGGGGAGAGGGGTTTGGTGGCCAGGATCCCACAGAACATCCATGGCTGCATGGCATCCGTGCCCACAGACTAAAACCTAGGCCGAGCAAAACTCTAGCATGAGGATCCGTATGGTTGTCGTGCAGTTGCGCTTCTGTGTGCAGTCATTAGGTAGAAATTAATAGGCTGCGCTACTGCCTCTCCTGTTGTCCCTTTTTGGGGCTTTGGTGCCTATAATCCGCCTTTTGGCTTCTTTGGTCCTTGTTCCTGCTGGCCTCTTTTACATTTGTTTTGCGGTCTGCTCCGTTACTATTGCAGTATAGGGTTGGGTTCAACACCCCTGTAACGGCCGTGCATCCACATCCAAGCCCTAAAATGCAACCACGCCGCCAACGCATTTGGCACAGTACTGGGTACGTGCCACCAACGTGGACGTTGAAACAGTGTCGTATGGGACGAGCGTCAACACCACACCGGTCATGCAGTCGCCCATTGCTCCCCAGCGCATTGGTAACGGCACAACCCTGCGGATGAAACCCCCACAGCTATGAAGGGCGCCATTGTAGCTAGTGTACAACAGGGCTCTTCGCAATATCCATGCGCGCATCAGCTTGACTGTTGCATCTCCTCGCGAGCGGTTCGCTGTACGATTGTTAACAACAGTAACCGCGCGCCATCAAACGCTGCATGTAAACCAACGGACCAGCATCCATCCAACATAGCCGTTCCTGGACATCAAAGAAACGTTGCGGTCCATTGCCGCAGTATTATATTGCTTCTGCAGGCTATCGGCCCTCCGTAACAAGGCATATAGAACAAATGGCATCCATGCCCCATGCCCCCGAGCTCCTACTTTCCCGCCTACTACCCCCACCCATCTTCTAGGTGTATTCCGGAAAGACGTACTGCGGCACACCCTGTACCGCTCCTTCATGGGCCCCCTGCGGCTCCCCCTCCTGCCGCGCTGGCTGCATGCGAGCAGGCGAAGGCACCCCAGCACCGGCCGAGCTCGACACCGCAGCCTGCCGTTGCAGCGGCTGCGGCGGCAGAGCTGCCTCCATGTCTCCGGGTTTCCTGCGGCTGCCCAGGGAGGAGGAGGAGGTCCAATCTCTTCGCTGCATGACCTCCGCCGGGCCTCCAATGCCGTTTGTTAGCCCGTACCCCGTGACGTCAATCCACTCCAGGTTCTCATTGGTCCTCCTCGATCGCAGGCGCCCGCCGCCGCCGCCACCTAACCCACCTCCACGGCCCGACACTTCCAATTCGGAAGGGAACGCCTCTGAGCGATGCGCCCCCGACCTCGCCGTTGAGCCGCTGCCTTGGCCACGTGCTTCACTGTTATCAGTCCAACCGCTGTTGGATCTGACGCCCCAGTGGGCTTGAGATGTGGACTGCTGCGGCTGGTGTTGGTGCGAAGGCCGCGGCTGCGACCCCAGACCCGACACCGCTCTGTCGTCTGCCAACGGCCCTTCCTCGGTGTCCGTGGAGCCCTCCTCGTCTCGGGCGGTCCTCCCAGCCTCCTTGATTGCTTCCTGGACCTCAGCCCGCCAGGCAGCCGCGGGTGAGGCTGGCATGGGCGGCCCACGGGTCGCATGCGAGGTACTGCTGTGCCTCCGGCTCAACACCTCCCCATTCATGCTGCCACTTCTGGACTGCAGCAACAGCGCGTTGCGGGATCCGTATGACCTCGCAGTACTGCCGCCGTCGCCCATGTCCCCGTCAAGAGTGCCACTCACCCCTCGGTTGATTGTGGATGCTGCCGCCGCTGTTCTTGCTGTTGCCGATGTCGTTGAAGAAGTGGTGCTCAGGGCTGCTGGGCCGGGGTGCCGCGACGGCTGCGGCGGCGCCGCCGCCTGTGTACTGGAACGCTGACGCGCGTCTTTGTTACCTTGTACAGAAGAGGCATGCGGGGAGGGGGACGCGCCTGGGATGTACGGCGCAGGCACAATTGGCCTCACGAAGCCCTTCCCACACGGCGACTCCTCCGTTCCGCTGCCAAAGCCCAGCCGACTGCTGTCACTGCTGCGCCTTCTACCAACCCGGCCCGCACCATCAGGACCTTGCGCCTGCAATCCTGATGTAGGTGCCCCTGCAGTTCCGGAGCCAACCCGAGCACCAGCAGCACCAGCGGCGTCGCTAAGCAAGCCCTCTGCATTGGCGCCGACACTGGCCGAGGGCTTCAGCCGCCTCCCTGCAGTAACCGCCTCGCCGCTGCCCAACCCGCTAGCGCCTCTACAATTCTCATCGCAAGGCCGCCACTTGCTGTTTTGCACCCCCGCCGCCGCCAGAGGTAGCGGCGGCTTGTCGGCGGGAGCTTCGAGGCTACGGCCGCCGGCGCCCATGCTGTGGCTGCGAGTTGGGGCACGTGGAGCCGACGACGGGCGTGTTCGAGTGCTCTGCGGCGTCGCAGTGCCGCTAGCCTCGCTACCGGCGCCGCCGACTGCCTCCAGCGATGACTGCGACCGGAGCCAAGCCGAAGGCGGAGCCGGCATACGAGCTCGCGGCTGTTGCTGCTGCGTGTTAGACCGGGTGGCAGGGGGCGCCGCAGCGCAGGTGGGAGCAGCTGTCGGACTGCGGCCGCCGGCTGCCGGGGCGACGCGGAGAGCAGCGTTAGCTGAGCTAGGCCGCTGCCTCTGCCGAGCCGCTGAGGCTGGTCGGGGCCGAATCCAGCTGTCATCAAACGTGTTCCGCACTTTGCGCGCATCCCCAGCTTGCGGTGAGGCACCGCTGGCACCAGGGGAGCATGGACCGGCTTCGCTGCTTTCTTCGTGAGCCGCGGTCATCTGCGGCACCGCGCCAGAGCGGCTACCCTTACTCACATCCTGCCAGGCAGGCACCGCTCCTCCGCAGCCGCCATGGGCGCCATCCCTGCCGACCCATACCCTGCCGTGCAGCTGTCCGCCTGCAGCGCCACCGCCGCTGTCGTCGACTGCAGACGCTGACGCCCGTGACGCATGTCGCAGCCGCTGAGTCACCGCCACGTCCGTTCCAGGCTCCCGCACCTCCGCCGACTGCTGTTCCTGCTGCTGCTGCTGCTGTTCCTGCTGCTGCGGATCCTTAACGCTGGAGTGCGCGCGAGGGCAGCCCTCCCTCACTAAGTCATGCACGATGTACAGCAACGCCCGCTCCGTACGTGGCGACGACGTGGTCACGCCGTCAGCCTCCTCCGCCACCAGCCGCAACGCCTCCAGAAACTGCGGAAACGTGAGCACCGGCCGCGCAGGCCGGTGGCGCCGCTTCTGCTGGCGGCCCTGCTGTGCCGTGTCTCTGCTGCCGGCAACAGAGGCCGCAGCGGCGTCGGGGCCGAGCTGCAGATTCAAGCAACCGTCCAGGTCCTGGTGGGAGAGGGGGCCGTCATGGGCGCCTGCGGGGCGGCATAGCAAAGGGGGGAGGAGTCGGGAGCAGCAGTACGGCTGCTCTCAGCAGCAGGGAGGAGAGACGGGCATGTGCTCCGGTGGCAGCGGCTTGCTCGCGGTGGTGGGCGGCAAGCAGGACGCCGCTCGCGAATCCTGGCAGGTGCACCACTCAGTGCTGGATGCTGCTGAATACACAAAAGTCCGTATGCCAAGGCTAAGGTCGAGGGTGTTGCAGGGCAGGGCAGGCACGACACAGGCCCCTACGCGGGCTTCGGACGCTGCTCCGGAGGTTGAGCCGGGGAGAGGCCTGTCGGTGCTCGTACCTATGCTGTCGTCCCACTGGTAGACCCCGGCCAGGGCGGAGGCCTGCAGGAAGACCGCCTGCAGCCTGGCGGGGGTGAGCCCCGGCCCACGGGTCACCAGCCGGTCGCGAATGGAGTCGCAGTCCAGGCACAACCGCAGCCAGGAGGACCTGCAGGAGGACGTGCGGGCAGCACGCAGAAGACAAGGAGCACATGAGGATGAGTCCACCACGAGAGGTCTTATGCCCCTAACGACTAGAACCCAGCTCTCATGCTTTCCATGACTCTGGACGTGTACAAGGGGAGCCTCCCTGTGAAGCCCTCCACGGTTGGCGGACCCCACACAGGTCGCGTGCATGGGGCAACCCTACACGACCAAGGCAGTACAGCCAACGCCCCCGTCCACCCCGTCCGTACGGCAACTCACATCTCCATGACGCTCAGCGACCGGAACAGGCAGCAGCAAGCGCCGTACGGCTCCGTTTCCCACGCGCAGCCCTCTCCATCGCCGCTGCGGCCCCCTCCACTGCCGCTGCCACAGCCGGCCGGGCGACTCCCCTGATGCGGCCCATGCAGCCCAGACGGAGGTGCTTCAGACAGCTGGTAGGAGGTGGGCGGCAGCTTGCCCTTGTTGTAGGCTGCATTATACCTGATGATGAGCAGGACAGTAAACGGGTCTCATTCGGTGTTTGCAACAGGGCATAATTCGCAGCGGCAACGAGGCGTGCACGACACCAGCGTTGAGCGAACGAGTAGCAGGTAGGAGGAGGCTGTCAGCGCCGTCCGTCCAGGAGGTGGTCTCCTGCTGCCGCTACCTCCAGGCATGCTCCAGGGCAGTGGAGGGGCGGCAGCATACATACACCCTCCGCGCCAACCAGCGCCCGTGTGGGCAGCTCCCGTCCCCAGTCCAGCCCTGCATCCCACACCCACCTGTGGAATAGGGTTCTCAGGTTGCGAGTGTTGACGAAGGGCAGGTACGGCAGGGAGCGCCGCACGGGGGAGGGCACACCCAGCGAACTGAGCAGCTCCTCCAGCCTGCGCAGACTGTCTAGCCGCCACCTGTGTGGGCAGCAGCAGCAGCAGCAGCATTGTATCGAGAGGAGGTCAGGGCTGGCAGCTGTGTAGTTCAGCATAGCAGGGGCCTTCATGGAGCTAGCGGAGGGAGGAAGGCAGGATCGCGTCTTTCCACCCATCGCCCCGTAATCTTGACTTACCACAACACAACAAATGTGCATTCCCCTCCTTGTCAACCCACCTCGTGTGCTGCTGGCCGCAGTTACCACACCCGCAGCGCTCCCTGCTAGCGCTGCCCTCCAGCTCGCTCAAGAGACCCAAATATGAACACGGCGTGCAAGCGCTACTGCTGCTTCTGCCGCCCCCAGATGAACGAAGCGCCTTCACTCCCGCAGCGGCAGCGGAGGCCGCCAGGGCTCCAAAACCATAATCCGCGACTACTGCAGCCGCTGCTTCCGCGGCCGCGGCAGTGCGGGGAGTAGGAGTGGGTGGCGGCGCCGCGGCTCCAGCGACCCACTGGTCAGCTGTGGTGGTCCTAGGGTCCAAGGGCGGCGGCGGCAGCAGCAGCGGCGGCGGCACGCCTTGCGACACGACGAGGTAAAGGGCCACATCCGGACTGCTCATCTGGGAAGGAACGGCGGCATGCGGCGGGTTAGGGTGGGAGGAGAGGGAGAGTAGTTTCGCTTTCTTCTTACCCCTTCCAGTGCAGCATCCCCACACACATACGATCATGGCCTTGTGCAGCCACACCTGAGGTTCGGCAAGACCCGTCCATAACTGGCCCCTCTTGCCACTGCATCCACCAACCACCGCATGTCCCGCCCCATCACCCCGGACCCGAGCACCCCCTGAAACCAACAGCCCCGGCCCCAGGACACGGGCCCCCTGCCAGCACCCACCTTGCGCGTCGCCAGCAGTGCCAGCGCGCGCACGAAGGCCGCGAATTGCAGCCTGCCGCTGCCTGACGTGTCCACCGGCCTCGCACCCGCACTCCCGCCCCCGCCGCCTGCAGCAGGAGCAGCACTACCACCGCCATTGCCGTACGCCCCAATGTTCACTGCCAGGGACAGAGAAGTGGAGTCATGCAAGAGTACCGGCGTCAAGCCAAGAAACGCAGAGAATGTACGGCAATGACACGCAAGGTGAACGGGCATGGCACGGTATGAAGGTTCGCAGGGCAGCACCCAGAAGCGAGGCACGCAATCCACGCAAGCGCTCAGCGGTCCCCAACCCACACCGTCCCCCGCACCGCACTGCACCGCACGCATACCTCGCGCCACTCCAAACGCATGTCGTACTGTTTCCGAACTGGACTTGCTGAGGCCGTACTGCGTGGCGAGCTGGATGAACTGCCGTGCAAGCATACCCTTGGCGGGCTTCCGTGCAGAATCTGACATGCCCACGTCGCCCAGTAGTGCGGCATGATAAATGTTGTACAGCGGCCGAATGCCTGTCACCAAGAGAGAGAAGCGACACACGTACATGTGGTGCATGTGTTTTGCCACGGGGCATCGTTGCGGTGCCCGTCCAGCTTTCCATGCCATGGCCCCGAAACCCGGCATCCCTCATCCCTGACTATTCCTTACCCATTGCCCCATCTTGCATTCTTCCAATTTGCATTCCCTACCCGTCACTCCGCAGACGGCGCCTCTGAGCGGCAGCAGCGCTGCCACTTCCGTCAACCACCAGACCACGAAGTCCTGTGGCGGCGACGGTATGCAGCAGCAGCAACAGCAGGGAGCGGCGGCGGCAGAACCATTTGATCCAGTCAAGGCAAGAGCTCGGCAGCGAAGGCAGCGACCAACCGTTTGCTGGTATGCCCTTCTTTGTTGGTTCTAGGTCGAACGTATGCCCGTATATACCGTTCAGTGCTCGCTCACCGCTGCACTGATGAAGCCACACCCTTCCTGGTCTGCACGCTGCATGTGCTCCCGCACGCAGGCATCTGCCAGCCCCGGAGGCACTCCCTCCTGCGAAGAGATGCCGGATGTGGCGTTATGTCGTGGAGAAATTGTACTTCAGCATAGTGGGTAGTGACCGAAGAGCAGGTAATAGGGTAAGAACAAGCAGAGGCCAGGACAGAGCGGCATAAAGATGAAGGAAACACTGCTATACCAGATTTCTAATGCAGCCTGGCTGAACCCACCAAGAGGTCAGCATCGAGCATGAGCTTCTTCATGCGTGGATAGGGGATGCCCATGACGCCGTTGTACTCATCGACAGAGACCGCAGTTGCGTACTGCGTTAGAAGCCGGTCACAAAACGATGTCACTTGTATATAAGGGAGCGCGCTCCCATGTTACCCTTGCAAAATAATATAGCTACACGCAAGGCCGGGCGCTAAGTACAATCTAAGAGCTACATATAATAACCATTAAGACAAACCTTCTGGAATAGGCCGTAAATGCCCGCCGCTCCCCGGAACTTTTCTGCTTCTGTCGCCATGGTCAGTTTTTAAGGAACCCAGCAAAGCATTACACATGAAGAAAGCTTTGTATTACAGTCTCAAAGGCCACCGGGTCATGTTAATAGGTAGACGCCTGAAGGCGTTAACATGCGGCTGAATGTCACTGAAGACGCGTCGATGAGAGTAGGCGCCATGGCATATAGTATGCCGTTTTATGCGTATTAGCCAGTTACTACAGGAAAAGACTCACAACAGGATTAACTATGAACATGTAGGCTAGGGTCTATCTGCCAACCTACGCCACCTAGAACCAGGAGTTCGTCTTCGCCGTGGACCACTGGATACAAAGAGGCAATGTCGTACGGTTAATGTACAGTAGGTAGATAACAGGCTCAAAGTTGTTACTACCGGTATTTAAATTAAGTTCCAAAGTAACTTACCGGTAGTGCTTAGTCAGTGTACTCTACTTCCAGAAGGAAAGCATTGCCATAGTGCTCGTAGGTTACCCGCCGGCAGCGTGCTAGATGAGCCTCATGTCCGGCAGGGGGAAGCACTTCGTGTGCCATGCGCCAACAATGGACATGCCTGCAGCAAGCCTTAATATAGCTACACAGCACGAAACGCCCTCCATGAGGAGGTCAGCACGCCAGGGTCAGAGCACATACAAAGGGGCACTGGTGACAAGCCAGGAGATTCCTCTACAGCTGCCACCTTAGTATCAGCGGCCAACGTCTTGATATCCAAATTTTCCTTGCCAACTCCACTCCATGCCATATACAAGAGCTGCAATGAGCCCTTCAATGTGCCACCGGCTATGGGGCGTCGATAATTTCGCAATGTCCTTGCGGCTATGCCAGCAACCAAGGGCCTCAGGCCCGGGCTGTAATGGCCCTTCCAGCCTAAGAACAAAAACATGACGCTTGCGTAGATGTATCAGCACGCTTAAGTGACATTGACGTTCCTATATAGGACCAAACACCGTTACCCGCATCGTACAACTAATGGATGACAAAGTGTCAACCAATAGCGGTAACCAAAGACAAGGGCCGTCCCATATACATGCATTGCTACAGCCCTCACGTTAACCTACATGACGAACAACACGTATTAAATCCATGTCCAAACTGTCCAAACCCCGTGTAAACCAAAAACGGCAGCGCATATACCTATAAACCACACTAGAGCCTAGAAATTTTATAGACGGCCGTAACCGCAGCGAACCGAGACTTATGTTACTCCTAAACACTCAGCAGCGATGCAAGGTTCATGGCTAAGTAGTTAACACATTTAACCACATGACACGAAGTGGCCCCGAACGGCAGCCGCCACAGTATGACACGACAGCTACTGTAAGGCATATGCGCCGCGGTGCGAACTACTTTGGTTCCGCCTTCACCAACATCGGCGCCTGCTCCGTGTCGCCGTGCTCTGCATCCTTGGCGGCTTCGGACTTTGTCCCGTTGTCCTTTCCGTGGTGCCTGTCCTTCTTGGCAAAGCCCTGGTAGTACAGCGCTCCGAAGACCATGATGGAGCCACCCCTGGAGTTGCAAAGCGGCCACGTTCGGAGCGGGAATATTAGGAACGAGGTATTGGTCCGAGCTCTGAACATAGAAAGCCACGCTCAGAACACGTTGCGCCTGATTTGGGTACATAATCACCACCATCATGTATCGCTGTATGCCTACAACCTCAAGCCCTACCCACCCTTGTCATACCCCACATGCGGTGCTCTATGCGTGTCATGTGCAGACTCACCACTGGCCGCCGCTGAGCGGGTGTGCAAAGAGCACGCACGAAAGCAGGATGGAGAGGAACTGACGCGTTGTCATGATGGTGGCGAACACCAGGGCGCCAAACGTCTTAATGGTGTAGGAGATGAAAAGGGCGCCCACAGTGGCAGCTATAGACAGCATCATGATGGAAGAGAGAGCGTCAGGATGCCGCTCCAGGAAACTGAAGGCCTTAGGAAGCTGCCCGGAGCTGAACAGGCCTGTGGCGCCGGCAATCAAATGGCAAGTAACACTAAGAACCCGACACTGCTGCATTCGGCCTGACATCAAGCCGGAGATAGATGGCAAAGGGCATGTAACAAAAGGCATTAGCGACAAACAAAAACACTACTGGTTGCTGTGCGCAGGAAGGTACTTGCGCGGAACGATGTGCAACCTGCTAAGTACTACTAATCGTTCCCTCCACTTAGCTAACGGACCCAGGGTCCGTGGGTCGGCATGCCACACTACACCTCATAGGTGGCGACGTTGACGTTGATCCCCACGGCATAAGCCACTATTAGTGGACACTTACCTACGATGCTAAGGATGGACGAGCACAGCGTTGTGTACAGCATCTGGTTGTATGTAGTCATGTTGTAGCCCTTAAAGAGCTTATCCTGGAAAGTTGATGTGAACCCGTCAAAACCAAGATAGCCAAGCATGAGCGCCACGCCGTAGACGCTCGAATGCCATAGGCTCTCCGATTCCCTGGATTTAATGTCGCCGGTCAGCACGAAAATAGTGCAGCCGGCAGTGATGACCAGGGCCAACCCCCAGTCAGCTGCCTTATACTTCTTGCGCAGCATAAAGATGCCCCAGATCATGACAGGAAGCATCTTAGCGCACTTCCCCAAGGTTTGCATGGGGAAAGATACGTATTTAAGAGCCTCGTATTGGCACGTCGTGGCGATCACGTTCGACAAGGAGACCGCGAAGTATTTCCAGATGGGCGCCACGGGCTTAATCTCCTGATACTTTTGATCGTGCTGCAGGGGCATCATATGGGGTCAGACAACTGTCCCAAGGTCTTGTAACTTTTGAACTCCTTACCACTAGCATGACGATGGCGACCGCGCAAGTGGTTAGGCGATTGCATAGGACCAAGAAGAGTGAATACTTGAAGACCTCTCCAGCGGCCGCGGCACCAAAGGGCAAGGTCATAATGCGCTCCTGCGCAAGCGGCGGCAAGTTCCGCAATGACAAGTTCTAAGTTGCACAACTGCTTTGAAACACTACAAACCACCAAACCTGAAGGACGCCATAGAGCATAAGGCATCCGACGATGCCGACCACGCACCAAGCTACGTGTATTTTCTCATTCTCCTTAATTTTAGCCCATACCAACTGTAATGGATTCATTCTTGAGGTCCAAGTATCAAGAACTTGTTCACGTAGAATCTGTCTTGCCAACTCTAACGTTCAGAAGGCGCCAAGACAACCTGTTGCAAAAAATCGTACAGTCCGGCAAAGTCCGGCATGATAGTCCACATGTCAGACCTTCTGTCTATCGCGACCCTAAACCGCGGCATACATTTTCCTGCCTCCTCTTGCGGTCGAAGTCTTTCCAGCCGGGATAATCTAGGTGGAGGTGCACATTGCAAGAATGTGCCCGACCTGCAGCTAGTTAAGAAGCCATCCGGCTTGACGATGGCACCTTCCAGAGACTTTGTGCGAAGGTCTATGCTCTTCTTGGGTCCCAGGACTGCTCGGCACCTTCGTGTCCTGCTCCCATAACAGTTCACATCGGGAACAACCCGGGGGAACGAAGACACGCACGAGGTCGAAGTCGCAAGGGACGCAAATCTTCGGGACGCATCAGGCTGCCATCGTAGGGTAATGCCTTGGAGGACTCAGGGCTGGACTACTGGTACGGCCAATGGCTTGTTCGAGGCGTGTCATGCCGATTAGCGGGACTGACAATTGCCCGATTACCATCACAGGGTATCCCGGCAGGTGGTTGTTGCGGATTAGGGTTTTGGACTGCATGGGTCACTTGGGCCATTCCGTTTCGGGAGATCTTCTAGTAGCATATGAATGCCTAGCTCCACAAGATGACTGTTATCATGTGAATTTTGTATGTTTGTTCTGGGAGATGCATTGAAGCTTTCCGTACCTCCAGGGATGGTTTGTGCTAGAGCACTATGTTACATGCAAGCGATGAGGACTCCTTCATTGGCTCGCATAGCGGCAGCCAGTCTCAGCCATCACTAGTGCTATAGCAAGGAGGATTTCCTATGGTAGCCCATACAGACGCGTGCTTCTCCACCTCGCTCCCAAATCCCAACAGTGTAGTCACCACATGGAAGGAGTAGGACACCCACAGCCGCATCAGCACGCCTCGCTCACCAGCACACACCTGACCAGCAACCTGCTCCGACAAGTACACATGCACACGACACGCAAGGAAGCTGTTCTGTTACCGGTACTAAGCTAAGTCCATCACCCGTTCACCTCATCCGAGCTGGCTTCGGACCACCTGCTCACGAAACCCTGTCGCAGGTCCCCCTGCTTTGATAAGCCACAAGCAAGCGCTGCTTGCCACTGGCAACGCTACCTCACTTTAACATTGCTTCATGGCGAGAACATCTAACAGGCAAACGTAGTAGGCTGTGGAATACCGGTAACAACCACAGACGGCGCAATAATCCATTCGGTCAGGCCACCGCAAAGCCCACGAAGCCCCCAATCAGGGGCGGCGGCGCAGAAGCCTCCGGCCCTGGCGCGGAGATTTTGCTGGCGCAGGCACATCTTCCGAAGGCTCCGGAGCCGCCTCCTGCCCGGGCACTGACCCATGGGTCACGTCTGCGGGGATCTCCTGTGTTGGTTTGTCATCTTCTGCTGCCAGGCCTCCGGCCACTACTTCAGCAGGGGCCGCTACGGCAGCGGTGGGCGACTTGTCGGCCTTTGCCGCGGCTGCTGCTGCGGCTGCTGCGGGGTCCCTTCTCTTCCGGAGGATCCAATGGCGGGCCGAGCCACCGGCCTTGACCGCCGCCGGCACCGCCGAAGGAGCAGGAGACGAGGCACTGCCGGATGGGCCACTGGCCGATGCCTGCGCCGGCGCGTTAGACCCATGGGTCACACCTGCAGAGGCCCGCTGCTTTGCCTTCCCCGCTGCTGCTGCTGACTGCTGCTGCTCCTCGCCCCCATCAGCAACACCGTCCCCGTCCTCGGCACATTGCTGCGGCCCCGGCAGGGTTTGCCTGGCCAGCCAGTCTTGGAAGTCGGGGTGTTCCTCGTCCCACTGGCCTGGCGGCCTCGCTACCACAGTGCGCAGAGCCAGGCGGCGCTTCTCCCTGGACAGGAGGAAGGCAGGCAGGTGGGAGGCATTAACTACTAGCAAAGTGTTGTCGTTAGGGGGGTTAACGCATCTGTTCGCAGCACCGCAGCACAAACACACACACCGGCACTGTCCTTTGCTACCGTACACGCACAACCAGCTGTGGTTAGGGGTTCCTAGGGGCATGAGAGGCTCAACAAGCGTCTCGCTGAGGGCATTCCCAGCATGACACCCCTTAACCCTTGCCTGCCCGCCAGCCTGCCTGCCTGCCTGCCCGCCTGCCTGCCTGCCCGCTCACCCTTTCTCCACCAGGTACTGCAGCCGCAACAGCGACCGGGTGCCGCGAGTGAGCAGGAAGCCCAGCTTGGAAGACGACAGCTGCTCCAGCTCTCCCTCCCACGGCAGGTAGCCCGCTGCGGCCTGGCGGAGCAGCACCATCTTAAACTCCAGTGTTTCAGTGCTCTGCTGCATGACGCCGGGAGTGCGCCACAGCACGTCTTGGGCGCGCGGCCGGTCGCTAAGGAGAGGCGGGAGGGTGGGAGGGGGCGGGAAGGGACGGGACACGCACAATGGAAAGATCGTATTTCACATACCGTGCATGGAAGGAGGGGCTTTGTATGTACACTTTTTGACTTGTAGATCACGCTGACAAGAAGATTAGCTAAATATTGTAAGCTTTGCAACGTCACAAGCGCACCGGCCTCTCTCCCGCACCCTCGCACACCTGCTGTACATCCCCTCTCAGCCCCCCTCAGCCCCTCTCACCCTAGCAGCTCAGCCAGCTTGTCCAAGCGAGCCTCCAGGCTGCGATGAGAGCGCGCCAACAGCTTGGGCGTCTTGACAATCATGTCGACCACCTCATCCATTGAAACTCCCAGCATCTGCCCCAACGCATGAAACCGGTCCACAAGCGTGTTGGGCTCGACGCTAAGGATGGTACCCGGCACGCGCGTCAACAGCTTCGACACCCTTCCTGGCTCCAAGCGCGACACGAGTTCCGGCACACGGGCCTCCACAAGCTGAACGGAGCGAAGAGAAAGGCGCTCGCACTCGTCGTTGTTGGGCTGCAAGGCATCAGCTGCGACTCCAAGCTGCAGCGGCGGAGGCATGTTGTGGATTTGGATAATTAGGCGAGGCATCAAGAGAACTGAACAGGCGTAAGAGGTTCAGTGGCATTTATGGCGTTTACGGGGATTCACGTGGCCTCTAAAGAACGAACGACCTTGAAGCATGAGAAAAAGTATATATCGTCATACGCTGTGTCGGGGCGCGAGGCATGCGAAGGGGAGGTGGGTGTTGGGCCAACCTACTAAGCAACACACCACCGACCCAAATGAAAGGATTACATGCTAACAGTGCCACATTTAGCAGCCCAACGCTCGGTTCGCCTACTTTCCCAGGTGCGTTGGAACACAAGCAGTCACCTGCACCCGGTTGCAACCCCTGCCAACATACCTTCGACACGAGAACACGCTTAATATCTTCCAGTCGCGCTGCTCTATCAACCTTTTGCACTGCGCAAGGCGCTATGCAAGGCCTTGGTGAGCGTTGCAACAGTAGACCGCAGTGCGTGCCGTTGCGCGTTGTCGACCGTTGCGCGGTTACGCCGATGACGAGCGTAGATGACCTAGCATAACATATCCCATTCGCTGTGTTTCGGGTGGGACCCCGCACCGAAGCGACGTTAGGCTGCGAGAGGACCATCGGCAGGATCTCAGTAACTGATACTCACAATGCTTGGTTATCTTCAGCCGCTAAACAATTGAACGAATTTCGCAGATCCAACAATATAAAGTGAGTGCGCAAGCAAGCGCTCCGAGACCGTTTGACGAGACCACTTGACAAGACCGAATCTGTTTGCAGACTGTATTCTTGTAATCCAATCAAGCCTCCCTTCGGTCGGGTGAGAAGGCGAAATCTGCTGGCACGCTTAGCATATTGGAGTGTTTAGGAACCAGGGCAGCGAAAGGCATACACTGTAGGGGTGAGTCGAACAGAAGGCACCATGTAAGGAAGCCGAATTTTTAAAGAGAGATACGCTTACGCCTTTGCTTGCATGCTTTCTAGTGCATCGCGACGCAAAGCTAAGCTACGTACGCGGGCGCATATACGCAGGTCAACGCCAGGCAAACTATAGTGTGTGTGCAAGCGGCACTAGTGGACACTAGTGCGAAAGCTGGGATTGAGGGGTGTTATCGGCGACGGTGTTAACGCCAGCTGATGTGTGTCTCGCAAAGTCGCAAGGCAGGCAGGCAAGAGCAGTACAAGCAACCCCATGGAAGCGCAAGCAATAACTCACACCAACGCACACACAGAAGCAACACAACACTGGAAAGCAACACACACCGAAATGAGCAACGCAACATGCGCAATACAACTTCTGGAGTAACTGCTAGGACTGCGCCGACAGGCGTTATGAATAGCAGTAAATGTCTGGAACGGCTCTTACACTCCACGGCATGGCAAATGCAACATGCGTCACACCGCCACACAACCACAAGGCACAACCGACACATCCATTCCTGCTGCAATTGCATCCCAACACAACCTAGACGCATGAATGGCATGCTGTCTTTCCAACAAGTGGCCCATGGTATTATGGAGCATCTTTACACTTAGTAAATCCGCATTATCGGTAGAAACCATGTAACGAAGCACATGACCCACTGTTCCATAATAATACCCGGGTCCACCTGTACATTTAAAGGTTCGGGGCCGGATATCACCTTGCGGTGGGCATTAGTTAGATGCATGGTAGTTGGGGAAATCGTGCCTCGCAGCGTACTAGGTCCAAGGTCGCACGTGTCACGAGCGCTGGTGACCTAATTTGCTTGACTTCGGTAGCGAATTCCAATGACAGGTTACGGCTGTTACAGCCTGTGATAGCTTTAGTTTCATTCTGCGGCTCTTGCAGCTAGCACTGTCTTGTACGGCGTCGACTCCAGTGGTGTTGCATGGCCTATCAAGGTGTCGTCGCGGCATGCCCATTTTGAGGACTGTGTAAAAGTTGTTCCAAGTTGCATCTGGACGCTTCGTCTGTGGATCATCCCCCGATGCTACCATACGCGGCTTTTCGGCGTTGCCATTGGCGCATCCGCCGGCCTCAGCATACCTTGGCAAGGCTGGCCCATCCTCGAGCGGCTTCCATTTACCACTTCATTTAAAAGCCTCAACCTTGGAGGAGGACGCGGTGATGTTGGCAGGAGGGTCCCATTGTCGTCGAGGTTTCCTAGGTTCCAGCCTTCACCGTGGCGTGACTGTTTGTGCAAGGGCTCCGGCCATCAAGGCAGCCACCCATTCTTCCCGCAGCTCCGCAAGCCGAACTGTGGGCAGCGCTCTGGTTGGCTGCGGCCCTGCAGTAGCTCCAGCCATCCCAAGTATTCGCACCCGTAACAACAGCACAAACCGCAGTTCTGCTTTCTGCAGCCCAGCTCCTCCCTCCCCTGCGACTCAAACATGGCGTCCTATTGCATTGTTAGCAGTCTTTGCGAATGACCGGGCGCATATCACGGCAGCTGGTGCGCACATCCTCCGATATCCCCAGAGATGTCACGCTGGACGTGCCGGCTTCGCTACTTCCGCGTCGAGAAGAGGAGAGGCGTCTATCACACCGGAAGCGGCGGCCTACTGGAAGCAGATCATGGCTGGAGTAGACAAGTGCGATGCGAGTGCCTTCAGCGGCTGCCGTGCTGCCTTGGCCGTTTGGGCAGGCGTGTTAGGATGTGCGGATGCGAAAGTAGACGCAGGTGCAAATGCAAATGCTCAACATATCAATGCAACCTTTCCTTTCACACCTGACCTGCCCGCCGGCCTATCCTCCTGTCCCCCCTTCACCCTTCCCCTTGCGGCTTCAACCCCTCCCCCTTCCCCCTTCCGACCCGACCCCCCCCCCAGGCCGCATCTGAGCAGCCTGGTGGGCTCTCTGGACTGGGAGCACCCGCTGGGGTTGAGCGCGGCGCGCGCCAAGGGGCATGTGCAGTGCTACAACGACTTCCTGGCCGCCAAGAAGAAGCACCCCACTGCGGTGGTGCTAGTCAGGGTGAGAGAGGGCAGTAGTGGTGGGGTGCGCAGCTAGAGGCAAACGATCTTGTAACCCGGCAAATCCTCGCAGCAGCGCCTTCGAATGTCGCAGCACCCCCTCCCTCCTTATCCCTACCTGCTTACCTCGTGCCTAATTCCCGCCTGTTACCGCCTACCTCCTCCTCTGACACCCCCCCTACCCCCCCCCCCCCCCGCCCGCCTCCCGCCCCAGATCGGTGACTTCTACGAGGCGGTGGGCTACGACGCGCTGCTGCTGTGCCAGCTGTGCGGCCTGAACCCCATGTCGCCGCACCTGGGGCTGGCGCTGGCGGGCTTCCCCAAGCTGGCCCGCAGCCTCCGGCGCTACCTCAACCTCCTCATCGAGCAGGGCTTCGCGGTGGTGAGGGGGGCGGGGGCGGGAGGGGAAGCGGCAGGGGGCGGTGGGGGGGAGAGGAGCAGAGCATGGGTGAGATGGGGGGGAGGCGGAAGGGAGGCGCGGGTGGCACTGCGCCGCGTGCGGGAAGGGGACGGGGGGGAAGGGGGCTTCATGGGGCACACACCTGCAGTCCGCGTGTACCCACACGGCCGGCCGTGACACCTAACACAGCGGGGCTGTCCCACTGCTCCTCATCCTTCCGCGCCCATCCTCTTGAACTCCTTACGTCCCCTCGTTCCCCCTACTTGCACGTCAACGCCGTACTTCGCATCGCCGCACTTTGCTTAAATCCTAACTCTCGCCCGGTCTTTCCTCTTCAGCCCTGACACTTTAACTCATACTTTCAATCACAAGTTTGACACCTCTTCGCCGCACATTTTCCCCTTGCTACGCAGACACAGTCTATGCTCCAAACCAGCGTGTGCAATATTTCCATCCCTTATTGACCCCCCCTCCCCCCCAGTGTCTCATTATATATTTTTTACTCCCCCCCTGTCCCCTAGCTTACCCTAATTATTCAACGCATGTTTTTTCACCTTCTTCTTGTCACCTCCCCCCCTCCCCCTCCCCAGGCCATGGTGGAGGAGGTGGGCACCCTCTCCACCCCCTCCCGGCAGAGCAAGCAGCGCAAGCTGGTGAGCCTGGTGTCCGCCTCCTCGCCCTACTACGTGTACGGAAGTGTGGAGGACGAGTGCGGCGGGGACGACACGCCGCTGCCCAAGCCCATTGTGGGTGAGTCGGGGGTGCGCCTGCAGGGCGGGGGGGGGGTGCGCGACCAGGAAGGAGAAGGCGAAAGCGGGTTGCCGCCCCCCATTGCCATGCCGCCTCCCCGCCGTCTTCCTTCTTCTTCTCCTCCGCCTCTTCCGGCCCCCCACTCTGGCACTTCCGGCTGCGGCGGCCACCCTCTACTGCGCAGCTGCTTTCCATCCCCGCGCCTCACCCCTGCCCCTGACCTGCTGCGAAACCGCCGTTTCCTCTAGGACGTCATCCCCTCCAGACCTCTCTCTCTCCCCCCCTCCCCCGCCCCCACCCTCCCCCAGGTGTGAGTGTGCCCGGCGGCGGCGGCTTCCGCCTGCTGCAGTACTGGCCGCAGCGCCGCGCCGTGCTGGTGCGCGGGCAGCTGAGCCTGGAGGCGCTGGTGGCGCACCTGCACGCGGGCGGACTGGCGCCGCCGCTGCACCTGCATGCCAGCGTGCGGGGGCGCGACAAGGAGGCGGGCAGGGTGAGGCAGGGAGGGAGGGAGGGGGGTCAGGGGAGGTCAGGGGAGTCTTCGGAGGGGTTGCGCGAAGTGCACACTGTGGGTTGGGGTGCACGGTGAAGCGTTGCGGACCTGGATCAACCAGGTCAGCCCGGAATATGTGTCCCTATTAAACCCCTCCAGGGCAGCTCGGTGGTGCGGACGCTGTCGGCGCTGCTGAGCACCACAGTGGAGCACTACGGCACTCACGGAGGGGTGGCAGGCGGCGCCAGCTGCTGGGTGAAAAGTACGGCAGCAGCGGCGGCAGCCACCGGGGATGACGTGGAGGGCTTCAAGCTGGTAGTCGCGAGGCAGCTGGGGCTGGACGCGACGGCGGCGGAGCGGATGGAGGTGAGACCCATGGGTCATACACTCAATACTCGTAAGAACTTCACACACCTTTCCTTCCCCTCGGGACCGCCTACCGCTGCACCAGCCTTAATGTTGGTGAAGTTCTTGTTTGTACACCAATTTGTATGTCCTCTGGACTAGGGGATAGCAACTAGGCAACATCCTTTCCTCGTACCAAGTGACGTTTCCGTGTCCCTCGCGAGTCTCGTCCTTCGCACCTTTCGCTACTGTTCGTCATCCTCTCCCCGCAGGTCCTGGCCCCCCCTCTGCACGACGACACCCCCGTCCCGCCCTCCCTCTCCACCATCACGCAACTCGGTCTGGCCGGCGCGCGCGGCGTGCCCTCCCTCCTCTCCGCCGCACTGCCCGACGGGACGCCGGCACCCGCGCGAGAGTGGATGCGCAGGCTGCTGCTGCTGCCGCCGCCGCCGGCGGTGGCGGAGGCCATCCGAGCCGCCTGCCATGCGCTAGCCAACCCCGCTGCGGGGGCGCCTGCGCTGCCGCCGCTGGTGACGAGCGTGCCTGGCGCGCGGATCAGCGCGCTGCTTGGAGAGGGCGTGGCGGGACACAACACGCTGCGGGAGCTGGAGGGTGGGTGCGTGTGAGCTGCTAGCGTGCTGTGGTGGCTGGGTTCCTGTGAGGCAGGGGTCTCAGGGTGTGTGTGGGAGGGGAGGTGTGTGGTGGACATGCGCTTGGGGTGTGGATGCCGTGGGTGTGCTTGGGTCCGAGACGTGCCGCACGTCACCCCTCCCCTCCCCCCCACCCCCGCCCCCAGGCATGCTCACCCGCGTTGTGGATCTGCTGCGGCTGCCCGGCCCCGCCGCCGCCGCGCTTCACTCCGCGCTGGGGGGCGTGATGCGCTGGTCGCTGGCGGCGCACGGCGGGGTGGCGTGGGAGGAGGTGCCGGCGGAGCGGTTCGCGGCGGCGTGCGCGGCGGCGGCGGCGGCGATCGGAGACGTGGTGCCGCCGCTGGAGGAGCTGGCGGCGGCGGGGCTGGTGGCGCCGGAGGCGGGGGAGGAGAGGTGGGCGCGAGGAGGGGCGAGTAGGGACGGCGAGGGGGGTAGGGGTGAGTCTTGCTGTTAAGCGTTGCTGCCGGCCTCTAGCGGTGGGTCCGGTTGTTCGCCTTTTGCTGTAGAAGTGTAGAGACTCGCACCTCGCACCTCGCTGACGATACGCAGTGACGCCAGTGCTGACGAGGAGGAGGACTCCGACGCCGCAGCCGCAGCCGCAGCCGCCGGCACCGCCGCCAACCGCACCAGGGCTGCCCCGCCACCCGCGCCCTCACCCGCCGGCCCCGCGCGCCTGCCGGCAGTGTTGCTGCCGTACACCTCCCCTGCCGGCGGCCTGGGCGCGCTGCAGCTGCAGGCGCTGAGTGAGGCGGGGCGGCTGGTCCGGCGGATGGAGCGGTTCCGGCTGGGCGTGCGGGATGAGTGCATGGAGGACAGCATACGGAGGGTGAGCGGGGGGGGAGGGGGAGGCTGTGGGGAGGGCTGGGCAAGGTAATGGGCACCTCGGGGATGTAGTGGGGAGGCGGCGGCGGGACTTAGTGAGGCGGGATAGGATGGTGAAAAGTGAACAGAGGTAATTCAACTCCATAAAGAGGAAGGGGAGGAAGGGTACTGCGTGTGTTTCTGCTGGCTTTCGCTCCCGGTTGGGGCAGCGTGCTAGCCCACCTTGTGACGGGGCTGGGGTCTGTCCCTTTGCATCTGGAGAGTCGCAGCCGCGTGCCCACTCGTGCTTGATCGGGATGATCACCCCCCCGCTCCTTCACAACACAGCTCCCCGGCCCCCCCGCCCCCCGCCCCCCGCCTCTCCCTCAGGTGTCCGCAGCCCGCTCCGCAGTTGTGTGCGCGCTGCTGGACCTGGCGGGCGTGCTGCAGGCCGCGGGGGTGGAAGCGGAGATGCGCATGGCGCCGCACGACGACGCGGTGTGGGCCCGGCTGGTGGGGTGGAACGGCAAGAAGGTGAGGAGCCGGGGTGCGGAAGCACCCACATACCCTACTGCCGGGAATCCCCTCCGCACTTCAACCCCTCCACAGCCAGCTCTCCTGCTTTCGCGCCACCACGGAAGCTCCCCTTCGCCAAGTTGTAACCCAGCAGGGTGTAGCCTGGTCAGGCGGTTACGGTCAGTTCCTTCCTCTCTACCCCTTCCAGTATGACCCTCGCTCCCTCCAACCCCCGTGGTCCCGCCAGCGCACAGCTGAATGACCCCCGCGTCCGCGCCCGCACTCGACCGACATCCCCGTCTGCCTGCCTAACCCGCCACCCGCCCTCCTCAATCCTCTTCCCAACCTCTCCCCCCCTGCCCCTCCCCCCCCTCCCCTCCGCAGCTCTCCGCCGCCCACCAGCGGACCCAGCTGGAGCTGGTGCTGCGCCGCACGGGGCAGCGGCTGCTGCACCCCCTCAACCGCAAGCGCGCAGTGGAGGGGGAGCGGCTGAGCAGCGAGCAGCTGGAGGCGGCGGCGGCGGAGTACCGACTTGCGGTGGAGGCGGCGGAGAAGCAGGCGGGGCGGGAGGGGGCCGGGAGGGAGGGGGGGCACGTTACTCCTGTGCCCGGATGTATGGGAGCAATTGCATGTGTGCCGCTGTTGGGGCGCTGCATCGCATGCGTGGTACCTAGCCGACAACACTTGGGGGAGCGTTACCCGCTCAAAACACATGCACGTTTGCTGCACGTTTGTAAGATCACACGACTTTGCTCCTGCAACCCCCTGATTGTGCCGCAACGCCTCCCTCTCCCTCCCCGTCCTGGCTCCTCTCGCTCACCCCCTTCAGTCCCGTCACGTGCTGCGGCAGCTCTGCCGGCGGCTGTACGGCGGGGAGGGTGCGGGCGGCCTGGCTGTCGCGGCTGCCGGCGGCGCCCCGGCCGGCCGCAGCCCCTCCCCCCAGCAGCCGCCCCACCTGGTGACGCTGCTGGCCGCCTGCGAGCTGTCCGTGGTGGCCACCGCCCTGGAGAGGCATGTGGCGCGGACCAAGCAGGCGGGGTGGAACTGGTAGGCGGGGGCTGGGGGACAAGGAGCGGGGAACCACAGGACAGAGCGGCCTGGGCGGCTTGCTGGGAGGCTGGTATCTTCCGGAGCCACTCTGAAACCCGTGCCACACATCCAGACACCTGTCTCTTACACCCCCCACCAGGCCCGCCATGCCGCCGGCTTCCTCCCTCCTCCATCCCGGCGGCGAGGTGGGTCGCCACGTGGCCCTGCAGCTGCCCGGGCTGTGGCCCTTCTGGATGGATCGGCGCCAGGCGGTGGGCAACAGCCTGCAGCTGCGGGCGGGCAGGCTGGCGCTGCTGACTGGGCCCAACATGGCGGGTGAGGGGGAGGGGGTGGGTGGGTGGGAGGGCGGGGTGGGAGGGCGGGGTGGCGTAGTGCAGTGGGGTTGCGAGCTCCAAGCTTGGCAGCCTAGACAAGGTGGAGGGAGGGAGGGAGGCAGCCCCGTGCAGGGGTAGATGTATCTGCTGCAGCTGCTCCAGCCAGCTAGCATCATCCCTGCTGTGGCCGTGCTTTGCGACCTTCTCGTGCTTTGACTCACTCCCCCCCCCCGCCTCTCCCCCTCCCCCCCGCCCAGGCAAGTCCACAGTGCTCCGCAGCGTGGCGGCCGCGGCCCTGCTGGCCATTTGCGGCCTCTCAGTGCCCGCAGGGAGGGGCCTGTCGCAGCCTGCACCGCCTGCACCGCATGGCCACCAGCAGCAGCAGCAGCAGCAGCAGCAGGAGGGGGTGGGCTCTCGCGAAGGTCAGCTGCAGGGGCCGCCGCCGCCGCCCCCGCTGCAGGCCTCGTGGCTTGCGCACGTGTCGCTGCGCAACTTCAGCGGTGACTCGCCGCTGGAGGGCAAGAGCGCATTTGCGGTGGAGATGGAGGACACGGCGTGAGTGGTAGTGGAGGGGGCTGAGAGTTGGGGAAGGGATGCCGGGGATTGTTTGGGTTGTGAAGGGGTGGGCTGGGAGGAAGGTGGGTGTGGGTAGTGACGACGTGGCCCGAGCACAATACCATTGCGCAAGCAGGAGGACGCGGGGACTATCAATCTTCTTCATCAACATCTTTTGTCCTATCCTCTTCCAAACTGCGGTTCCTCACCAGTCCTGTCCACCTTCTCTCAGATCCGTTTTCCTCCCAACCCCGTTCCCCGACCTGGCAGCCACACTCTGGAAGTGGCTCGGACGCTGGGCCCCCGCTGCCTGGTGCTGCTGGACGAGCTGGGCAAGGGCACGGAGGTGGTGGCGGGCTCGGCGCTGGCGGCGGCGGTCGTACAGGCGCTTGTGGGCGCGGGCGCTGCGGGCGTGTTCGCCACGCACCTGCACGACCTGGTGTACCTGCTGCGGCCGCTGCAGCGGGAGGGGCGGCTGGAGTACTGGGCCATGGAGGTCGTGAGGCGGCTGGCCGGTGAGGGTGGGGGCGGGGGCCGGATCGGAGTGGGGCGTGACAGGAGGGACGCGAGGGTCATGGTGGCGCACAGGTAGAATGTTCCAACGCGTGTTGTGTTATGCGGTAGCTCACTGATGGCCGAGAGCCGAGCACCCCGCGCCTGTGTGCTGCGGCTGCTGCTGCCGCAGGTCGGCCGCTGGCGCCCGGGCTGCCTCCGCGGCTGCACCCCACCCGCCGCGTGCTGACGGACAACAAGGCGTGTGTGCGCAGCCTGGGCCTGCAGGTGGCCGCCGACTGCGGCATGCAGCCCGACGTGCTGCGAGCCGCCGTGCTGTTCGAGCAGCGCATGGCAGACATGATGTGGCGCGCCAGGGCGCGGGAGTATGGGGTCGAGGAGGCGGGAGAAGATGCAGTATGGGGCGGCGAGGGAAGCGGCGGCACCGCCGGCGTCACTATGGGTCGGCAGCCACAGATGTCACCCCCACTGTCGCAGCCCATGTCAGAGGGCGTTGTGGAGGTGGGGGCAGCGGAGGGGCTCCTGCGGGAGGAGGCGGCCGCCTGGCGGGAGGAGGAGCAGGAGGCGATCGCCGTGGCTGCAGACGGCACGGCCGAAGCAACGCGCGCCCAGGGGGCCGCGCAGGCGGAGACGCCTGGGGCAGCCGCAGCGTGGGGGGCCGGTTTGGCGGCCGCAGGTGGTCGGGACGACACCAGCGAGGCGGCTGCGGTTGGGGCCGAACCCGAGCCTTACCAGGGGATCTCAGGCTGGAAGACGGAACAGCCGCCGGCGCTGGGAGGCGCGCAAGTGGAGGCCGCTGTGTCGGTTGCGGCTGCGGCGGCAGTAGCTGGGCAGGCTGGAGGGAGGGCACAACCTGCGGTGCAGGACGAGGAGGTCGTCACAGTGGGGGCGGCGGATGTGCTGACGAGCCAAGGCGTCATCACTGGTGGAGGCGCTGTGGCTGTCAGCCCCGACGGCACGAGCAGCCTGGATGCTAGCGGGGGGGGCGGCGGCGGCGAGGAGGAGAAGGGTGTGCTGGCAGCGACACCCGCCGCAATGGCGGCTGCGGATGGATTGCAGGTGCGGAGCGCAGACGTCTGGACGATACGTGTTACCTCCGTGTAGCTACAAGCGAGGTGGTCAACTGGGTTGTGTTGCGACGTGGAAGAACTAGGTTCTGGCGCCGAGTCGTGTCGGCACCGAGTCGGGTTTTGACGTATCTTACCTCCTGTTGTGCTGTTGCGCTCCTCCCCCTCAGAAGCTGGACGCTGCTGCCGGGATGTTGCGAGACGCGGTGCGGGCGGCCATGGCAAGAGCGGGATGCCAGCTGGGGCCCGATTCGGGTGAGGAAGCGGCACGGGGCGATGGAGGAGATACCAAAGGACGTGGCGCGCAAAAGAAAGGCTTTCCTGTTTGCCGTTTTGTCGCTTTGCTTTACTTCCTTGCTGCTGCTCTGCATCCTCTGCTGATGCTCTGCTGCTCTGTCCTATCCACCCATCTCCCAACCAGGGATGGGCGCACACACCTAACGCGGCATATTCCCAAACGAGAAGCCCTACTGTCCGTTCCCCCGACCCCGTTCCCCGAGCCCTCAGGCGCTCTCGAATGGTTGCTGCCCGAGTGGCGCCCGGCACCGGGTCACGCGGGCGAGGCGGCGGTGTACGTGCTGCTGTGAGCGGGGGCGTGTCCAGGGAGGGGGGCATGTGCGGGGTGCGCGCTGCAGTCTGACGTAGGGGTGCATGGTGCTCCAGCCTGGTTTGTTGGGGTGGTCTTCCGATACGCATGGGGGAGGCCTGTGCTGCTTAAAAGGGGCTGCTTGTCTGAGTGTTTGTGCGGGAGCGGGGAATGGCAGGTCGGGGAGTACTCCTTCTGGTCAGATGCCTGACACCTGTTCCCGCATCATCCACCAACCCGTTCTCTGCCCGCCACGCGTCAGGCGCTGGGACGGACTGCTGTACGTGGGTGAGAGTGAGGACATCGGCAAACGTCTGACGCTGCATCGCAGAAATGAAACCAAGGAGCGGAAGGCGTTGGGGGGCATCGTGTCCGGTGGGTAACAGAACGAGATGTTTGCAGCACTTACATACGCTTGTGGGCTCCAAACGTACGGTGTGTGACGTTAGCGGCCGGGGGCGTTGCGTGTGCAGACCCCCCAGCGACAGCCGCCCTGCTGGGGGCCACAGGGCTGGAGCGACCTTGGGTGATGGCCCTGCCTCCCACGGCCCTTTTCCTCGTCCTCCTGTTTACACTTCGCATTCGCCTTGCTTTGCCTGAATTTCTTGCAGCAGCGGTATCGAGAACCATCGGCTTTTACGTATCCATTCTCCTGTGGCCTTCTCATACCTTATTCACGGCAACTCCCGCCGGCTGGTTGGCCCAAACATGTCGTACGCCCCCCTCCCCGCAGCGAGCAAGAAGCGCAGGGCCACGGCACTGCGCTGCGTGTACAGCTTGCTGCCCCCCCACGCAGGCGGCAAGAGCGCCGCCAAGGACGTGGAGGCGGAGCTGATCTTGGGGCTGCAGCAGGCGGGCATCCAGCTGTGGTCCGATCACGACAAGCGGCGCAGCGCGCGGCACAAGCCGCAGCTGCCCAACTGAGGGGCCATGACACCTGGTATCCTTGCTGACGTGAAGGACGCTAGGGTCTCCAGTGTTGATAATGACAGGTCGCAAGCTGATGCTCAGTACCTGCCTTTCAATGCAGTCAAGAGCTACAAGCAGTTCCGGTATTGTGGAGGGGAGTTCAGTGGGAGTGCGGAGTTGCATGCACGTGTTCTGAGTGATGTTGGGGAGTGGGTGGAGTTGTCACGCGGGGCTGCTAAGAGTCGGGGCACTAGGGGTCACAGTGCTCAGCACGAGGATGCACAGATATTGACGCGCCTGTTGAGCAAGGCTGGTCACCGGGCGTATGCGGATTTCATGGTTGCCAATGGAAAGATTGTGAAAGATGGCCGGGTCTTTTAACCATGCATTTCGTGCAAAATGGAAGGGATTACCAGCGTAAGGAGGTCGAGGATCTACGGCACATGGTAATGCGGTATCCAGAAGGGGTGAGGGATGCAGTTGGCGCATGTGTGGTGTGAGATGGTTCTTTGCGAAAAGCGGGTTCGTGGTGATCCGTTTGGAGTCAGAGGATGAAGCATTTGGGCGGCGCCGCAAACGGTGGAGGCGTGCACTGCCACGAGTGGCTGATACAGAGGACGCACCAGAGGGCGAGGTGGGTGTAGAGGATGCAGCTGAGGGTGAGGCGGATCCAGTCGCAGGCAGTGACGCTGGAGAGGGAGGTGGCGTGGAAGGGGCGGCAGCAGTTTATGGGGCAGAACAAGCCCATGGGGCAGTACACCACCAGCTAGTACACGCAATTGCACATGCTGGCCAGTTGGTAGAGACGGGGGCAATTCAGTACTGCATCTGAACATCTGCAAGCTATTGTAGGTCTGGCAGCTCCTGCTGCATACGCACCACAGCCCTATATGCTAATGGGCATCCTTTTGTGCACGGAGCGCCTGTCCCGTACGAGTTTGATGTACGGCAGGCACAAAAGTGACCTTGTAACATAGGAAGAGGCAGGTAAATTTCACAGGCATGCAACACTAAGGGTGAGCGGGGGGCTAATGAGGTACGACAGCGTCCGCCGTTGCCGGATGTAAAACCAAAAGAACCTCCTTCACCCAGCGCAACATAGGCCCTCAGTGGTTTTCTTATAGGAACGCCTGCTAAACACTCTCGTACCACAGCGCTTCTCCTCCCATAACACAACACTTGCAACTTTTACGGCAAACCAAACCATCCTCGCTTCACACTCGCCCTCCTGGCAAGCGAGGTACATTGTTTTTTTTTCCGAACTGGGACCGTTTTAACTTTTTTTCCTTTCGTGGGCACGGTTCCCTTAAGACAAAGTCCAACCATCCCGCTCACGTCCAGACTTTCCAACCGAAGCAAACATGGCTCTGTCCTTAACTCAGCGTATCCCATCTCTTCAATCATCCGAACCGGTAAAACATGCTCTCACCCTGCCCGTTAATCATCATGGGCAGGGTCCTTTGGTTTTCCTTTCCTCGTCAGACTATCCGGCATGGTTTCCGAAAAATCAAAGCTCCAAGAGGACGTACGGACGGCATACCCCGGTTTTGGGCAGACCGCCCCCTAATTGAACAAAAACCATCCTAGCCCTACGCGCATGCCATCCTTAACCCGCAACTTTACTCAACAGGCCGCCCCAGCGGCATGCCGAAACGAGGCCCTTTCCGTCGACAAACATGAGTTTGAACGGCTAATTCCTTCATAAACGGGTACCAACATACGGTCTTCCCTCATAACACATCGCATGCCGCAACAACAGAGATATTCTTAACCGGGCTCCTTAACGAGGCATGCGGGCGGATAGGGACTCAGGTTCGCTTGCCCCCTTTGAGCGCCACCCCTGAAACCCAAAACCTTCTTCATGAGCCTTCCTCGCCCTCTTGAATCCAACTCAAGCATACCCCTCGGGTAAAACGATTTTCTCCAGCCACCAAGCCCACCTTCGTCCCCATTATTGGTACGCCGCTACTCCAATGACGCCATGCTGCCGCTTAGTCCTAGATCCTCCACTCCCGGTTGCGTCGGCCTGCTTGTAGTGCAGCTACTCCAGACAGCAGTACGACGCCAGCACGTTGCGCGCAGCCCAGTCGATGGCGGGACCGAGCAGGCGTGCGATAGGGCTCCGCGAGAGCGCCACGTCCACAACCTCGTGCATCAGCCACTGAGCTTCCGCCTGGCTGTAGGCGTACAGCTGGCGGTAGCCTAGGCAGCCGCCAAGTAAGCCCCGGCAGCTCCATCCGCGTCCCGCGTGGCCAGCGGCTTGACCCAAACACCCGCTCCGCCAGTGCGTCTGCCTGTAGCCGGCCAAGCGCACTTCCGAGAATGGCTGCAAACAGCTCCTGCGCCACCGAGGTGCCGCGACCTCGGCGGTGGCCATCACCAGCGGCTCCTCGCACCATACCGCCACCGCCGGTGCCGCCGTTGCCACCGCTGCCGGCGCCTCCGCCCAGCTCCGGCTCCCAGCTCCGTCTTGTAGTCCACACGGCGCCATGCTAGCACCGTAAATGCAAATTGCTAGGGCTAGCACCGGCCCCTGCACAACTGCTGCTGCTCCTCTCGTGCCGGGACCCCAAGCTCAAGCATGCAGCCTCCAAGTTTGGCGGCCGGCTGACGCTCGCTATACGGGAGGAGCAGATGAGGGTAAAGTTGCGCACTCGCGGATCCCCTGGGAGCAACGCCGCCAAGAAGGTGGAGGCACGCAAGCCGTCAAAAGGCTGTGTCCGGCGTAGCCCCAGTGGGCCCTCTGGAAGCCATGGCTTCCGCGTCAAGCGTGATGTCTGCGTCACGGCCGGAATAGGTAGATAGTTATAGTTGTAAGGGGGCGGGTGGTTATGACTGGGTAGAGGATAGCCGAGGCATGGCGCGTGTGACAGGAGTGCGCATGTGTGGCACTTGTGACAGGAGTGCGCATGTGCGTGGCATGTGTGCGCATGTGTGGCACGTCATGGAAGAAGGTTCACAAGTATGGAATTGCGGAGGATTAGTTTGGTAGAATACGACAATGTCCTGGCTGGAACAGTATTGTGCGTGCACGGTATTGAGTGTGCACGGAGGATCCATGCGCGCGCTTTTGCGGCGCCCCAGACTCCAGGCGGCCAAACAGACTTGGCTACCCTGGGGTAACAAGGCTGGGTTAGGTATCTCGGTTACCGAGGTTCGTCATATCCCTGTAACGGACCTTGAGATAACGGACCCCTGACGAGGACTTGACGAGGGGGTAACAAGGGAAGGTCGGTTACCCCTCGGTAGTAAAATCGGTAATGTAGGGGGGGCGGTAACCCTGGGGTAATACCTGGTTCGACTGCTATAGGGAACGCGCCGCCCCAAGCGCAAGGGTGGTAGTGGCGGCGGCGGCAAGCATGGCAAGGTGGGCGGTGTTGTGGGCGACAGCAGCAGCGACAGCGGCAGCGAGAGCGGTGACAGCAGGAGTGGCGGCGACAGCGACAGCAGCGATGGGGAAGGCGACAGCAGCGGCAGCGACAGCAGTGATGGGGAAGCCGACAGCAGTGACAGCAGCAGTGAGAGCAGCGACGGGGAAGGCGACGGGGAAGGCGTTCAGCCCAGAGTGAGTTAGCTGCGGAATATCTTGTCTCTTGTCGAAGGGTGGCTGGTCCCTATGATAGAATCCTACGGCAGGCATAGCCTCTTCCTCAACAGGACTGTGACTAGCAAATGCCTTACCCCTTTCGTTCTCAACCCTCTCCATGCCACACCTCAGGATCCCCACGTGCGCTTCAACCTTCCACCCGATGCACCTGCTCCTGCCAAGAAGCCAGCTCACGGTGGGCCGTCAACCTCTGCCGCCGCGGCCGGGCCGCCAACCTCTGCCGCCGCGGCGGTGCCGTTAACCTCTGCCGCCGCTCCACCGCTTCGTCGCCCCTCTCGGAAAGCCTCCAACCGTATTGATGCTGCTGTTGCCGCTGCCCGTGCTGCCGCACGGTCTCCCACGCCCTCACCGCCACCCGGCTCGCCAGTGGCTTGGAAGGCGCCAGCTACCCAGCAGCCACCGCTGATGAAGGCCCCAACTGTTGCTACAGGATTAAGCCCAGCACTGCTGCAGCCCGCGGCCCTTCAGCCACTCACCACTTCGCAGCCTGTCAGGGAGAGGCCAGCACGACTGGCAGCAGCTGGTGTCGCAGCTGCAGTGGCAGCTGCGGCTGGGACGTCCAAGGGGGGCATGCTCTCACCGCCCTCCCGGCCGCCACTCAGTCGTGAGCAGCTGCATGGCGGGCCCTCGACTCGGGCGGTGTCCACCGCTGCACCACCCGACTTGACCACGCAGCCCCCCATCTCCTCGTCATCACCTCCGGCTGGCCCATCTTCCAAAAGGCCAGCACGACTGGCAGCAGCTGGTGTCGCAGGAGTATATAAGGGCCAGTTGGCCCGCCCACCGGGCGAGGACCAAGTATTGAACCAAGTGCACTTTAACGACACGTCAGATGGCCGAAAAGTGCAAAAGTGCAACGACTACCGAAGCCAAGGCAAAATTATGAACACGTAGCAGAAGCAAAGCAAGCAATAGCAAAGGAAAAAAGCAAAGTAGTATACCATAGAGAACGAAGGGTCGGTAGGACGCTCGGGACAGAGACGAACGAATGGCACTTGAACGAGCAGGCGAGTAACCCAGCGATAACCAGCGAAGGCATGCCAACTAGTAGAAATAAATAACAGAATGCTACACAATCCAAATGCTGCTTACAAGCAAGCACCAAGGCAAAAGTCCCGCAAAAAATTACGCTTGATCGAACATACTAGCTTACCCAGGACATTACAGGTCGGCCGTGAAATATTAAAGGTTTTGTGTGGACACCAGTCAATGCCAGACCAGGCAGACCTTGTGCGAAGGGGTGAGACCGCATGGCCTGGCAAGCCAAGCATATATACCAGTTTAGTCAAGATAGGCTTGAGGGATGCACAACAAGAGGCAACTTAACATTGTCTTAATGGCTAAATGTTGGTTCAAGCTTTACAACACTACAATGACTTTGCTATGGAAATTACGAATCGCCGAGACAAACTTTCCAACAGCATTTTGTTTGCATGGGTGCCGCTGCTCCCAGGTCCGAAGCGACCTAGGCGTACGGCGCCCGCCATAAGGATTCCCGCTTTCTGCAGCTCTCTGTGCTTTAGAAAGCTTAAATAGCTGCCCAATAATTATTGGAAGTGATTGGTGTCCTTTCGGGGCAAACCACTATTGTTGCGCGCTCGCGACCGCGTCGTCAGCCCTCCCATCCAGCGAAGCTCAATGGCTTCCCCATTCAATGTCCGAAAGGAGAATGTCTATGCCCTGGACGAGCTTTATAACCAACAGGCAAGACCAATGCACTTTATTAGTTTTGCGCTATGGTTCCGTGCGCGCCATGGCAAAGCATGCATGTGCTCGCTCGCTTTCCTTGAACCAAGGACCTTGATCGAACCGGGCACCTTGACAAACGTACGAGCTCACTCCCCTCCAAAGCAGCCTGCACCGCCACATTCCCGGCCAGCACTGCCTGCGTCTTTGTTTTTAGGGGGGACGAGCCTCGGTGTCTGCGAAGCTGGGAGGGGCTATGGGCACGTGTGACCCCAGGAGGCCGCCTTAGGAAGCGATAAACCCCGAAACCCCTCGGCTTGGCTGGTTGGGAAAGCGATAAGCGGTTGCCCAGGCCCGATTTCTATCGCTCGATAAAAAATACCCCCTCCAAAACGAAAAAACGCTGCTGGGCTCTGAGCATGCTTGGAAATAAACGAGAAGGTTTTCGCTTTAAATAGCATGGACCAATAGGCTTAATGTATGGCTATATATGACGGCATAGGTGAGATGTGCGTAGAGATGAGCCCACATGGGACATGGCCTGACCAGCCAACAGTGCACCGAGTGGCAGGGGTTAGACAGCATGGCCTGGCAAGGCCAGGGGCACACTGTGAGATGTGCGTAGGGATGAGCGAGCATGTAACAAAGCATTCCAAGCCAACACCGCCCGAAGGGAAAGGACGGATTCGAGAACGAGTCGAGAATAGGTTAAGGCCTTCAAGTGCTTCGGAAATTCCATAGAATGGGGCAGAGGGGGCGTTTTGAACACTCCCGGGTTAACTCTCAAGATTAACATTCGGTGGGCGGGCCCAGCAGCGGCGACGCGCGGGGTTTGTTGTTCGTTGGTGCCCGGGAAAAGTATTGCAGACACACGCGGACGCGAAGGCACTTTAACAGAATGCTCTTCAATAAAAAACTGTAATCAGTATACAACCACGTCTTCAAGTGGTGAGACGCGCGAACAACACACGTGCGACCCAACCTAGAGTTGCTAACGTTGAACTCTGGTGCAACCCCTTCTCCTTTCACTGCCATATCTGACAAGCCGCTATGAAGCAGCGCTTTCGTTACGCAAGCTAGTTACCTGACTCGCAATGGAGAACGGAGCAGCAGTAGTTGCACATGTGCAATGCGTGTGTTCTTGGCGCACATGGGCCGAGGAGCGACAATCGGCTACCGTGGGAGACCTTGCCACTTGTAAACGTGCACGTTTGATGGATGGCCACCCGTTGCTCCTACTCACCAAAAAGGGAACAACATTGATTAAGCATGCACATTGGCTGTTGTTGATGCACATGAGCTGATCAGCGATAATCGCAACGTGCGCTACCGTGGGAGAAGACCACCACCACGTAACGGGTACGTTACCTCACCACGTGTAGTTGTGCACGGTTGATGGATGGCCACCCGTTTCTGCTGTCCATCAAAAGGGAACAGCATCAATTGCGCATTCATAACGTTGCTGTTCTTGCTGCATATACACCATTCGATAGGCGTATGCTCAGTGTAAGGGCGGGGGGGCGGGCCATGTACGTTTTTTGGATTTCCGAGGAACAGCAGCGCTTGCCTTCCTTACTACTGCTGTTCTTTGCCCTAAGCATAGACGTATAGAAGCAAGCATCGTTAACAACTCGCCAGCGTGCGGGTGCCCAGCACTTCGTCAGGGGGGGAAGAATTCACCGCCCCCGCTGACACACCCAGGATTAGTCGAGGGGGGGGGCTCGCTGTAAGTCCCAAGTCGTTTCGGCCCCGTGGTTTTGATAATATGAAGCACTGGTTAGTTTCTTAAAGCATCTTGCGGAAGAGAATTTAGATTAGTTTAGTGTATTAGGGGTGTTTCTATGGGGGCTTAGCGAAACCAAGCCTAAGCCAACCTAAATCTTACCCTACGCGCTCCTAAGTGATCCTATGTGACCTGTTCCTATGGACTTCAGGAACCACGGTGAAACCAGCCTTTGTATACGTTTTACCATAACCAATTATCCTATCATGGTAGGGTGCTCACTTTTGTTTGACCGAAACGTATGGAAGAGGGGCGCTAGCCAGATGATGCAGCCGTCGAATGTCCGTTTGCGGCCCTGCTGGGTAGGAAAGGGCCCTAAGTTACATTGCCATATGTAAAAGATAATCCCAAAGCTCGTTAACGGGGACACCTCGACAAGGGTCGAGGGGGAGTGAAAAAAATTAACAAGGGGGTTCAGCTTCATCAAAACTGGAAAAGGGCGGAGCCCCTCCTCTTCAGTACGGGAACGTATTATTACCACTGGGATGAATGCGATTATTACAAGGGAGTGGAACGACTCAAGTGCGACGCACAACCCTATGGGCCTTATAGACCTGGAACGCGCTCCTGTGACTCCACGGCACTTTCGCATTCTAACACACCTTGTTATACGGATGCTGAACCCCCTTGTTTACTGTAGTTTTAGTGCTCGTTGCATGGCTAGACGAGCTTAGAGCCCCTTGTCCAGCCGAGGCCGGCCGCCTTGTTCACCCATGGCGTTCATAGTGTCCTCACTCATTGCACTCATTGTTAGGTTACACCTGTTCAATCGAGTACTCAGTAACGTCTTATCATGCTTGATAACACCCACGCATTAGGCCACAGAACCCAAATCGACGGCGTAACTGCCACAAGGGAGTGCTTTCAGGGTCCCGCAGGTCGTTAGGGTTTCACCTACATTACTAACATGATGAGGAGGTCAGGCTCGGCAATCTCGGCATCGTGCTCAGGAGGACTTCAGCCATTGCGCCGTCACATGACATGTTAGCTTATAAGCGAGGTAACCCGTACCCGTTTGCGTTACAGTTCATACGCACAAACCCATAGCAAAGGCTGGCAACATCGTCACAAAAGGATTGTGTGGGCTCTGAGTAGCACAGTAGATGCGAGCATGCTCCCGCCGGCTTTCACAAGTAGCCCTTTGCCGGCACGCCGCTGTTACCAATTCACTAAATACTGTTTACGGTACCAGGACACACCAAAGAGGAGCGCTAATCGGTGTTGCCGAGGTGGTCCTTTTCGATGGCTGGTCAATAAATTGTTTATTGCGAAATCAAGTTTGTTTGGCTTCCAGTTATTTTTACTGAAGACAGATAACGAATATCTATTAGGTGCAATTAATAGTTTTGTCTAGTTTATATGTTTTGACGTTACGGACACACGGACACACGGACAGGGGCAACCTGCTGGGCGATGAAGAATGTCCGTGTGGCCGGCTGTCCGTGTGTGCGGTTGGGTCCGCCTAAGGCCTGGGCGAGTTCAAATGGGCCCGATGGACGAGCAAATTTTACCTCCGCCAAATGTCTCCTAAAGCGCTTTACAGCAACATCCTTCTATGTAAACATTCAAAGATTATGCTGATAGATTAATTACCTTTCTCGGTTTGCTTAATTTCAATGGACACAGAACCTAGTACTAGTACAGCGCCATGTCCAGCACGAAGTAAATCGTATAAGCATTGCCAGTAGTTGATTACAACAGTGTAGCAGAGTAGCTGTATAGCCTGGTAATGCGGCATTAATTGGGGTTGGGGGCGGTTGTACTTGGTGGTTGGTGGGGTGTGTCCGGCTGTCCGTCTGTCCGCCTGTTTTCGGAGCCGGGTCGCGGCGGGGGCTCCGCCCAAAAAACGACATCGTCGTACGCCTCGGCCTTGGTCAACACTTGGAGACCCCTCATGACCGCGTGACCAGCTGAATTTTGCGCAAAATTCAGCCGTAAAATTCAGCTGTACGCACGCTGACTTTTGCCCTTAATAGATTATAGTATGTTATTAACTGTAGACAGGTAGACTTACAGCTGAACTTTACGCTGCTTACACAGCAGCTCGCGAGTTAGTATCATACCCTATCTGTGCACCTAGGCACCCTTTAGCTACCCCAAGACTCTACCATTTTCCAGCCTTCACTAAATTACCACCTTTAAGCACCATAACAGGTAAGCAACTCTTTCACCGCGTATCGGCTGAATTGCCCTTAGGTATAGGGCTAGGGCCGCGGACCTTCAGTGACTAGATGCCCATGTTAATAGGATAGACAAAACGCCGTTTAACCTGGAACGTTTTGTCTATCCCTCTAACATGGGCATGTAGTCGCTGCACGGGAGCTGCTACCGAGGGTGGGGCTGTGCCTGCTGGGAGGCACGAAAGAGGCTGCTGCTGGAGGGGGGGCCATGCCGGTTGGGGAGGCGCGAGCGGGGGCTGGGAATACAGTGCAAATGGCGACTCCCACTGTGGGCGCAGGCTGACCTTCCCCGTGATGCCCTGCCTCTCCATGTCTTTCCCATGTGGCTGTCCTTACCCTCTCAGTGCGCCTGCCTCAAATGCAGCTGCCCTTCCCCGCGGCGCCTGCCCCCCACCCCATACCCGGTTCCCGCCTCCAAACGCCCTCATTCCGGCACGCATAAACGCCAGTTGAATTGCAGGGCGGGGGCGCTGATGTCATTGCCGCGAGTGGTTGTGTAGGACGGGAATGCACCGTTACGCATGCACGCTTACAATCGGGGGCGCTTGAAACGGGGGTGCGTGCATGCGTGTGTGGACTTCCCCCCCTCGGTTCACTGCACGGATCGGTCCCCAATTAAGGCAACTTAACTATCGCTTATGGGCTAAGTGTTGGTTGTGCAAAATCTGTAGATTTTGAAGTCACGCGTTTAATATTTCGCCCAGGGACTGCTACTGTACGATGATAAATTTTAGCTCCGGAACCGTCCAGGAAGGATAGCACGAAACA